AGATGAACTGATAATATTCATTGAAGATTTATTTGCATCCACATTTGACTTGCAAAGATCTGGAACTTTTGACAATATCTTAACAGCTGCCGTGCCGTTAGCAATCACTACCTGGAAGAATCTGACAACAGCATCCTAGCTCAATAGCATATTTTGTGTTTGGACAAATTTACCCATTGACTGAAAGACATTCTTTGCTCATGTGTCAGCAGATTATCCAAAAGTGTGTGCAATGCACATTTTAGCTTTAATTTTGCAAAGGCTTCTTTCTAAATAATACATTGTTGAGCAAGTATGCTCCTGCTAACAATTATGGGACAAAGTGCCAAAGGTGGTGTATTTAACAAAAGTCATTGCCCACCTTGAAATATTTCACAGCAGACCCTTTTGATATCTCACCGGTTGCATATGGAATCATAGGTGGAGTTGGAAGGGAACCTGAGGATAATCTAGTCCAACCCCCTGCAATGCAGGAATATGCAGCTGTCCCTTGCGGGGATCAAACCTGCAACCTTGGCATTATCAGCACCACTCTCTGGCAAACGGTGATATGTTGTGAATATTTGACACCTGATATGTAGTAGGAGTCAGTAACTGACATCTTAACGTGCAGCAGCCAAGACATGACAGTATCCAAGCACCAACATGTAATAAAGTAACAGTATCTGTTAGAGGTCTTCACATAAAACTTAGAACAATGTCTATTAAATTTATTTATGCATTTAACCAACCCCAACAGCTTAATTTCAAACTGGTACAGTCATTGTTGTTGTTTAGTCATTTAGTCGTGTCCAACTCTTCGTGACCCCATGGACCAGAGCATGCCAGGCACTCCTGTCTTCCACTGCCTCCCACAGTTTGGTCAGACTCATGTTTGTAGCTTCGAGAACACTGTCCAACCATCTCGTCCTCTGTCGTCCCCTTCTCCTTGTGCCCTCCATCTTTCCCAACATCAGGGTCTTTTCCAGGGAGTCTTCTCTTCTCTTGAGGTGGCCAAAGTATTGGAGCCTCAGCTTCACGATCTGTCCTTCCAGTGAGCACTCAGGGCTGATTTCCTTCAGAATGGAGAGGTTTGATCTTCTTGCAGTCCATGGGACTCTCAAGAGTCTCCTCCAGCACCAGAATTCAAAAGCATCAATTCTTCGGCGATCAGCCTTCTTTATGGTCCAGCTCTCACTTCCATACATTACTACTGGGAAAACCATAGCTTTAACTATATGGACCTTTGTTGGCAAGGTGATATCTCTGCTTTGTAGGATGCTGTCTAGGTTTGTCTAGGAGGATACTAGGGGCAAATGAGGTACTGCTCCCCCAACCTAGTGGTGCGGCAATAAAACGGCTAGCCCCTTTGCAAAGTACCACTCCCTGCAGCACTAATGGGTAGGGCTGGGTGATGTAGCGATACATCGTCCAGGACTGGTTTCAGAGCCAGATTGCGATGGTGATTTAGAGATTTTTGACCAGGCGGGATATTTTCACACAGGGCTGAGAGAGACCCCCACTGAAACCCTGAAGAGCTGTTGCCGGTTAGTGTAGACATTTTTTTAAAAAATGAAATCATTTTTATTTGATTTTAAAAATATAAATTTATAACCACACATCCATATAAAGAGATTACTCTGAATCTCGGGACTTCCCCCTATCCCCTCCATGGGTCCTATTGTCAACATTTTCAACTGCATATTATTTCGTAATCTATATATCTATCCATATTGTCCATAGTATTTGTTACGTTACAAGTGAGATTTAAATCCTGCTAATGTTTTCATCTGCTTACAATGGTCTCCTAAATAAATTATAAACTTTCCCCATTCTTTCTTGAATTTCTTGTCTTCTTGGTCCCTGAGCGTTCCAGTCAGTTTTGCCATTTCAGCCTAGTCTAACAGCTTAGTTTGCCATTCCTCTCTGGTAGGGACTCTTCCATCTTTCCATCTCTGGGCTAGTTGCATCCTTGCTGCTGTTGTCGCATACATGAAAAGTCTTTTCCATTCCTTTGGGACATCAGTACCTATAATTGCTAATAAAAAGGCTTCTGGTTTTGTTTTTTGTACAAAAGTTATTTTAAACATTTTTTTCATTTCATTATATATCATTTCCCAGAAAGCCTTTATTACCTTACATGACCACCACATATGATAAAAGGTACCTTCTTTTTCTTTAGTGTAGACATTACAATCGTAACTTGGTTGATGAACACCTTGCGACTCGAACGTTTTGGCTCCCAAACGCTGCAAACCCGGAAGTGTTTCGGTTTGTGAACATTCTTTGGAACCCGAACATCTGACGTGGGTTCCGCGGCTTCTGATTGGCTGCAGGAGCTTCCTGCAGCCAATCGGAAGCTGCGCCTTGGTTTCTGAACATTTTGGAAGTCAAACTGACTTCCGGAACAGATTCTGTTCAACTTCTGAGCTACCACTGTATTGAGCTTGATGGACTAATGGCCTGACTCAGTATAAAGAAGCTTCTTTTGTTCCCACCGTATCACCAGACTGCATTTTCAGGGGAAAAGAAGGAGAGCTGGAGGCAGGGAGGGGGGCAGGTCTTTCCTTGCCCCCAACAATGCATCTTTAGCATTTTCAATGCTAAGACCTCGGGATGATCTAAGCAGAGCTTCCCAATCAGGGTAGGCGCTTGGGCAAAACCCACACTCTTTAAGGGAAAGCTGGCCATCTGTCATGGTTGCTTTCATTGAGATTCCTGCAAAACAGGGGATTGGACTAGATGACCGTTGGACCCCTTCCAACGCTACAGTTCTATGATTCTTTTTTAAAAATTTGTTGTTGTTGTTTAGTTGTTTAGTCGTGTCCGACTCTTTGTGACCCCATGGACCAGAGCACGCCAGGCACTCCTGTCTTCCACTGCCTCCCGCAGTTTGGTCAAACTCATGCTGGTAGCTTCGAGAACACTGTCCAACCATCTCGTCCTCTGTCGTCCCCTTCTCCTTGTGCCCTCCATCTTTCCCAACATCAGGGTCTTTTCCAGGGAGTCTTCTCTTCTCATGAGGTGGCCAAAGTATTGGAGCCTCAGCTTCACGATCTGTCCTTCCAGTGAGCACTCACAGCTGATTTCCTTCAGAATGGAGAGGTTTGATCTTCTTGCAGTCCATGGGACTCTCAAGATTCTCCTCCAGCACCATAATTCAAAAGCATCAATACTTCGGCGATCAGCCTTCTTTATGGTCCAGCTCTTCTGGTTAAAGATCTTTTGTGTTATGAAACAAACAGATAAACAGGGAATGGTATTTATCGTCTCCACTTTCAATTCATTATCTTTTTCACAGTTTATTTACATTTAGTGAGAAACAGTTTTGTCATAGACATCTTGCAGTTGGGGGGAAAGAGAGGGGGAGAGAGATGGGGGTATTGTTCTTTCATTCTGTTGCCTAGTGTAGGTGGTGCTGTGGGTTAAACCACAGAGCCTTGGACTTGCTGATCAGAAGGTCAGCGGTTCGAATCCCCACGACGGGGTGAGCTCCCGTTGCTCGGCCCCTGCTCCTGCCAACCTAGCTGTTCAAAAGCACGTCAAAATGCAAGTAGATAAATAGGTACCGCTCCAGCGGGAAGGTAAACGGCGTTTCCGTGTGCTGCTCTGGTTCGCCAGAAGCGGCTTAGTCATGCTGGCCACATGACCCGGAAGCTGTACGCCGGCTCCCTCGGCCAATAAAGCGAGATGAGCACCGCAACCCCAGAGTCGGTCACGACTGGACCTAATGGTCAGGGGTCTCTTTACCTTTACCCATGGATATGTCCTGTGTGTGTGTGTCTGTGTGTGTGTGTGTGTGTGTGTGTGGATATAGATGATATATAGATGATATAGATATAGATAGATGATATAGATAGAGCTAGAGCTAGAGCTAGAGCTAGAGCTAGAGCTAGAGCTAGAGCTAGAGCTAGAGCTAGAGCTAGAGCTAGAGCTAGAGCTAGAGATAGAGAGATAGAGAGATAGAGAGATAGAGAGATAGAGAGATAGAGAGATAGAGAGATAGAGATTAGGGGGTCCCAAGCTTGGTTGGTTACAATTCTATGATTCTGTAATCTTTTAAAAAAAATGTTTTTTCCCCTCTCTCTATACAAAGAAAGTGGGGCAGCAGCAGTAGGTGCATCTGGGGGAAGGATTATATATTACTGAACAGCAGTCCTGAAGGCTATCATCTCGAGCTGCTGGGAAACAAAATTTGCAGCCCTCCTGAGTGGTATAATTGACAGGCGTTAAGGCAAAGTCACAGCAGGAAGAGACAGATATTGCAGGGAGAGGGCTTAGCAAATGTCACTTCCTTCGCCCTCCTGCCATGCGTTTCTCCTCTTCCCTTGCCTCCTATCATCCATTCTGATCGGCTCTCCCAGGGACTCTGCGTTTGGCCTCCTTGTCAGAGACCCAGCCCTGGGGAACAGGAACTCAAGTACTCTGTCATTGGACTGTCAAGTCCTGTATTGTTTCTGAAACACGAAGAAGAGCCAGTGTCTTGATTTGGGCTGAGCTGGAAGCTTCAGGCACCGCTAATTAGAAATCCTTCAGGTTTATATCCGCTTCTGCTCCCCAGAAAACTGAGATCACAGGGGTGGGAAGGAGAGGCCAGCATCCCCCCAAAAGAAGCAGCTGGCCCCACTTGCCCCCCACTTTATGAACTGTCATTAACACATGCTGTTATTTTTCTTTCTCAACCACCGAGAAATATACTTTGCCCCTTCTGTGTCTCCTCTCCCATAATTTTTATTATTATTCTGGTGCTGCCGCTGTCTGTGATGGAATGATCAGATGGTTTTCCTTGTCTAACCAGAGACCTTGATTCTAGTCCAACACTTTAACCACTGTGCCTCACTGCCCCTACCTTCCAGCACTCTGTCCGGCAAATAAAAAGGCACTCTGAGATGATTGACACGCTCTTGTGTGTCCCCTGCCCAAATTTATTGAACTTATTTTCAATGCTGTTAACAGATATTTCATTTGTACAGCTTCATTTTGGCTTGCGATGGCTTCCTTTGGTGTGCTCTTAGGCTCCCTCACAGATCAGTTGGTAGCACATGAGACTCTTAATCTTGGGGTTGTGGGTTCGAGTCCCACATTGGGCAAAAGATTCCTGCATTGCAGGGGGTTGGACTAGATGACCCCCAGGGTCCCTTCCCACTCTACTGCTACGATTCTGTGATTCTGTTCCTCCACTGCAAACCTTCTGCATTTCTGTTTTTTCTGAATCTAGTGGGGAAAATGTGAGTTGGGCAGTTGCTGTCCCTCAGCCAGGTAAAATCCAGCGCTCGATGAATCGCCAAGCGACTGGCATTGATTTCCCTGCGGTTGAATGTGGCCCATGCTGAGTGAAAACAAGCACAGGGAGGTCCTAGGAAGCTTGATGTGAATTGCAATGGACAAAGAATATCGTGGCATCAAATACCTGGGGCGAAAATTCAATGCACTTCCATGGAGTAAGCTGCCGAAAACATAGCTTTTACTGACCTCTAGAGGTCGACAAGAAATGTTGGCACACAACATTTCCGTAAAAGCCAGTCTGGTGGAGGTCTCCGTTCAGTTGCTGCAGAAACAACAGTGACCTTACAAACCGGCCGCCTTATTATGAAATAAGATTTGGAAATGCATCTAACGTCACCCTGTTGAATCTCTTGGCTCTTTGGCCTCTTGATTACAGACCTCCATGTATGATATATTCAGTGTAGAAACAGGAGAGAGTTCATTCGTATTGTGTTCCAGGTTTCCAGCTGTTTTTGGACTACAACTCCCATCATCCCTAGCTAGCAGGACCAGTGATCAGGGCTGATGGGAGTTGTAGTACAAAAACAGCTGGAGACTCAAGTTTGGGAAACACCAATTGGTCCTATAAGCTACACCATGCTTAGAGAACTGGATCCTGCCAGCGGGCCGGATCCTTATCTCCCTGCATCCCTGTTGGCCAAATTGGATAGGTGAGTGGGGGCCACCCACCTGCCAGTCACCTGACATCACAATGCCACCAGTGACCCACTTTCCCCCTCCCAGTTTGAGAAGGAACCGTGTAGGGTGTTTTGAAGCTTCGACAATGAGCTGGTCATCGAGGCTTTGATCTCTGCAAGCACCGGCAATCTGTGCACATCACTTTGCGAGTGCTGCTGGAGCACCTTTTGGGCCCGTGTAGTGATCAGATGGGATTACCATGAGGAATTATAAAATGTACATCAAGCCACTGTGTCCACGATGAATGCATTGTGTTGACTGGGTTTAATGTATTGACAATAATTTCTGATTAAATCCCATAAGCGTCTACATTTATGCCATTTTCCTCTACTGCCCATTTCTCTTTCTTGACAAGTCACATGCACAGCCCAGTGGCTTCACCATGCATGCATCCTGCGTCATCAAAGACAGTGGGCAGTTTCTTTGATGTAGTCTTTCTGATATGTTAATCTTAGGATGTTAATCTTAGGGTCAGGAAACAGATCTCACCTGAAGGTGATAATGATCGCTGTCTTCCTGGCCATCCTGCTTATCATGTATACTGCTTGTTTATCCTCCTTATCATGTATACTGCTCCTTTATCACCTCGGGGGTTGCCAAATGCACTCCTTTGTAGTTCTGTTCCTCTGGCAACCTGCACAGAATTTTGCTTAACGGTTGCCATTAATTTGATTTTAATTAATTTTTATAATGAAATGTTTTTAGAATGTTGGATTATTTGATTGTTTGATTATTTGATTGTTGTTAGCCGCCCTGAGCCCGGCTTCGGCTGGGGAGGGCGGGATATAAATACAATTTATTATTATTATTTACCCCAAAAGTATGTGTGCTTAATTAGTTTTGGTAGTTTAACTTTGTCCGCACGTGGGGTTTGTTGAAATGCTCAGAAGAAATCTGATTGGTTCTTTTGAACACTCTGTAAAAAGTTCTTCGGTGAATAAAACGACCTGGGCCAGGGAGTGAAAAGAGAGAGATTATTATACGCACCCTTCCCAGAGTCTTGCTGGTTCAAGCCTCTGTGTGTATTCTTATTAATCAGAGTTCAAGCCTTCCTTTACTTTGGGAACGCCTCAGGCGCAGCCCCATCCCTGCTTGCTGTATGGCAGGCGGGTGCAGCTTGGCGGAAATGGCCTCGTTGGCCATATGAGGAAGCCTGGCAGATCTATTTGTGCCATGGGCTGACGGTTCCCCATTGCTGGTCTACCCTGACTGGCAAGAGGTGGTGCTGAAGGTTTTCAGGCAGGAGTCTCTGCGCTGAGTGGAAATGGCAGGATTGAAACAAGGACCTCCCACAAGCTCTGCCACTGAGCCCCATCCCTAAATGAATGCACCTCTTTATCTGCCTAGCAACCAATCAGCCAAGGACAGCGTTGAATGCATCTGATGAATTGGGCACTGCTGGGCCGGCCCTTTCATGAGTCAGAATGCGGCACAGACCTCAGGTGTCAGATGGGGAGGAGTGGCATATTGCATCTTCTCTGTCCATTGGCCACAGGGTTAGACATCTCCCACCTACCTACCCAATTGGGCTGGCTGCCCATGGCCACTATTAGTTGGCCAGGTCATGTTGCTTGACTAGCCACCTCCTGCTCACACTGGCTTTGGTAGCACAGGCCCTCCGGGCCTTGCCTTAAAAAGGGGTCCTTCCTCAGAGTAAGGCATGGTGGAAACCAGAGGCCTTTCTCCTTGGAATAACAGGTTTGGAATTGCCCAAAAAATATGTTGTTATTTTTGTATGCCACAACTGCTGCTCAAATATTATTAGCCAAGAAGTGGAAAACACAATAACTACCAACTGTGGAAGAATGGCAGATGAAGATGGACTTCATGGAGCTAGCTGACCTGACTGGAAGAATCCGCAACAAGAAAGAAGAGGACTATCAAGAAGATTGGAGGAAATTCAAGGACTATTTGAATAAATATTGTAATATTAAAAATTAGAAGTTACTTGAAAGTACCAAACAGGTTTAGGATTAAATTAGGATTTATCTAAATGAATGGGATTTAGAACACTAAGAAAAGTGAAGAAATTTGATTATAACTGGAATATTGTTAATGATATTGGAAAGCTGTTGCATTTAGATACAAGGAAATTCAGAAGGGAGGGACTAGAGGAAGTCAAGTAACATGTTTATAAGGTTGGATTTTTAAATAATTAAGTTAGTTTGTATTGTTTGTTGTTTTTTATAGATGTACTTTTTTGGTTTTGTTATGGTTTGTTTTTTCGGTTGTGCAATGTGTTATAATTGTAGAAAACTTAATAAAAATTATTGGGGGAAAAGACAACAGAGTAAGGCATGGTGGGTTAGGCTGCCCAAATACGTTCTGGGATACTGTGACCAAGCAAGAGGAGGAGCTGAGTATGGGAGGAGGAAGCAGAGGCAAGTGGGCTACTCGCAGGAATCCCAATGTCTTGTACAATAATCAAAGAGCTTATGAGGCTGGGACTGTTGCCAGCTCCTATATTATAACAATATTGTCAGGCTGCTTCCAGCGACTTCCATGGCCGGTTGCCTGGGAACGTACAAAGACAAGGAAATGTTTCTTACCGTCTGCTTTTTATTCAGTACTTACAGAGAGAGGCTGTAGAACCCAGCCTCTTGGATAATGGCGTTGTCCCGGGTGAATCTCCACCACCCCTGTCTCTCCGACTTCCTTACTTGTCACTTCTACAGGTGCTGCTAAGTGCCCTCTGTCTTTGAGCTCTTTGCTCTCCTACTTCCAAGGCTCGCCAGGTTCTGGGAGAGGTGGGGTCTGGAATGCTTTCTAAAGGCACTGTGTCCATCAGCTGTCGCCTCTACCCCTGGTGCTTCCTCCTTGTCATGGTCCGTTTCATGGGCGATCAAAGTCCTGGCAGGGGATGTCAGGACAGGGGGCAAGATGTCAGGGTGGGAGCAGGAATGGGGGTCCAGAAGCCAGGAAGCCAAGAGTCCGAGGGTCAGAGAGCCGGGAGTCAAGAAGCCAAGGGTCCGAGGGTCAGGAAGCAAGGAATCAAACACAGCAGGGCATGGAACGTGTTGCTGTGGCAAAGAGCTGAAGGGAAATGCTGACCTTATATCCCTTCCCGGCTCTTGCCACCAGGTGCTGTGAGTTACCAATCGGCCTCACCTGTGCGGCCGCGCCTTGCCTCTTCAGAACAAACTTAGGAAGGCCCCAGTCCTGCAAAGTCCTAATGGTCACAGGGCCTGGCTCCTACATGCACTCCTGACACTCCTCCTCTTCTTTCTCAACTTTCTCATCTGCCTCTGAGCTGTGACCTCCTTCAACCCCGTTGCAATTGTCTTTCTCCTCCCGGGAAGGGTCAAGCTGGGGAGACGATCTCCACCATTCCTCCTCTGCCCAGTCCATGAAAATTTACACGGCAACTCTATGGGGCTGAGGACAGCTCAGCCCCCACAAAGCATGCGGGGATAGGGCTGAGGTCCCCAATCTTTTTTTTTATTCAAAATTAAAACAAAACGTATTATCCAAAAACATATCATCCTTGCCCCCCCCCCATTTTCCCTCTCCCCCCACCCTCTTACATAAAACCCACCCATCCCCGCCCCCCAACTTCCCTCAGTTCCCTTCTTTGGTTTCTCTGAGACTGCTGTTTTCTGCATGTTACAAAGTTGTATAGATCCTCAAACTATTTAGCTAATTATTATCAATCAAAAGTTTGTGAATGTTTATTCAAAACCTGCCAAGGAGTCCAGTTCACTTTGTTGCATCTTCAAATACTTTGTAAAGGGTTCCCATTCATCTTTAAAGTCAGTTATCCTTGCCCCTATATGTCAGTTTTGCCAGTTCTGCATAGTCCATCAATTTTTCTTGCCATGATTCTTTAGAAGTCCCCAATCTTGAGGGACCGGCCCTACCAGGTCTCCCCACAGCAGCAGCAGGCCCCACTGAGCCTCCCCACACTGGTTGAGGGGCCTGCTGGGCCTCCCCATGGTAGTGGCTATGACAGTGGGCCCTGCTGGGTTTCCCCACAATAGCGGAGGGCCTTGCTGGCCTCCCCACTGTGGCAGAGAGCCTTGTTGGGCCTTGTGACCTCCTTCTGACATGTGTGACATCACACGTGTGATGTCACACACATTCAATGAGCTGCCTGAATGCTATGCCGAACTCAGTGCCTCTGTATAACAGTAACTATAGGTAGGACGTTTCTCAAACTGTATAAATTTGTACGTGGGGAAAAACACTGTTGATGTTGGTCTCAAGAGCTTATCCCTCCCAACTTGAACCCTGGCCATTTAGCGCCACTAAAAAAATTAAAATGAAGCATGCTTTGGCATGTCTGCCAAAAGTGTTTCCTATGCAGAGATTATCACTGAATAGGAAAAAGTGCAACGCACAGAGATGGCTTTGAATTGTCGGAGGTGGAGAGGGTTGCTGTAGCATGAAGAATGTGACAAGCACTTTGATGGCAAGTTTTTGATATTGAGCTACTTTTTTAGATTTGATGGCCAGGCAGCAGGGAGAAGGCAATAATGGGTACGAATGCATCAATCAAAAGGGCACATCTTTTATTCAAGTTACCATTCTGGGGAGGCAATCTTTCAGATTTATAGTCCCCAAAAGAAATGCGTCTTTGAAGAAGGAAACACAAGCGCCAACAGATGCCCTACTTTCAGCGTGGCAAATGGTTCTCTCTCCTAGCAGGAGAGGTGCTGTTGCCGTTTTCGCATGCCATGGTGCTTGGATCAATATCTGCATTAACCAAGTTAAATATGAAATCTTTTGGATTTTTTAAAAACGAGACTTTTATGGCCTAATTGCAGAGCTGAGGAGTGAAAGGCCTTTGACAGGCAGTGGAGTCTTTACATCATCGTCCCGTCACAACACACAAAGGGAATTTCGGGAAACTCCAGCCAATAATTTTATATGGCACTTCTGCCGCCTTCCGTTTGGTGCTATGCACATCAAGCCATTTTTCACACACAGACGGACGAATGTCTTCCATAAGATCCACTGGCTGAGAACAGATGGCCACTTAAATGCACACTGGCTGCTGAAAAACACACCACACAGTGCTTCTAACGCTTTGGTCTGGCCATTTATTGATGGAGTTACGCCACCTCTCCTTTGGCCCTTGTTCCAGTAGTTTCAAACTGGCAAGGTACTGGTCTCCGTTTCACCAGAGACTACAGGCAACCCATTGGGCTAGCACTGTCTGGTGGGGCAGCTTTTAAGCACCACCGTCTGGGGGATATAGCCGACTGTTTCGTTCTGCTTAGCCCCTGGGCTTTGGCCGGTGAGAATGCTATCCAGGCTTAAGGTGGGCATTGGCAAAGGATGGCAAAGGCCGGCCAGCTGTTTCTGCTAGTAGCTGCCAAGGGCCCATTTCCAGCTTTCCATGCTGAAGATGCCAAGGACAGTGGTACCTCAGGTTAAGAACTTAATTCGTTCTGGAGGTCCGTTCCTAACCTGAAACTGTTCTTAACCTGAGGTACCACTTTAGCTAATGGGGCCTCCTGCTGCCGCCGCACAATTTCTGTTCTCATCCTGAAGCAAAGTTCTTAACCCGAGGCACTATGTCTGCTTTAGCGGAGCCTGTAACCTGAACTGTCTGTAACCTGAAGCGTCTGTAACCCGAGGTACCACTGTAATTACATACCTTTCTGTACTTGCGGAGTTGTACAGGCCAGGAACGGTTCGTCCAGTGGGGTGGAGCTGCAGGAATAGCCTGCCAGGAGGGGGAAGACGAGGTGGGGCTGCGCGGTTGTACCAGCAGCGCCAGACTGATTTCCTATGCAGCCCTGGCCTTGTCCCTCCTGAAAATCATTGATGACACTGCCAGGAGCCTAGGGTTGTGGCTCCGCCTCGCCAGGTGAGCTGCACTTGAAGCAGTGCGTAGGGGCAGGCCGATGCAGGACATTTTGCTTCTTCCAAAGAAGGCAGACATCTGTAGGCAGCCCTGTTTAGGGAAGTTTTTAATGTTTGATGTTTTATTGTATTTTTAATATTCTGTTGGAAGCCGCCCAGAGTGGCTGGGGAAACCCAGCCAGATGGGGGGGGGTATAAATAAATTATTATTATTATTATTATTATTATTATTATTATTATTATTTTACACAGAATATATTTGGTTATTGACAAAAAGAATACACACATCTGTATACAGTGCTACCTCGGTTTTCGAACGTCTCGGAAGTCGAATGTTTCATTTTTCGAATACTGAAAACCCAGAAGTAACGGCTTCAGTTTTCGAACGTTTTTCGGAAGTTGAACATGCTATGCAGCTTCTGTATTGAGTTTTCCGTAAGTAAATGCTTCTGGAAGTAAATTCTTCGGTTTTCAAATATTTCGGAAGTCGAACTGTCTTCTGGAATTGATTACGTTCGGAAACCAAGGTATCGCTGTATTAATATATGGTCATGTAACAGCTATTTTCTTTTAGTCTTGCTCATTCACATTTTTCTTTTTTCTCATACTTTTATAAATGAAATTATTCTAATAAAATATTTTTTTTTAAAGACATTTTGCTTCTTGAGGCAAAGGGCAAGAGGTGCCACCCCCCTTTTAATGGTGAATGAACTGGCTATTAACTCGTACTTCAATGCAGAAAGCAACAAACTAATTTAGGAGATGCTGGGCAGGCTGCATGGTTCCCAGGTACCTCATGTTGCCTAATGATAGGACCGGCCCTGAGTAGGGGTGCGTTTATGGCAGCCTCTTCCCATCCCCGAACACCATTTGAAAGAGATCAGCTCCACCTCTGCATGTCGCCAACGGTTTAAAAACTTTTGTCACTCCTGTGTATGCTGGCAGCTTTCTGCGAGAGTCACCAGAATTAAATTTCTGGTTGCTGCTGGCAAACTGAATGCTCTCTTTGGGGACCCTTGCAGATGAGATTAGGCATGCTATCTTTGCAGACCACAGGGCGGCTGATGGAGTCAGTGCAGCCCAACTGACTCCCAAGAACAGCATCTGGAGTCTGTAGCAAAAGCCAGCCTAGCCCTATAATGGACCAGCAGGCACCTGTGACATATGTTTCGCATCAATAAAACTATCTGATCAATTTCAGGGCACTGGTTTTGATATTTTTTTTTAAAAAAGGTTTCTATTAAGGATGGGCTCTGCTCTGCAAGCCATGGGTGATTAGGAACCATCTGTTTCTGAGGGCGAATTCGCAAAACAAAATTATTTGCTCCTAGACGCAAGTAGTCCTGATCTGTGTTCAGAAAGCCCCTCACTCGGGGCCCTTTCTCACCTCCTCGGCCATTACTTGATGACTCCATATGGTAAAGGTAAAGGACCCCTGGACAGTTAAGTCCAGTCAAAGGCGACTATGGGGTTGCAGCGCTCATCTCGCTTTCAGGCCGAGGGAGCCGGTGTTTGTCCACAGACAGCTTTCCGGGTCATGGGGCCAGTAAGACTAAACTGCTTCTAGCGCAACGGGACACCATGACTGAAGTCAGAGCGCACTGAAACACCGTTTACCTTCCCATCACAGCGGTACCTATTTATCTATTTGCGCTGGCGCACTTTTCAACTGACAGAGCTCACTCCATCGCGGGGACTCAAACCGCCAACCTTCCGATCGGCAAGCCCAAGAGGCTCAGTGGTTTAGACCACGGCGCCACCCATGTCCCTGCAGACTCCATTATGACCTGCATGTGTGAACAACGTTGGCTGAAATGAAATAGATGCTTTCCAATGGGGGCAGCTATCTAGGAGTTCAACTGTCAATCATCCAATGTATAGTAATCCAAGACAAGAGAAGACTAGGCTCTCACTTGCTGGAGGAGATAATGGGCAGTCATCTTTGCATCAAATATGGAGTTGAAGTAGAAGACTATACATCCCCACTTCCCAAGTTTATCCTTCTATGTCAGGCATGGCCAAACTTGGTCCTCCAGCTGTTTTGGGACTATAATTCCCATCACCCCTGACCACTGGTCCTGTTAACTAGGAATGATGGGAGTTGTAGTCTCAAAACAGCTAGAGGGCCAAGTTTGGGGGTGCCTGTTCTATGTATATGGGCTCAGTTCTGCCATATAGCAGGAGGAAGTGACCCACTTTGGGCAACACCATGAAGGGAATTAGGTGAAAGGCATCTCCAGGCCATTTTTTAAAGGGTGTATTCTGCGGCATGCCATGATGTAATAACAGGGCATTAGTGGTTGATTTAGACTGGATTGCTCACACATACCGGTAATTATGTTTTATTAGTTGTTCTGGGATACTTCCCCAACGTTGCTGCGTGATTGCCATGCAGAAGGGAACTCTTGCACCACAGTACCCTGAACTGGGACCTCCAGATGCATCGTCTCTTGAGATAAAAGTCCCTGGAAAAACCAACCCCCTTTTTATACCAGGTGGGGCACAAGTTGGGAGTGAATGAGAGGCCACTGAATAAGTGAAGAAGAAGCTTCAGGCTGCTTTTAAGAGCTTGTCACTTGTCAGAAAGGGGTTGGAACTTGGAATGGGTAAAAGGATTTGGTTTAGTTGGAGGTTTTGTTAGGTTGTGAACCACCCCAAGATCTATGGGTATAGGGTGGTATACAAATTTAATAAATAATAATAATATTAATAATGTCAAAGCACTTTTGTCGGATGAAAGATAACCCCGGCCCTGCAATTCCAGCCCAACTGGTGAACTGACCACACATCTGCTCCATATTATGGAGGAGCATTCAGACATGGGGAATAGTGCATTAGTTTCCCTGATTCCAAACAGCCCCAAATTTCATCACTTTTCAGGTCAAGGGGGCTGCAAAGGATTTTTCTCTGGAATCAAGCAACGCAGAAATGTGTGTGAAACATGCACTGTATTCTGTTAAGTTTTCTGAAAGTGGCTTTTGCATTGTGTGAAAGCTCAAATATAATTTGGAAATTAACAGGGAGATGGAATAAACTGCTGTGTGAACGCAGCCCAAGGCAGCATTTGTGCATCTTAATTGCGAAGCCTTTATTGCTCACTATTTTGCAGCCTGGTCACATGTGAAAGGATAAGGTTGTGTGGCATGGTCCCCAGACCACTGCCTGGAAAACAGAGTGTCTTCAAAACCAAATAAGCTGTTCTAAGCGAAACTCATTCAGTGATGGGTTTGTTATCTCACAGCCTGGCTCCCATTAGTGATCAATTGCCTATGGCAATTAGATACAATGATCTGCGGTGGCCAATCATCTTACAGACTGATAGCTATACACTTCCACCAAAGTGATAAATGCAGTTATCAAGTGAAGAACTTCCAAGTGTGAACTTAACTGAGTGTAATGAACCACTGTTCTGAATAGACAGCATGCCACAATCATTTTGCACGTAATGGAAAGAAACAGTAGAAATGTACAGATGCTGTTTCTATCTCCTGTGACTTCCAGTTAACTTTGGCTGTTAATCGTTGCTCATTTGATTAAAAAGATTAAAAGGAGAAATTAGGTATTTATGAACATAAGGTAAATTTTTAAGGAATTTAGGGGATACTAGTTATCTGACTAACCATTTCCTGTGCAGGCAAATGAGTAGGGAATTCCTCTCATTGCTGATTTATTGTACTGATAAATGTGGATTTGTGACCAACATGTCCAACATGTATTTTTAATTTATATTAATTTTTTGATAAAGCAGTATTTGGCTCAGCATCTGCTGATAATAAAATTCATAACCATAATATCCGAAAGCCTTAATATAAATCTCTATTCTGACCAACATCTGTAAATAAAGTGCTTCAGGCACTTAGGAAACCTATTATTGTTGAATTATTATTATTAGATCAATACTGATGTGTTTTGCAAGGAATTTCCACCTAATCCAATTATCTTTGTTCAAACTTTAGGGGTTCTTCTGCGTTTATCACTGCTAAAACAACACAAATTTAGAGATGTGATTGAGCTGAAGCTAAGCACTTAAGAGTCTCAAGCCCAGTGCAGATGTAACATTCCCAATCTTGTATTTATGGCTAGAAGATAAGAGTGGTGGTCATTCTCCTTCACAAATTCTCTTCTCCCTTCCTGTGGTAGTTTTAACCATGGTGCATCCATCTGCCTGGATAAGAACTAGCCATGATGAATGGCAACCAGGGTAAATTTTAACCAGGGTTGGCAAGCCAGCCTCCAACCCTGGTTTAAAGCCAAACCATGGTCAGCACACAGCCAGATATAAAACTACACCAGTGTTAAACCAAACAATGGAAAAGAGGGTGGTATCCAGGCTGAAGAGGAACAAGAGTAGGGTAAGTAGTGCTTGCTAGGTGCCTGATGATGGGCCTCAACGATATCATAGTTAAAAGTACATGTTTAAATCTTTCCCACTGAAAGCAAGGAGATTTTAAAATGCTTCATTTTGGCTTAGTTGCACCCTTTGCTGGAACATTAACCATTCAGTACATTAACTAATAGTCTAGTTCTGTTGTTAAAATATATATATATATGTAATAAAAAGAGAGATATCTAAGACTGAAAGTGCAGATTGCATTTATTCTCTGCATGGATGGTCCTCTGTAAGGTCACGCAAGTACTTAACACACCAACCAAATAGTTCCTACATTCAAATCACATTCACGTCAGTGAAATGTTAATTCTATACAAACAAATAAAAAAATGATAATAATTAAAACAAAACAAAACAAAAGACAAGTCAGCAGGAAGAAAAGAAAAACCCTAGTTCTAAGTTAACAATGGCAGAACGCTACTGAGACAACACCATAGAAACCTCACTGAAGCAGGAGTTAAATTCAGGCCACTTCTTAGCAAAGCTCATCACAGACTTTGAAAAATATTGTTGTTTTCTTTAAACTTTGGGTTTGGGAGTCAGATTTTCCAGTGTGATGCGTCATTCAAAAATGCTAATGCGGAAGCATAGCGATCCCACCTGGTAGGATAAAATATATTTCACTTCCTCTGAAAATTACTGCTGACTGACACCCATTTGCTGGTGATCGGCTTCCGCCTCTTCTTCTTCCACATCTGCATTATATTCTTCAAACGCATCATCGTCTACATCTGGAAGCCCCAATAGCTATTTATAAAGACGACAGAAATAAAATTGTGAGTGTAATACAAAAGGGCAAAACAACCAGGCAACAGCACTGATGTTCTAACTCCAAGAACAAATTGAGGATGTGGTTATTTGCAGCACCACATAAAAGAATTTAAAATTGCGGGAAGGAGTGTAACAGCTCAGTGACTCGTGGGCCAGAGAGGGCCAATTCACACATTAGGCAGCAGTTGACTTGGTTTGTTCCTAAGATACTTATCAATAAAATGAGGCCAGCTCCAGCTCCCTGAATGAGCACACCTGTAGGATGCTGAAGTTTGTAGACACCTCTGGTTCATTTAGTTTTCACACATCTTTGGTGTTAATAATAATTAAAAATGTGTAAAGAAACCCAGGCACATAAACCTCCTTTCTTCACAGCAATGGGGGCTGCCATACTTGTTGAGGGAAATCTTCCCTTCAAGAGCTTTAGATACCGGAGTTAGCTCTGCAAACCTGGAGATCTGTTGATAATACTGGGCCATTAGTCTGACTCTAATACATTCATGCAGCCTTGTAAATAAGCCTGCAGACATTACTAGCCTGCTAGGTACTAGGCTGTGTCTCCAGCAGAAGTAGGAGGAGGAACTGTTATGCTAGCTTCCCAGCAGGTGAGTTCACTGTTGCTTACCAGGAGGGAGACAGGTGAAGCAGTTAGTACAGTGCAAATACACTATATTGCTTCCTGTAGTGCTCTTGCACTGTGCTGACCTCCCTGCCGCCTTGCTCCCCATCCCAGTAAGAAACACTGACTCACCTGCTGGGAAGTTAACCAGGAAGCCCCCTCTTCTGCATACAGCAAGGAAACGCAGCACACTTAACAATGTAGTGAAAAAGAAAGATGACATCTTTCAAAGGCTGGTGAAGAGAGGACAGAACAGAGGGTTGGATCAACAGACAACCAGGAAACCAAGTGGACTGGAGGAAGAGGAAGAGAAATCCCTTTGCCGACGCCGCCACCAGCCTGTTCACTTGTTCCGTGTGGAATTCCTGGTTGCCTGTAGCTACCAGGTAAGTTGTTAAAGGCAAGGTTGTGTTCAGAGCAGGATAAAAGGTGAATGTGACGTCTGCCCTTAAATGGCACTGCTGCCCATTCACTTTTAACAAAACTAACTTCCACGTAAGTGAGTTTTGGGGTTGTGATATTTTGATCACCAGGCTGGAAGCAGCCCTATGGAGAGCATCTAATGCAGGCCCTACAATGTCAAGATTGCCTAGGGTTAAACCATAACTGAGAGATGCACATTCGGGGCCAAGCTGGACTCCAGCTCCCATCAGCTGCAACAACATGTCAGCAACATCTTCAGGGCACCCCTGTCATACAGGATGGGTGCAACTATGGCTCCCTCTGTGCTTCCATCCTGCGCTACTCCAGACACATGAGAAGCAGGGGAGATCACATGGCAGGGGCTGACAAGAGAATCACTTCCTGTGGCTGTGTGCACCTAGGGAAGATGCCCCTATGGAGAGTAACCACAGTTGTCCCGCTGACCTGAGGTTCCTAGTTTAGCATTACTGGAGCAGCGCAGGCAGAGAAAGACTGGGGAACCTGAAGCTCCACCTGTGGTTGTTGGACACCAAGTCCCATCAGCCTCAGCTGCCATGCCCAAAGGTCAGGGGTGATGGGAGATGAAGTCCTACGGTCTCTGGAGGGCCACTGCTTCCTCATTCTTTGGACGGAGGAGCAACACACCTGATTCTTCTTAGTGTAATGTTTTCTCAGGGGGAAAGAGCATGCTCAGTTCTCCACCCTTTTCAATTTCAGTAGATTGTGAAATTTCACAACAGAGGTGCCAGGAAATAATTCCACATCAGAGTCTGCCAGCACAGCCAACTACTCTAGTTCTTTAGATGCTGCATGCTGAAATAAAAAAACAACGTGTGTATCAATTCTCATATGGGATGGACGGGCCCTTTTGAGTTGCTTTCCGTCCCAGCTGGGAATGTCTGTTTGGAAAACGGGAGACAGAAAAATAAAGCTCTTAAAAATAAACTTATGCTTACACACATTTATGTGTGATGATGGGAAACGATCATGGAAGCGTGTGGTGTTTGTGGTCTGGCATGTTGAAAACAAAACCTCTTAATGCAATAAAGCCAAAGGGTAAAAAAATGGACACTTACAGGTCTGAATGATTTGAAGACTTTTTCCAGTATTTCATGCAGTGTCTTTTTACCACAGGAGGAGATGTAGTCCTGCGCCAACTGCAGGAAAGGCAAGCAGTCCTCGCTTTCACTCCAGACGTGCTGCAAAGGCAAGCCATGACAAAGCAGGGGTTAATCATGCAGGCAGTGAAGTTTAAAAAGCAATAAAACTGATATGGAGAGATTCTGGAGCTGTAGAGTGATCTATAGAGAGCTGTGGGGAGGAACAGGTTAAAACCCAGGAGCCTTAACCCAATGGCAGCCCCCATCTAACTCTCTGCTGTCCAGTGGCTATGTGGTTGCATATAAATCTTCCCTCTGCATAGACTCAGCGTTGCCACAAATGTTTAAAGGATTTCTACTCTGCTCTCCAGCCACATGGTGACTTACAAAGAGCAACAGGGAGAGGGTCACCTCCCTCAGGCTCATGACACAAAAGGAAAAGGATGGGGAGGGGAGAGGAGAGGAGGAAAAGCAAACTCAAGTACCAAGTCAAAGTAGCAGAATTGTTATATTGGGTGGTGCCTCCAGACTGTCAGCATTTTGGAGGAAGGAGTCAAGGGCATATCAGAATTTTAGGTTTGTGCACCTAAAACGGATTAAAGTGCTGTGTCACCCTAGCACAGGGGTGCAGAATCTCTCACCCACTGCCCAAAATTGGCTTGGCCCGGATCCCAATTTGGCCCATTTCCCCAGCCCATGTTGAAATTCCCTGGCCCTCTTCATGCTTGCTGTGTTACCCCAGAGGTGCAGGAAAAGCCACCATTGATCAATGAAGCCACTGCCCATCCGCTGACAGGCAGTGACTTCAAGTCTGATCAGTGGCAGCTTTTTCTACACCTCTGGGGTAACACAGCAAGCAGGAATTTGCACACACTTCCCCTGTGCAACGCAGAAGCTCCTGCGTCAGTCCTGGACCTCCCTTCCCTCCTGCACTGGCAGCCAGGTGTCTTGGTGAGCAACGCAGCTAATGAGGAGAGCTGAGGGCCAGCACCAGAGGTTGGCACTGACAGGCACCTGCAGAAGCCACGTCTCAGGATGTGGCCCGCTGCCCATCCATGGAACCAGCAGTCCTGCTGCACCTCCACCTTGCTCTCAGTTACTGCTCACGTGACCTCTGCGAGCAAGCAAGCAATGGCAGGGGCAAGGAGAATGAGCTGTAAGTTCTACTTGCCTCTTCAACCTTTGGTCCTTAGATGCTGCTGGACTACGACTCCCATCATTCCAGGCTGCTGGGGACTGTGGGAGTTGTAGTTCAATGCTATATATGAGGAGCCAAGTTGAAGGACATTGCTTGCCATACAGACTGGCTTCCAACAAAGAGGGCAAGCAAATGGGGAGTGGTGTGGTGGACAGGAACTAGCTCCTTAAGTCTTCTCACTGAAAGATCCCCAAAATTTGAAGGCAGCATTGGGAAATGACCAGGATGTGATTGGGCAGGAATGATTCCGCCCTCACAAAGAATCATCTTGATTTCTCCAGCTTTTTGATTATACGCACAACATTTTACTCACATTATAATGTCCCCTCCAGTTATCACACTCAACCACCCTTTTATTCCCTATGCAACTCTCTACTTCAGATATAAATTCACATCCAATATGTCTGGGACAACACATAGCTACAGCATTGATCTAGCCACACCTGCAGTCTTTCAGAACAAAGAAGAAGAATGTTAATTAGTGCAGGCACTTAATTAGGTTACAAACTGACTTGCTGGTAGGGTTCAAAATGCAGAGGGGCTAATCAGAGCCAGTGCGGTTCAGTGGATAAGAGTGCTAGATCAGGACTCTGGAAACCAGAGTTCAAATCCCAACTCATCTGTGAAGCTCAGTGGGTGACCTTGAGCCAGTCAGTTTCTCAGCCTCACCTACTTTGCAGGGTTGTTGTAAATGTAAAGCAGGAGTTGAGAGACATGTGCACCACTTGGAAGAAGGCTAAAATGCAATTAATACCGTCTATGAAATATCTATCCATCCATCCATCCATCTACCTATACCTACACCTACACACACCCACACACCCACACACCCTCATGTTTGTGTGTCTCCATCCCTTGGAAACAGAAGGCCTGTCTTACGTAGGTCACCTCAACCTCTAACAGCCTCCTGTATCCAGGAGTAGCCCCAAGCTAAGTACCTGCTCCCTTAGAGGAAGTGCAATGCTATCCAGAACAGGCAACCACCATACCTTCCAGATTCGTGAAATACCTGTCCACAGAGCCTCCATCTTTCTAGGGTTCAAACTCAGCTGTTGGCAGATGTCAGCTAAGTTAGCTGAACATATTGGCACTGCCTCTGCACCAGGGTGGCCAGCCCACCATAACCAGGTCGCATGTTGTCTCCAAAAGGAGGCAGATCTAAAGAGGATTAATTTCAAAGTCGTTTCTGAAAGGTTTGTTACATAAGCACATTTGCAATGAGATTCCCAATGATAAAAGCATATAGGTATAAATAGCTATTACATAAAATCTGTCCTGTATTGCCAGGATCAGCTCTATACAGTTCATATAGTCAGCAGAAGAATTGGGAAGCAGAGATTTTCCTAGACTGGAACATCTCATGTAATCTTTGGAGATTGCATGTCCGAATTTGCCTCCATGAAAAATGCTGCATCATGGATGACGCTGAAAAAGTCTCCCTGAGGTGCTATTTTCAGTTTCTTTAAGGATTCCTCCACCCACCCCACCAGGCACCATCCCCATTTCCATTGGTACAATCTGGAAAAAGGCTTTATCACTGGCAAATGTTTACCACTCAGTTCTGCTGATTGCATAAACTGGCTCTAGGAGGAAAGCAAGCAATTATGTGTGAAAACGAGACAAAAATCTCAAGACCATGTTTTGAACAACGTCAATATATTAACTTTTACATGTCAAGAACCCCAGATTTTAGGTCCAGGGCATCTGCACATAGAATATTTCAAAGCGGGACGAATCAGGTTACCCCTACTCTTCCTGTAAGCGTTACAGTCTAAATATATGGCACTCCCCAGGTACTTTTTCAGTTTCCAGTTTTTCACAAGGAAAAATAGGTGTCAAGCTATTTTTTATTAATACTTCATTGTGAATATTAGAACATTTAAGTTTGCCAGCTGCGACATACGAGCAAAATCAATTTCATGTCTCAAGCAAAATCCAAAGAACAGAAAGAAAATTACACAAGGATCACATCAAAGACCTAACTGAAAGCATGTTATACAAGATCATACGCAAACATTATTTAGCAGAGTACACAAACCCACACAACAAATGCCACTCAGTCTCCACCCCTAGATTACCATGGTTTGGAGGTCAAGAAATGCCCTTTACTGTAGTCTTATTTCTTTGTTCTCCCTCTGCTCTAAAGTATTTCCATCCTATTTTTTGGAGCTAACATTCTTATGCATTTGCAATGGCATTTTTGCAAGCCATGGTTTGCTCTAACCGCAGTTTGCAACGTGGTTAGAAGTGGGTCTACAAATTATGCAATGCTAAACCATGCTTAGCTCTAAAAAAGGGAAAAAAGGGAATTCACAAAGTTGGAGGAGGGAAGGTGGAGAGGTATGAGACCCCACAGACCACCTCTGCTTTGCAAACCATGGCTAGGCAATTAGAAGACTCACACTACACTGTGCCCAAGGTGAAATAAATTAGGTAAATAAATTAGGTTCTCTATTGTACAAAAAGTTTGAGACGCCTTAACAATGACCCATATTAAGTACCCTGAAATACCTAGAGATAGTTAGAATTCTTCATGCTGTTTGCTTCTTGACCACCTGTGGCACAGAAGCTCTGCTAGAAAACAAAATGGATCCCAAAGTGCCAACAGAAGCGGGAACTCTGTTAACATGTTGAATCAGACAAGCTTCATGCTACGTTGGTCTTTGCCCATTGCATGTCCCAGTCTAAGCTCTCTGGCTCATCTATCACCTGGGGGACGTGTGCAAAGGGAGTTTAGCTTCATTCACGTCCAATTCACAAAGGAAAACTGTCAACCCAGCGCCAGAAAGACTTAACACTACACGGATGTAACAGGAGGCAGTTTTGCTAAGCAACCCACTGAAAACTGAACACAACTGCAACAGCAAAGTGAGAATAAAATGAGGGTTGTGAGAAAATACACACACAACTTTTGGTCCTTTATGAATCGCTTTTCCTCTTACAAACTGTCAGATTAAGTGTACTCTGCAAGACTACACGTCTTGTTAACTTCAGCTGACCTGAAATTTGAAATAATCAGTGGTACATGCCTGTGTTCCATAGAAAATCTTCCTTTTCTTCTCTGAAAACAAGACCAAGACAGCTTAAAGACAACCTGGCAGCTTAAAGGTTTCTTCTCAACCAATTCAGGGCTCCTGAGTGCTGTTCTTTATCTGATTACTTATTTCTCTTAAGCCCACCTATCCAGCTTGCAGACAGCAGAGTTCTCTTCATGGTTCCTAGAGCATTTGTGCAAGAACATGCTGATACCAGTGGTTCAGCACCAAGAACATGGGCTGGATACAGAGTTTATCATGTTTGAAACACAGCTATTGAAATTAACAGGACTTAAGTTAATGAAAATGCTGTGTGAAATCAAAATTGGTGTTTTCATGAATGCCAATAACTCAGCTGTATAGTTTATATTGTACAAAAGCTTTAACTGCCAGTGGAAAAGGTAAGGGGGGGACCTAGACACTTGAGGGGAGTCAAACTGAAAATTGGGTGGTACATGATAACCTTTCATAACTTATGTGACCCAACAGCAGGGTCAGAATCTTCCACCTGCCTCTCAGAAATGTGTGTGGCTGGATATGAACTCCAAACATTATTGGCCATTGGCTTGAAAACTACAGCCGCCAAGACATAAGCAACACATGAGGCTTGTAATGTGCTATTGATTTTTGTTGTGAATCTGTAAAATGATTTCCAACACCCCTGCTTCTGTTGCAATGCTGGCGTTTGATGGTAGACACCTAGTCCGTGTTTTCTTTTGGTTATTATTATTATTATTCATTTCATTTCTATACCGCTTTATATTTTTGGTTGGTGTTCTATGCTTGATCCTGTTAGTTTTATATTTTATTTGTTTGTATACTTAGCTACTGAAACTTATTATTATTCACAAGGCAGTGTTTCTATATCAACTCTCATGTTGCAAATGCACACTTAAAAATGCAAACAAACAAAGCCACACTCTGCTGTTGTCTGGAAGCACTAATGTGATGCAGCTAACTACCCAGCCAAGGGCAGGAATAGCAGAGTTGGGCCAGCAACAATCACTATCCCATCTTGGCAGGGGGAAGAATGAAATTCTCAAATGGAAACACTTGGGATGGGAGGGTCAATAGCAACACCCGTCTACATTTTCACAAGCCATGGTTTATGAAGGTGCGGGCCAAAGTCCCAATGACACCAGTGAGCAAGAAGACAGATCTAGCATGGAGAGAATGAGTGATATAAACATGCAAGTGTGCATAGGACCCAAGATGCTGCAAGAATGGAATGTTTTAGAGCAGGCATGTCCAGTTCCCAAGAGACTGCGATCTACTCCAAGTCTTTAAAAAAACTGACAGTGATCTACCCATTGTCACTGGAGGGAGGAGGGTCGTGGGTGGGGTGGGTGGATTGCCCAGAGTTGCTGAGCTTTTTTTAAAGGAGAATTGTACAGAGTTTTTAAGCTTTTCCACCCATAACTTTTTGTACACGATAAGGATCCCGTGGTCTACTGGTTGGACATCCCTGTTTTAGAGGGTAAGGTAAAGGTAAAGGTACCCCTGCCCGTACGGGCCAGTCTTGCCAGACTCTAGGGTTGTGCGCTCATCTCACTCTATAGGCCGGGAGCCAGCGCTGTCCACAGACACTTCCGGGTCACGTGGCCAGCGTGACAAGCTGCATCTGGCGAGCCAGCGCAGCACACGGAACGCCGTTTACCTTCCCGCTGGTAAGCGGTCCCTATTATCTACTTGCATCCGGGGATGCTTTCGAACTGCTAGGTTGGCAGGCGCTGGGACCGAACGACGGGAGCACACCCCGCCGCGGGGATTCGAACCGCCGACCATGCGATCGTTTTAGAGGGTACTTGTGCTAAAAACAGCATCTGATCTAGTTTGGCACATACAATGCTTCAGGGACGAAGAGGAATAGCTCTTCATGGCTTCAACATGTACAGAATGGTTGTGTGAATTGGCAACGAGACATAAGCCTTCAAATCCATGTCTTTAAGAAACAAGGCACAAAGCAGCCCAGATGTCGTTCTAGCCACTCAGTTGATTATTTTATTGTAAGACTGTTAATCAACCAAATATTTATTTGGCCTGGCTGCTGTTGTGGGGTTTGTTTGTTTGTTTTTGCTTCCAGTTGCCAGAAAAGCAACAGGCAAGGTTGGTTTTCCACCCTTCAGGCAGTTAAAAACACACAACAAAACTATATAACTTGGAAAGGATCTATCCTTTCCAGGTTTTGTGTGAACTCCTTTGGACCTTCCAAAACCACGACATCACCCTTGGATTCACAAAACTCCCATTAGGCTTTCACCCAACTCCAACAAGGCCCACACTTGGCTCTGCCCCCTAATCCCAAAGGTCCACTTAGTGGTTGAACCTTCCCAGGAACCACAACTTTTTATATCAAAATCTGGCAACTCTAGCCAAATATGGAGCCCTAGTTCTTAAAGAAATCAACTGTAGGCTGCTTTCCGTTAAGCAGATCCAATGTTTCAAAACTTTCAAATGAACTTTACAAAGCATAACCCACTAGACAGAACTGCATTATCATAGCAGTAACGTTCTTGCCTGCTCTCCATTTTTACCCTGCAAAAGCCCTGGCAAAGTGCCTAGTGTCATTGAGAACGCTGTCCTGGGGCCAGTTATTATTATCAAAAAAATAAATTTTATTATCCATTTTCATCTATGAGTAATTCCTCTCTTTGGGAATTCAGAAGAAGTCTAGAAACTAGGCTGTGATAATTGGCAAAGTCTCCAATTACACTAAAAAGCCAAGGGCAGGCGTGCGAGAGACCTCCCATCTCAGACTGTCACAAGAACATAGGAAGTTAGTTTCTACTGAATCAGACCATTGGTCCATCTAGCCCCATATTGTCCACACTGACTGGCAGAGGCCTTCCAGGGTTTCAGGCAAGCGGACTCTCCCAGAGCTACCTGGAGATGCCAGAAATCAAACCTGGGACTTTCTGCATGCAAGACAGATGCTCTACCATGAGCTACAACCTTTCCCCAACTGTGCTGTACTGTACAATGTTCCACAGAACTGGCCCAAGACCAACACTACACCATGCTAGTTCTCTGAGTCTCAAGCTCTCTTTTAATTATTTTGGCCTTTTCCACAAAGGGGCTTTCAATGATCAGCTTGTTGCGAAAAGAAATTGCAATGAGGTGCAGCACGGCTTCTGAGTCATGGGCATACTTACAGAGTGGCAAGCCCTATTCCCCCACGGGAATGTACTTAAGACAGCAAGGCTTTTCCAGTGAAATTGATGTGGCCCACCTTAAGCCCATGAGAGATGGTGAGCTAGAAATAAAAACCCAGTAATTCCCCTTAATAGATTAGATGCAGACTTAAGCCATGCTCCGAGTAGGCCCATTGAAATCAAGGAGACTTGCATTAGCCATTGCTAAATTAAGGCCTAGTGAGTTCAATGGGTCTCTTCTATGCACAACTGAGTCTGGCGCCACCAACTCAAAGGGCCATGTTCATGCCATACATTTAAGGCACTATGACGCCACTTTAAACCGTCATGGCTTCCCCCAATGAATTCTGGGAGCTGTCATTTGTTAAGGGCGCTGGGAGTTGTTAGGAGACCCCTAGTCCCCTCCCAGAGTTCCCTGTAAAGAGGGATTTATTGTAAAATGACTTGGAGAACTGTAGTTCTGTGAGGGGAATAGGGGGTCCTAAGTTCAGCACTCATAACTGGCTACTGCTCCCAGAATTCTCTGGGGGGAGCCCTGACAGTATCACAGTGCTTTAAATGTATGGTGTGATTGTGGTCCTAGTGAAGGCCCATTCATTATTTCTGCCAGGAAAAACATAAGAAGCTACCACCAAGCGGCCGCCAAAAGGGAAGAAGAAGCAGCGGCATCCCCTCAGAAAAGAATTTTCTCTAGATCCTCCAGAGCAACAAATTTAAGATATTCCTCTCGGGAAGCCCCTTGTGGAACTAAATGATACAAGGGTGCCCCTTGGGGAGAGGGCAGTTATCCTACTGACTCCATTTTATCACAACACATTCTCCACTGGATAGGGTGATAGCAATTCACCCATGCTATTAGCCAAACTTCTGATGGAGGTGAAACGGGGCAGACCTACACTTTGCTGCCCCATCCTTTGGTACCTACCTTCTGAGAGAAAAACAGCAGATTCTGGGAAGAGGTTTTGAATATGCTACCTACAGGGCTGGCTCTTAATTTCAAACCACCATCACTCAACTCACTCCTTTCTATTACCTCTGTGGACAAACACCGGCTCCCTCAGCCTGAAGCAAGACTGAGCGCCGCATTCCAGACTGGACTTCACTGTCCAGCGATCCTTTACCCATTGCCTTTTAATTCTGGCCAACCTGCCAGTGACCAGGGGAAGCAGACTCCATTTTGCATATGATCTGGAAAGGACGATGCTCCCAGCAATAGGAATCCTAAGGATTGCATTCTCTGCCCTTTCCCTCCTACATCATCATCCCAAGCACCCACATTTTCTATTCTTCCTATTTAGTAGCAGTAAGTGACCCAGTCCTTGCTTATATCGCTGCAACCCCAGGCCTGCTAGGAGGTTCTTTCCTCTAGCAAGCCATGCACAGAGCGACGCTTGCAATTTCCCACCAGCCCCTCCCAGGGTAAATGCAAGGCAGCAACAACATGGGAACTGTACCGTTCAAGGCCTGGCGTTTCCTCTGGGGTGAGAAGGATGTGCAACATTTTCAGAAAAAGGAGTACCTTGAGCTTCACTATCAGATCTCTGAAGCTTCAACGCTCTGAAAGATGGAGATGCCCTCAGCGGATCACGTGAGATCCACCAAACACAGCCCAACCACGGGACTCAAGACTCCTGGTTTGCCGACCAGTTCCTATAGGTAAATTCCAGAATCGTCTAAGATGAAAGGGGAACTGCTTGCCCTCATATCTAGCAGGAGGTTACACATTGCTGAGGGGAGAGGCACTCTGCACAAGCTCAGAGATGCTCTTCTCTTGTTTACAATAGAAGAGCAGTTTCTGAGCTCTGGGCGCAGTCCTGTGCCTAAGATTTCAGGTTAAAACTGCAGAGTGGAAGGAAAGGAGGACCTTTTTCTGCCTTCCCACTTCCAGCTACTCTCTGAAGACTGGAGACAAGACCCTCTTAAGAATATTAGGGGGGCAGACAGGGAAAGGACTGGACCATGTGAAAAACAAACACAGTATTTTTGCTGCAGTTCATTCATTTTCAGCTTTGTATTCTTGTTATTAAAAAAGCAAACCTAGACGTTCCGTTGTTGCGCCTGTAACCTTGGTTTCAGGTGCCATTGGGCTCCTAGTTTTCATAGCTCCATTTCTAACACAGCCTTTGGGGTCCCTTCCAATGCTACAATTCCATGATTCTAGGAGGTGAGAATAACAACGCAGGTTTCCTTGAGCTCCTTGGAGAAAAATACCGGCTGGAATTGAAATCAATAAACATAAGGCCTAGGGGTCAAAAGAAGCCCCAATGTTTTAATTGTTCTGCTGCCTGGGGGGTTCCTTTGGGAGCAAGGACGAGATATAAAAATAAATTAAGCAAGGGGCCAGCGCTTGCCAGAATAAAAGGATGCACACCTTGAGGCAGATGATGCCAGCTCTGAGACTCCTTCCAGGTGGGGAAATCCATCACTCCCAGGCAAAGGAGCCAATGTTAACCTCCCGGCCCAGGCGAAGATGAATGTGAGGCGCAAATGCACTCGATGACTTAAGCTCCCCCCCCCCACCTCCAAAAGCAGATGAAATCCCAAGTGCTGTGAGTGTGGATGGCCAGACTGGAACCATGAGGAAGGCTGAAAAGGCTGAAAGGCCCAGAAGGGCCAAGACCCCCTTTTCTCTCTCTGTGCCCCCCCCACCTCACTATCAGGGGTGCCAACTTGAATTAAATATTGGGGGCGCAGGGAAGCCCTGCCCCACATATCTGATCCCATGACACCACTCTAATAGCAATGCCCATCAACAATATTTCAGATATTTTTTTGTGGGGGGGAGCGAAGACACCTCAGCCCCATGGTTCCCAACATGGGGCACATGCCCCACGGGGGGGGGGGCAATTTGATTTTGGGTTTGTTTGTTTTTAGGGGGGGCAATTTGAGAATGAATTAGTAACAGTGAATGGCCTTTTAGGCTTCCTCCGTGTGAACAGTTCACTTCTTGAATAAAAAGAATTATATGGGGGGGAACGCATCAGGATTTTAGAGATGCTTAGGTGGGGCATGGCCCCAAAAAAGGTTGGGAACCACTGCCACTGCTTCTGCCCCTAGGTCTTGGCTCCTGTGTCCACTCTTAAGGAAGAATCACCCCCAAAAGGTGGGAAAATAAAATAATAATAATAATAATAATAATATATTATTGTTATTATTATTATTTCATGGGGGCAGGGAGGAAAGCGAAGACACCTCAGCCCCATGGTAATATATATAATATATTATTATTATTATTATTACTATTAGAAAAAAATCCCCCCCCAAAGAGAAAAAGAAACACAGCAGGGGAAAGAAACAGAAAGGGGCTCCCTGGTCTTTCTCTCCCTCCCCCATTATTTTTTGCGCCTCTTTCTTAGGGGCCAACTCCATGGGGCTCGCGAGGGGGGGGGGGCCCAAAAGGAAAAACAAAAGTTGACGTCCGTGGCCATTCAAAGCGTGTCGCGTCACCTGATGGGGCGGGGCTGGCCTGGCCTGCCCCCCCCACCTCAATATTTTATTCCAGTTGTGGGGGGAGGGGGAGGGAAAAGGACACCCCCTGAGGGGGGTCGTCGCCTGTGGCTACTTACGAAGCTGTCCCCTCCGCAGCCGTTGTCCGGGCACAGCACGTAGAAGGAGACGCCCGGGTCGGCGTAGAAATCCATCCTGCGCTCCGTCTCCTCGGTGGCGATGAGCTCGAAGGGGGTGCGCGAGCACCATTTGTCCGCCGCGTCCGCCAGCTGCTGGAAAGCCATCGCCTCAGGCCGCCGCCTCAGGCCGTGTGTGGGGCTGACGGGACCCGCTTCCTCCTCCTCCTCCTCCTCGGGGTTTATTCGGCCGGAGCTGCTCCTCCCTCAGGCGCGGCTGCTGCTGCTGTTGCTGCTGCGGCCGCCGGGCTTCGCATTCCCGGTTTACATGCTGAGGGGACGGCGGCCGCTTTCCCCCCCCCCCCCAGGCCACCCGCCCTCTCTTCTTTTTCTTCCTCCTCTCTTCCTTTCCCGCCTCAGCAGCCCGGCATAGGGGCTCCTCGGTCGCTGCGCCTCGGCTGGATGCGGCCGGATCCTGCTGGATCTCGAGGAGAATGAGCCACCCGCTCGCCCCTTTCGGGTTCGGAGCTTGGCGGTGCGCACGCGCAAACGCGCAGATAGGGGGAAATAACGGGAACGAACGGCCGTTCGCGGCGGCGACGCGAGACTCGGCGGATGTCTTTCGGCGCCTGAAACGGGAGACGCCCTCAGAATATCGCGCAGGGCGGCAGCCCAGTGGAAGGCGGAGCAGCCCCGATCCGGCAGAAACGCCGCGGGGTTTTCCAGCCGCGCTCCGAATTCTGCTAAGGCAGGGGCTGAAAATAATCCAGAGGCGAGCGGAACAGCAAAAATCCCAGGCCTAGGTCACTTTTTGTTTCAGCCGTGTGTGTGTATGTGTGTGTGTGTGTGTATATATATATATAGAGAGAGAGAGAGAGAGTTTATGTGTGTGTGTGTGTGTTGATCGTTGATCTATAGGTCAATTTGTTTCAGCCATATATATATATATATATATATATATATATATATATATATATATATATATATATATATATATATATTGTGTGTGTTGATCTATAGGTCAATTTGTTTCAGCCATATGGCTGAAACAAATTGACCTATAGATCAACACACACATATAAACACTCTCTCTCTCTCTCTCTCTCTCTCTCTATATATATATATACACACACACACTCATACATACCTACATACATACTGCATATATATATATATGTATGTATGAGTGTGTGTGTGTGTGTGTGTATATATATATATATATATATATATATATATGGCTGAAACAATATATATAGCTGAAACAAAAAGTAACCTAGGCCTGGGATTTTTGTGGCGTGGGTGTGTATATACAGTGGAACCTCGGGTTGCGAACGTGATCTGTGAAGGAGGCACGTTCGTAACCCGCAGCACCACATCTGCGCACGTCGTGATCTGGCACTTCTGCACATACACAAGCACTGAAACCTGGAAGTAACCCGTTCCGGTACTTCTGGGTTCGGCACGGTGCGCAACCAGAAATCCAGTAGCCTGAAGTGTCTGGAACCCGAGGTACCACTGTGTGTGTGTATACACAAACACACACACACACATATGGGGTGTGGGTGTACACACACAGACACACAGAACAGTATTTTAATCCCACAGCTATACAGTGGTGCCTCGCAAGACGAAATTAATCCGTTCCGCGAGTGTCTTCGTCTAGCGGTTTTTTCATCTTGCGAAGCAACCCTATTAGCGGATTAGCGCTATTAGCGGTTTAGCGGCTATTAAAGGCTTAGCGGCTTAGCTGCTAAAAGGCTATTAAAGGCTTAGCGGCTTAGAAAAAGGGGGGGGAGCGAAAAAAAATCTCAAGACTCGCAAGACATTTTCGTCTTGCGATGCAAGCCCATAGGGAAATTCGTCCTGCGAAGCAACTCAAAAACGGAAAACCCTTTCGTCTAGCGGGTTTTCCGTCTTGCGAGGCATTCGTCTTGCGGGGCACCACTGTATATATAAATATATATATATAGGTGTGGGATTAAAATATTTTCTCCAGAAAAAAAGCAGTGTATATGTGTATTACATAGTATATAATATACATATAATATATGCACATATCAGTCCTCTTTTCTGGGGGGACGCAGGGGTACGCATACCGCTAAACATTTTGTGAATCTAAGTTTGGCCTCATTGAGGGGCAGTATTTCAATGAGTAGGAAAATGACAGTACCCCTAAACATTTTTAAAAGAAAAAAAGCACTATATATAATAGAATCTGTAATACACACACACTGCTATTTTTCTAGAGAAAGAGGTGCTGGAACTCACCATGAATACCTCGTTCTCTTATAATGGCAATGGTGCCCACTTGAAAGGTCCTGGAACTGATTTCTCGCAATATATGTGTGTTGTACCATCTTCCTCAGGAGGTTGTAGACTCTTTCCTTGGAGGTTTTTAAGCAGAGCTTGGATGGCCATCTGTCATAGATGCTTTAGTTGAGATTCTGGCATTGCAGGGGGCTGGACTGGATGACCCTTGAGGTGCCTTCCAACTCTACAATTCTATGATTTTACGTATAAATATGTGGAACATATGCAGCCCACCCAGTCTTCTCAGAATCAGTTGCCTCTGTGTTGAATAATATTTATTCCCAGCTAATGACACATTAGCTGGGAATAAATAGGGAATAAATAGGGACACAGTAGGGACGCGGGTGGCGCTGTGGGTAAAACCTCAGTGCCTAGGACTTGCCGATCGTATGGTCGGCGGTTCGAATCCCCGCGGCGGGGTAAGCTCCCGTCGTTCGGTCCCAGCTCCTGCCCACCTAGCAGTTTGAAAGCACCCCTAAGTGCAAGCAGATAAATAGGTACCGCTTTCTAGCGGGAAGGTAAACGGCGTTTCCGTGTGCTGCGCTGGTGCTGGCTCGCCAGCTGGAGCTTCGTCACGCTGGCCATGTGACCCGGAAGTGTCTCCGGATAGCGCTGGCCCCCGGCCTCTTAAGTGAGATGGGCGCACAACCCTAGAGTCGGACACGACTGGCCCGTACGGGCAGGGGTACCTTTACCTTAATGACACATTAGGGACGCGGGTGGTGCTGTGGGTAAAACCACAGAGCCTAGGGCTTGCCAATCAGAAGGTTGGCGGTTTGAATCCCCACGACGGGGTGAGCTCCTGTTGCTCGGTTTGAATCTAGCAGTTCAAAAGCAGGTCAAAGTGCAAGTAGATATAGGTACCGCTCCGGCAGGAAGGTAAACGGCGTTTCTGTGTGCTGCTCTGGTTCACCAGAAGTGGCTTAGTCATGCTGGCCACATGACCCGGAAGCTGTACGCCGGCTCCCTTGGCCAATAAAGCGAGATGAGCGCCACAACCCCAGAGTCGGCCACGACTGGACCTAATGGTCAGGGGTCCCTTTACCTTTACCTCTGCCGGAAGCAGTATGAGCTCCGCCCTGTTGAAAGAATGTGTTAAAATGTGCAGTGCCCCGTGTTGGCTGGCCAAGATCCTCACAGTTCTAGAAGTGTGTTGGTGCACATGTGTGCAGAACTTAAAATAAAAATTCAAGTAGTAAGATGTGCTAGTTAGGACACTTAGCCAATTTACTCCAACACCAAACTGCTCTTACAGCTGACAAGGAGCCATTTAGGCGCCAGTGCGCAGTGTTGCTTTCAGTTGCCCCCACAAAATTTCGGCCGAGAAAGGGCCAATTTACAGACAAGCAGCTTGGGAAGCAAAGCACTTCAGGAAAAAATTGACTAGGTTAATTTGGCATTGGCTTCCTTGGAAGTTTTCAAGAAAAATCTGGGCAGCCAGCATGCTTTCAGAAGATGGCATGCTTCACGAAAAGGCTATTCATAGTTTATTCAGTGAGTTGTGTCCAACCTTGATGCACGATAAATTCTATTATATTTCTGGGATTTGCAAAAGGCACCGGTGCAGAGACCTATAGTGGCTTGTGCCAGCACGACCCAACAATATATTCAGCTGACACAGGAACCTAGAAGCTTCCACAGTCCAGACTATCAGTTCTCTGTGCTTCCATAGTTTCTTTGACCAGGACCTCTCTAACGATACTTGAGTTCAGATTCTTTCTTTTTAAAAGTTTTTTATCTATACATTTCATTAGTTTTACCATCCATTTAATATTTCAAAATTTGACTTTCTTCCCCCTCTTTCTGCAGCTCCTTGAATTTATTTTTTAATATTTTCTGCATATCCAAATTCATTTAACTTACTCATTTAATTATCAACTTTAAATATATACTCTAATAAAACTGCAGGTTGTTACAATAATCCTGCTAATGTTTTCACCTGTTTACAATTTATCCTTTTTTCCTCATTGCCTTCAGTGTTAGCCCCAGGGGGAAGCTTTCCAAAGGAAAGGTGTTTGGATCCTGCTCCCACTCATTTTCCGAGTCTTGCAATTGTCTTTTTTAAAAAAATAATAATTTTGTTTATGGTTTTCAGGTTTATACATTTCAATAATTTAAATCCTGCCAATCTTCTTATCTGTTTACAATTTGTCCGTAAATGTTCCATAAACCATTTCCATTCTTTTATAACAAAGTTTGTTATCTTGATTTCTTATTTTTCTGGTAAGTTTTGCCATTTCTGCACATTCCATACGTTTTTGTATCCATTCTTCCTTTACTGGGACTTTTGCTTCTTTCCGTTTTGGGGCAAGGAACATTCTTGCTGCTGTAGTCGCATACATGAAGAAACTTCCATACAATTTAGGTAGTTCTATCCCTGTAATAAAAAGGATGCGGGTGGCGCTGTGGGTTAAACCACAGAGCCTAGGACTTGCCGATCAGAAGGTCGGCGGTTTGAATCCCCGTAGCGGGGTGAGCTCCCGTTGCTCAGTCCCTGCTCCTGCCAACGTAGCAGTTTGAAAGCATGTCAAAGTGCAAGTAGATAAATAGGTACCGCTCTGGTGGGAAGGTAAACAGTGTTTCCGTGCACAGCTCTGGTTCTCCAGAAGCGGCTTAGTCATGCTGGCCCCCTGCTCCGTCGGCCAATAAAGCGAGATGAGCGCAACAACCTCAGAGTCGGTCATGACTGGACCTAATGGTCAGGGGTCCCTTTACCTTTACTTATCCCTGTAATTCCCAAAGGAAAAGCTTCTGGGTTTGGTTTTTTTTATAAAAGTTATTTTGAACATCCTTTTCACAACATTCAGATTCTCATGGGCACATCAGAAACAACCTAAGGTACCTCTGGGCTAGCAACTTCAAACTATGTATATATGTATGTTTGTACCTGCTATATATACTGGATTTTTCTGTCTGTCTGTCCATCCATTAGTTCTCTACAGATTTGGCTGTCTCTAGAGATATTGCTGCTAACTAGGAATAAGAGTTCCTGAGGTGGGGGCAGCGGTCTTTGCTGATGCTCAGGCACCCTCCGCCATTTTGAATCAAGATGGCAGACTAAAGCATCACTTTGCCTGGGGCGGGGGGTGGGCATAACTCACTTGGAAGGATATATAGGCCAGCAGCCTATATTTCCACACTTTGCAGCACATTTTGCGAGTTTAAATCTAACAAGATTCTCCCGCCATTTAGCACTTGCATTTGCACATTGCTGGGGATGCGCCATTTGGAGTGGCACATCTACAGTTCCCTTATTCGTTTATGGCAACTGTTGCCATTATCATCACGGGGAGGTGAGCCTGACAGTGCCTTGCGCAAAAAGAAAGCAGTGGGCCAGACAACTCGATGGGGCATTGTAGGCGACATTCCCCTGGTGCTGTGGATGTCATTTGGGGTGACCCAATGCTTATTTTGTGGTGCACAACTCCCTTATTCATAATTGCAGACTGAGGCCATTGCACAGTAATGTGCTTTGCGCTGAAATGACACCCAGAGTATGATGGTATGCCATCTCATACATGGTGATGTATGAAATAGGGTACAGTGGTGCCCCGCAAGACGAATGCCTCGCAAGACGGAAAAACCGCTAGACGAAAGGGTTTCCGTTTTGAAGTTGCTTCGCAGGACGAATTCCCCTATGGGCTTGCTTCGCAAGACGAAAATGTCTTGCGAGTCTTGAGATTTTTTTTTCGCTTTTCCCCCCCTTTATCTAATCTGCTAAGCCTTTAATAGCCTTTAATAGCCTTTTAGCAGCTAATCCCCTAAGCCTTTAAGCCTTTAATAGCCGCTAAACAGCTGATAGCGCTAATAGCGCTAATCCGTCAATGGGCTTGCTTCGCAAGACGAAAAAACCGCTAGACGAAGACTCTTGCGGAACGGATTAATTTCGTCTTGCGAGGCACCACTGTATTATAATTTGTAATTTGAGGTGTAGGGTCAAGTAAACTACTGTATTTAGCCTATTCATAGAATCATAGAAAGTTTATAGAGTTGGAAGGGGCCATAAGGGTCATCCAGTCCAACCCCCTGCAAAGCAGGAATCTTCTTGCCCGACGTGGGGCTCGAACCCATGATCTTGAGATTAAGAGTTTTGTGTCTTTACTGGTTGAGCTATCAAGATGTTCATGCAGCTCTTTCTTGAATAAGGAACTGGCACCCAATTCTAGCAGCAAAGAAAACTGAAAAGAATGATAGCTGCAACCTATTTTCCAACTACTGAGGTATAGATATGGGTGGTGGGGGGAGAATCACATTCAACCTTATTCAGCACTCTTGGTATCAATATACCATTTACCATTTTTGATGTCGTGTGCCTTTTCCCACAGGGGAGCCGCAGAAAGAATGTAGTTGGTCAAGGGAGCTGTGGATTCAAAAAGTTTGAAAACCTCTTAAGTACCGTATTTTTCGCTCTATAAGACGCACCAGACCACAAGACGCACCTAGTTTTTGGAGGAGAAAAACAAGGAAAAAAAATATTCTGAATCTCAGAAGCCAGAACAGCAAGAGGGATCGCTGCACAGTGAAAGCAGCAACCCCTCTTGCTGTTCTGGCTTCTGTGATAGCTGTGCAGCCTGCATTCGCTCCATAAGACGCACACACATTTCCCCTTACTTTTTAGGAGGGAAAAAGTGAGTCTAATAGAGCAAAAAATATGGTAAGTGATTAAGGTATGACAGCTCATTAGTCATTGAGTCTTGTGAAGTGAGCCGGGAGTTTGTGCTTTGTCTTTGAATTGATGGAGCAACAGAAAAACTTTCTACTTGCATATATCTGTATCTGTATCTGCAAAGACTACAAGCTGTATGTATATAATCAGCATCCGGAACTGTATTACTGAAGCCTGATCTTCTGCAGCAGTAAATAATTTAGGACCCTAAGCTGCCTCTGTTTGGTGACTGGAACTAGTGGCAACTTCCGCTATGTGGGTATCTCCTCTCAGAGAGAGGGGTAGCTAGATTTCTGGGAGTGATCTGAGTCCTTAAAAGCAATGTATCACAAATATACTGACACCAGTGGCCTTCATCCTATGAAAACCAAATCCAGTTATGTGTTGGTTAGCACCCTTGAGATCCCTTGCCACTTGGGAGTGTGGTGTGCATGCAACAATATATTGGAAATATGTGAGTTGTCTGTTTGGGATGGACAGGTGGGGAAGCTTCTTGTTACTCAGAAATAAGCACACAACTTGCATGGCTGAAGTTCATTTTTTATTTAAATAACACTTTAAAAAGAAAAAAACCCTACAAAATTTTACAAGGCAGATATATATATATTATTTACATATAAATGTAAACATACTATGTCTAAACGAATGATGCAGATAAATCTGAGGCACAAACTGCATCAAAAATAGTAGATCATACATCTGAGTTCAGTCTCATTCCTATTTTATTCCAGTAACATTTGAAATAGTTCTCAATTCTCTAAATAGTCCTGCCTGCTAACTCAGTTGGCCAACACATGGCTTATGAGAAGCATTAGGAATCTATTCAATACAACAGCCTTTGTGCACAAGGTGTGGACCATAAAATCTCTGGAAGTCCCTCAGTCTTTCCAGCTTTGGGAGTACAGTCGTTTCAATTCCTTCAGATTACTAGATGCCATTACCAAATCCTACGCCTTGCAGCAGAATCCATATCTAAGCCAACTCGGCAGCGAGCCCAGCTAAGTTGAATCTTTCTTACTTCCATGTGAGTGCACACAGGACTGCAGCCTCAATTTGTTTGCTTTTTTATTTTTCTTCTGTTAGTCACAAAGAGGGACAAAAGCTTTGCAAGACACTCTGAAGTACACCCAAGGTTTCATCTCAAGCAGTGGCTGCATATTTTCAAGTCTATCTTTTTGCAGGCCACAAACTAGAAACTAGCAAAGCAAGGTTCTGCCACATAGCATACTCCACTTCTAGTACCTAAGTTTCTAATTTCTGCAGAAATTGCGGTACATGCACAGTCCTGTCTATATGCCCTTCAGAACTTGCACATAACATTCCAAAAACATATGAATGCTTTCCCCCCCCGCCCTCTTCTCTTAAATGCATAAAGAAGCCAAACATACGAACAGTGCTCATCTTCCTCCTAGTGGATTTAATTTGTTTTATAGTTGCGTAACATTTTAAAGCGATGCATCCATCTTCCTCCAATTCACATCACATTTGAAAGATTACAAGAAAGACATTCAAAAGAACGACTTGCAACCCAATCCCACCCCTGGTTGTAGCTGCAACAAAGGTTATAGCGTCTTTCCACGCGAGGCAAGAAGGACAACCCTAGACAGTTCTGCTCTCCTTGTCTCTCAAAATCTCTCCTACCTATTAGCAATATGATCAGCCTACTGATTCTCACAACAGGGGCTTCCTGCCTTGCTTTGAGAGAATGTTTAGGGACTCGCCTATTCAAAGACGGAGGTGGCTGAATTGGAGATGCAAGATTTCTGGAAATTTTGAGGCCCTGGGCAAAAGCAGAAATGGAAGGAATGTGGAATGAAACATACACGATACTTTCCTATCAAACCCAAACTTACTTTACTGCTTTAACAAGATAAAATGTGTCATTTACAAGGTAGTTAGCATCTAAAATGGTACGACTTGACATATTTATTAAATTCGAACAGCAATCCTATGCACGTTAACTCAAAAGGAAGACCCATTCTTTGAGCAGAGCTTACTCCCAGGTACGCAGCCTCAAAAGTATAAATAACTTACAGTGCAATCCTACATGATATAGTTCTACTGAGGAGTAAGCCCCACTGAGTTCAATGAGTTGTAGTATCGCCAAGCTAGAACAAGGGTTGCCAGATATGGCAAGCAGCAATTCACAAGGAACCCAAGGCCCAAGTGCTCCTCTCGTGTAGATGGCAACAGCCTCTAGGCACAACTTCAGCACAACAGCACCCTCCCCACCTGTGATTTCTAGCAACAGGGATTCAGAAGTATGCTACCTCCAACAATGAAGACAGCCATTGACTACTGGGCACCTGGTTTCTGATAATGCCAAAGCTAAGTCTGGATAAATCTGAAAAGCTTTATACAGTTAGTTTTCTGCTTTTCACTGCAACCGTTGTACCATTTGCAAGGCAACTCTTTTGCACAATGCGTGCCACTTATTAGGAACAAATACACAAAGGACTGTGTCTACTGTTCTCTGTTAAACCACACAGACTGGCAGGTGGAACTTTGGAGAGGCTAAATCTGGTATGCTATGGGTAGTTCTTGTTCTGGGGGATTCTATGCTTCTCATTTTGAAAAGTTATGGGTCTCAACAATCCAGGAATTTCACCAAATGAGGCAAGTTTCCAACATGAGTATCACTTCTATAAGTGGGAATTAAAGTCCTCCACATGTGTACAGATCTGTTTCGCTATACAGTATGTTCACATAACATAAAGCACTGGATAGGAATGGGATTTCCTTAAAATCTCAGTATCAAGTTTATGTGCACAGATTTTTTCCCCCTTCTAATTTTCATCTTGCTCTTTAATCTTGATGGGGTTAGGTTCCCCCACCCCTGCGCCGGTCCTGCTAAAAATGCCAACAATTCTTGCCCATTATATGCATTATTATATGTATATTCACTCCAGATTTCCTAAGGCAAGCAGCACATAAACAAGTACATAAAATGATGCATATAACCATATGAAATACATATGCATTAATTTACTTGTAAAATTATAAGTATACTGAAGCATAGAGATTGATGCTTTTATGTACATCATACCTTGATATACCTTTTTTGGAATATTATTAGTTGGGCTTGGCTTGGGCATAAGTGGGTGCTCAAGGCAAGAGGCAGTCCAAGACGAGCAAAACTGAATGGGGTTGGAACTGCCCAAATCAGTGTATAAAACCATTAAAAAACATTCCTCCATTCTTAGCGCTGAGTGGTGTGGGTTCCTACAGTGCATATTGGCCAGCAGACCTATGTGTGATGGGGCACAGGTATGTGGAATTTCTTACTTGGAAGTAATAAAAGGCATAGTTAGGTTTCCTATTTGTACAGTCGCAAAAACTTAATCGGCATACGATCTCTCAGCAGTAGTAAGAAAGCCTTACAAATAGTTCTACTAAACTCTCTGCCTACACATACCTCTATCAATCACTTGTGTCATACTGAGAACCTCAAAAGGAAAAAAACAAAGAAAAAACATCCCAGTTCTTTAAATTCCCTTGCCTGGGTGAAATTTGTATTCATCACAGGTGACAAGACTACTGACAATTAACGCCTGCCTTAATGCTATTTGACATCTTTGCATACAAAAGCTTGAAATTTGTAGTCCATTTCCTATTTTGTTTTTAAAATGGTAGACCTGAGTTACATCTACCCCAGAGACAGCTTTTGCTTTATCTTATTGGGGTACACAGCCTTTCCTAACAGCAAGAATCATACTGGAGTACACCAAAATTACAGAGCGTCAGCACGTTAAGAGCACAGGTCACTGAATTAAGACTGGTATATTCACATCCATTAAAAAACTTTCAAAAAGATATACACAATTTATACATAAATAAACAGAGTATAAGCCTTGCTTCAGGAATATTTGTTGCCCCCTTCACCTTCACCTTCAAATGCCACTTACGGCTGTGTCCTGTGAGCTGGCTTCTATACTTGCATCATTCTTACTCCTCAGGAGATTTACATCTTCACATATTTGCAACAGAAAACCAATGGAGAAACCTCATTCTAATCATCACTGTCACTTCCAGATTCACTCAACTGCAAGTCATTCCCTGTATTTAAAAAGAGGAAGTTAGAATTACTTGTTGGCTGTGATCTACACTGAAAAATTGCTGTATTTGACCTCAAATACACTGGGGAGAAAAATAGGGCGTTTAGCTGAAACACACTAATTCTAGATCATAAATATATTTATTTTAATGAAATTTATGTACAGGACTGCCACTGTCATTGACCTCTGCTCAGCATTCACTGGCTTAAGATTCACTAGGAGTCTGGAGGTGGCAGTGACTCATCTGCCCTGCAAACTGGTAGCTTTCAATCTACTTGCCTATTGGCTTCATGTAGCGTTTAACATTTAAAAAAGAATAAGCTCATCGCAGACTTGGCCCAGCAGATGACAGACTGGAACAGCAGCACCCATTTTCTGCAACAATTGCTGGCACCAGTTTCATTCACAGCTGGAAGAATTTAGACCGAGTCTGCTTTGTGTTCATATGAGGCCAAGTTGCAAAATCATATCACTATTTGCAGAGAGGGGCCATGAAATCTATGTTAATTCTTAGTTATTATTAAGCATTTCCTTATTTATATTTTTAAAGCAGCACTTGGGCACCATAAAAGAGGCAGGAAGTAGTCTGGTTATTTCTATCCACTCACACCCCTAATATGCAGCTCAGTAAAGTCAATGGGTTGCCAGGGGACTTCTGAACTAAGCCTCTTTACAATGTGAATGAATGAAACAGAAACAAACCTGATTTTGTTAAAACCCAAAGACCTCCATCTGTGTAGATCATGCTTGACCACTTGCTGAATGATCTGCATTCAATTGTGGGCTAAATACAGACCCATACATGTAACTGAACCAGACACCATGTTTTATTTAAGAAACAGAAATGCTAGTTTCAGGAGAGAGCAATTTAAAAAGAAGGAAATTATGAGAAAGGAAAGGGCTGGGTACCACATCCCCTTCTCAAAGCCGCTTTTAAAAGCCAGCACTGCGTCTCAGTTACACACCTGTGTGTCTAATGTGTATTTAGACCCATAGAATGTGCATGTGCTGTAATAAATACATGCAGAAGACAAGAAACTTACTGAGCGTGCTCATGAGCTGATTGCTTCCTTGTGGCCTGCTGGTTCCGTTGGCAACAGAGTTCTTGTTGTTACCCGGCTGGGAAGGGGAAGGGTGTGCAGTGTCATCCCCATCGCTGCTCGAGGTTTCATCATCGCTCCCAGAAGAGCTCTCTGAATCCGACGAGCTGCTTCCGCTGCTGCTACTCATCTGCTCAATTATTTCAACCTCGGCTCTCAACTCTGGAACAAAGGGACGTTTGCAAGGAGGTCAATAAAGGATTCCACAGGCCGTTGACACAGACAGCCAAACCAAACCATAGCAGAACGTTGAGATCTGCCCCCCAAAATCTAAAAGCATCTTAGATGTTGTGAAGATCTTGGTGCAGAATGTGGCTGCCAGCATTCTGCCTTGCACCAAAGGACTTGCACATGTCACAACCGTTATTTCTGCAGTACGTTTGCTGCCTATTTGCTTCCAGGCCCAATTTTAGATGTTTATCTTACCTTTAAGCCCTTAAGAACCAAATACCTGAGGGAGTGCCTCTTCCCATATCAGGCAGCTCCTGTCTGAAGATTTTCTGTAAAGGCCTTTCTCCAAATACTGACTTTAGCAGAGATATGGTATGAGTTAACAGAGGGCCTTTTCTGTGGTGACTCCCTGACTCTGGAATGCCCTCCCTAAACAGACATTGCATTTTTTTCAGCACAATGCTAGCTGTTTCCTGTTTGCCCATGCACTTTTGATGACATGTATACGCAGAAGTCCAAGTGAACTGCATGAGGCTTACTCTCAGGTAAGAGAGGCTAAGACCATTTGGATCCCTTCCAGTCGGGATTCATGGGACAGAAACTGCCTTGGTCGCACTGGTCGATGATCTCTGGCAGGCTAGGGACAAAGGTGAGAGCTGTTTCCTAGTTCTGCTGGATCTCTCAGCGGATTTTGATACCATCGACCATAACATCCTTCTGGACTGTCTAGAGGGGGTGGGGAATGGGGGCACTGTTATACAGTGGTTCCGCTCCCTCCTCCTGGGCCGTGTTCAGAAAGTGGGGGCGGGGGGAAATGAGTGTTCAGACCCCTGGGCTCTCACTTATGGGGTGCCTTAGGGTTCTGTCCTGTCCCCCATGCTTTTCAACATCTACACACAACTGCTAGGAGAGATAATCAGGGGGTTTGGGCTGGGTGTTCATCAGTACGCGGATGATACCCAGCTCTACCTCTCTCTCAAATCAGAACCAGTGAAGGCGGTAAAGTCCCTGTGTGAGTGTCTGGAGGCGGATGGATGATGGATAGCGGCTAACAGATTGAGGTTGAATCCTGACAAGGCAGAAGTACTGTTTTTGATTACTTTGATTACTGCCTTAGTCATAATGTTTAATTAACCTGCTTGTGCTGTAAATTGTTTATACAAATCTTATTTATTAGCTTAATTTTTGTATTTATGTATATATGTAAAGGTTTTATTTACACCTTTGCACACTACCTTGGAATCTTTTTAATGAAGAGCAGTTAACAAAAAAATGCATTATTTTTTTTTAAAAAAATGTAGGGATATACCAGAATATGGTAGTCTGCCAACCACTGATTAGAAAAAAATATATTAGAAAAGAAATGTATTACACATGATAGCTCTTTCCCTTCACTGCAAAAAGATGGACTAGGCAAGCATTTCAAGTCACATTTCTACAGGATTGTAACAGATCTGTCGACTACTTACCTAATTGTTTTACTCTGACAAATACTCCAGTGTATCAGGGAATTTGAATTCTTATGTAATGGGGAGTCTAAAATAGGATTATATACTTTTTCCACTGTCTGCAGTTCAAATAAGAGTGAACTGCATTTTGTTTTGCTCTGAGCACTTAAACTGGCTTACTAAGAAGGGCTTGTCTTTGGAAATGCCGATTGACCCGAAATACTAATGAGACTTAGATTTTACCATGGCCTGGCCACTAGTTTCACACTGACAATATTTGTTCCTAGATAGGCAAATCAGTAACAGAAGCTTCATTGCGCAGCTAGATATTTTGGGTGAAACCAGTACAATAAATTAGCATTTTTATTTGTTTTAAACCTCTGAAATATAGGTGATGTATCATGACAACAGCATAAAATTTTATTTGGAAGGCTACTATTTAGGGGCAAACATACAGCGATCGTTTTATTGTCAATATTCTACCAAGCTTTTGAGTTTTGCAAGACTTTTTATACCTTCTTTCAGACACAACTGAAGTTCAGTGCCTTTTCAACTTTTTGCAGAATTAACTTTACACGAAGCGTATTTTAAAAAGCTAGATGATCATTTTTAAACCAGTGCAGAACATGTAACCCAATTATTCTCTCGACAAACAGAAGAGAAATCACTGGACCCACCTTCACCTACTTTATGCAAGGACTTCAAAGTTCTGTAGACTAAGAAATGCAACTTTGGCCTCGCCACTTTGGAGCGAGGCCCCCTGCCGCCAATTTTTAGCTAAAAAGAAATTGCTGCGGTAAGGTCTACTGTGGATGCTGCCACATCATTCAGAGTGAGAAACAAATCAATTTCCACAAATCTGTCTGAAATGGGACACAAAGAATAAGGAAAACTGGATTCACAGCAAATCCATTGAGAATTCTCAAGTATTTTTACCGTGAAGTTACAAAACCATACCTCTCTTAATGTCATCCAGCTGAGGCTCTGGGGAAGGATTGTCTTTCAGTGGGGAGGTCTTGGGACCCGCTGCTGGTTTTGTAGGAGCTCTGAACTGGGTAGAAGAAGGTTGTGAGGCTCGGGCCGATTGCTGTTCTATCCGCGCCTGAATTTTGCTGCTGCCTTCGGCTCTGAAACAGGATTGTGAACACACAGATACAATGACACCTCAAACACAACACCTATGCATCTTCTCAACTCCCTCTCTCCCCCTTACCCTCTTCCATCCTTTCCAAAATGTCTGAAAAACCCCAAATTCTATCAGGATTGTGTAAAATCAGTAACTGTACGATCCAAGCAAATTTAAGACCTGTATATATGTCAGCACTTTCAGGGAGAGAATGAGACCTAAGCACTTGCTCAAATCTACCAAGGAAATAAATGGTCCTTTAAAAAGTGAAGAAACAAAACGAAACACTGTCGGGATGTAACATTTGCATCTACTAATTTCTAAAGCCACCCCCCGTATCTACAGAATGGACCAAATTCAAATATGTAGCAATAGCAAATGACATGGCTCTTTTTTAGACTGTACCACTTTGAGGATTGTATATATCACAGGTAGGCAACTTGCAGCCCACGCTTCATTTTTTAAAAATTGACTTAAGAAAATCATACAGACAGCAAAACGAAGAAGCCTAAATTAACATTGCCTTCTACCGATAAGAAATAATAATAACTATTGCAATAATGAAAATATTAAAAATACATTTACTACCCCTTTTGAACTTCTATTCTGGTTACAATATATTACTACTCTATAAGAATGTATTATATCCTTTGCTGTCCCATATTTTATTTCCCAAATTCAACCTAACCCTCTCCCCCCCCACTGCTTCCCTTCACCTGTGTGAGATCTTCCCATCCTAACATTTTTTTCTAGTTGCTTTAATAAAATAGAATAACATGAAAACTGTTAAATTATAATGACTTCTTTTGTCCTTACACGCTTAACAATTGCCTATTAAGAGTTCTGCTTTAACACCATATTTCTTCATGTATTCCCCTATGCATTCCCATTCTGTATAGAATTTTTGATTGGAGCAGCCCCTGATTGCTGCAGTCATTTTTGCCATCTCGGCAAACTCACAAATCTTAACTTGCCATTCAGTCATTTGTGGTACTTTTTCTGTTTTCCAAGATTTTGCCATAAGTATTCTTGCGCCTGCGGTTATATACAAAAATATATTCCTTTTGTCCTTGGGTATGTTGTTTGTTAATAAACTCAATAAACATGGCACTGGTTTTTAAAAAAAATAGAGCTCCAGCCCACACTTCATTTTCTGTAGCCCTCAACACCTGAAGCTGATCAATTCATGTATCTGATCAGAATTCCTCCCTCATTGTTCTTTTCTTGGCTTTTGAAGTGTACTCCCTACCTTCTACAGTATTTCATTTCAGAACAAAGCTGCAGTTTTTTTTAATTGATTAGTAAAAACTGATTTTAAAAAGCCCATTTTCCCTGGTTGTACGCCTTGGGGAAAATAGCTTTTTCCATGGCTGTCTATTAATTGGTAGGCTTCTGCCATGTGTGTGTGTCACACTAAAGTAAGAAAGGAATTACTTTCATTTGTTTTCCAGAACAGTACAGTGGTACGTCGGGTTACATACTCTTCAGGTTACATACGCTTCAGGTTATACACTCTGCTAACCCAGAAATAGTGCTTCAGGTTCAGCACTTTGCTTCAGGATGAGAACAGAAATCGTGCTCCGGCGGTTCGGGAGCAGCGGGAGGCCCCATTAGCTAAAGTGGTGCTTCAGGTTAAGAACAGTTTCAGGTTAAGAACGGACCTCTGGAACGAATTAAGTTCTTAACCCGAGGTACCACTGTAACTGCATTGGATCTCATATGGACTATACATTTAAAGCAGTATCATAGCACTTCAAAGTCAAGGCTTTCCTCAAAGAATCCTAGTTTGTTAAGACTGCTGACGCATGTTAGACCCCTATTCCCCTCACACAGCTACAATTCCGAGTGGTTTCACAGTCAATCGATCTTCCCAGGAAACCCTTGAGAGCTGTACCTCCGTGAGGAGAATAGGGGTCTCCTAACAACTTGGAGAATTGATGCTTTTGAATTATGGTGCTGGAGGAGACTCTTGAGAGTCCCATGGACTGCAAGAAGATCAAACCTATCCATTCTGAAGGAAATCAGCCCTGAGTGCTCACTGGAAGGACAGATCCTGAAGCTGAGGCTCCAATACTTTGGCCACCTCATGAGAAGAGAAGACTCCCTGGAAAAGACCCTGATGTTGGGAAAGATGGAGGGCACAAGGAGAAGGGGACGACAGAGGACCAGATGGTTGGACAGTGTTCTCGAAGCTACCAGCATGAGTTTGACCAAACTGCGGGAGGCAGTGGAAGACAGAAGTGCCTGGCATGCTCTGGTCCAGGGGGTCACGAAGAGTCGGACACGACTAAACGACTAAACAACAACAACAACTCGGAGCACCCTTAACAAACTGCCTACCTCTAGAGCAGAGGAGTATTTTCCAGGTTTAAAATTTCCTTGTACATGTCAGAAACCAGGGTTCTTGCCTTCTCTCTGAGATGCTGGTGTTCCATTTTATTTATATACCACTAAATAACAAACAAGCACCATGTATATACTGTAATATACACTCATCAAAATATTATGTTAAAAAAAAGAAAAGAAATCATAGCCAAGGGTTTGAAATATGCCATCTGCAGTGTGAGATAGGGCTATGCTGTGTGTTGTTTTCTCCAAATTAGAAGGGGCCCTGTGGGTTTGTGCCAACCGTTTTTACCTTGTCTTCTTGACTTGAATGCTGCTGCTTAGCTTTTCAAGCACATATTCCCCGGTATCGTGATTGATAATAAGTACGCAGTCCTTCTGGTATGGTCTTTTATTTCCTTTGAACACCGTCATTGGAGGAGTAGAACCCTGGTTGTCAAGAAAAGCAGAGATTACCCTGACGTCCAAACAAGTGCACAAGCTCATGCCAAGAAAAACTGACTCCTTAACTAAAATGCCATATCTAGTCACTCATCTTCAAGGCTGCATTTGGATGCTTTAATAGGCTACCTCTGAATACGTGGTCACTGAACTGCACTCCAACAGTTTGCCTTTACAGTGGTACCTCGGGTTAAGAACTTAATTCGTTCCAGAGGTCCGTTCTTAACCTGAAACTGTTCTTAACCTGAAGCACCACTTTAGCTAATGGGGCCTCCTGCTGCCGTTGCGCCGCCAGAGCCAGATTTCTGTTCTTATCCTGAAGCAAAGTTCTTAACCTGAAGCACTATTTCTGGGTTAGCGGAGTCTGTAACCTGAAGCGTATGTAACCCAAGGTACCACTGTAAGGAAAAACAAATGCCTGCATATTTAACATCTCCCTCCTTATGCTTCTTTGCAAAATGTGCAGTCTTGCAGATTTTTTGTTTTAGGCTTCAGGATACTTCTTGGTAGTACAGTAAGGAGTCAAAGAGAAAATAGAGCTCTAGCAATGCCTATAGGTAGAACTATCACCTGAATAACTTCATATATAAGATCAGTATATCCTTTATATTCAGTGTTGATCTGCATTTTTAAAGGCAATGACCTAAGTACATACAGTGGTACCTCAGGTTACATACGCTTCAGGTTACATACGCTTCAGGTTATAGACTCCGCTAACCCAGAAATATTACCTTGGGTTAAGAACTTTGCTTCAGGATGAGAACAGAAATCATGCAGCGGTGGCAGCGGGAGGCCCCATTAGCTAAAGTGGTACCTCAGGTTAAGGACAGTTTCAGGTTAAGAACAGACCTCCAGAATGAATTAAGTTCTTAACCCGAGGTACCACTGTATATGTAAAAGAACATTCTATAAAACTCAGTCAGAAGAGACTTTCAAATGCAGGTTCCAGGCATACACTGAAGTTTACCTAGAACTAAAATAATAAACATAGGCTATGAAAGAAGGGGTCCACAATTGTAGAACTAAAATCTAAATAGAAAGAGGCTACCTGGGGAGGGGAGGGAAATAGAAACGCGCGCACACACACAATTTTAGAATAGATATATACTCACATCCCAGACACACTACATTATTGGTGTTAGATAAGGCAACACAGAACAGGTAAAGTTAGCATCTTCTATTAAATCACCACTAGCTGTTACCAGGTTCTTTTGAAAAATGCATACAGTCTTCTTCTTGGCCACAAATTCAATAGTTCAGAGCAAAAAAGCATAGCTGGGGGAAGGAGGAGCAAAAATGGGACACACAGTAAACTTACTGGGATGTGTGGTAATGTAATTGTGACTTCGTCTCCTTTGCCAACTTGAAGCTCCCCTTCACAAGATGTATCAATAGATGCTGGTTTGAAGTCATCTAGAGAGAACAATAGTAAGTATTAAATATCTATTGGGCTTTAAAGGTTCCTGATTAACATCCATCTGGGACAAATTCACTCCCTCTTTGCTATTACCAATGAAATGTATTATTGTGGTGGATATAAAGGGAATAAGGGAACCATGAAGTTTAGCTTAAAAGCTTTAGAAAACCCCAACAGTTACTGCATCAGAATATTTTATGTTGTTAAAAGCTTCCCCCCCCGCCCCAGTCATTTTGCATAATCTACAAAGCTCCCTTTTGCTGGTGTCCCGAGAAACTTTTAATTCTCCACCCACCCAGAAGCAAATAATCATGCTGTAACACACCTTTAAATAAACCTTCCAAACTTCAAAAGTAGCTTTTCAGGCGTCCTGTCTGCTGTTAAAGAAATAAAATAGCCCTGGCTGTTTTATAGTCCCTGCCTCTTGTCTCTTTCAACAGTAATGTGATATGCTAGGAAGCTTCAATTACTTAATTTATTCACGTCAAAAAAGTTGCTACTGTAACACAACCAGTAAAAAAAGTGGGGGAATAGCACTACCTACTTAACTTTGGGCAACCAACAAGTGGTCCCAACCAAGCAACCAAATGACAACCTGCTGCATGTTTCAGGGCTGGAAAAAGATGTATCCATTATCAATCTCTGCATTATTTTGGAAACGCTGTTAAAAACCTGCTAGCAAGATTCCTCTGGCTAAGAAAAATAGTATTTCTTAACTGACAAAGGCTCTGTGCTTTTTAACATCTGCTTGTAGGGTTCCCAACTTAAATAAAAGGCAAAGGCCTGGCCTGTACCTCTAACACAGCTTGATGTGCAGAAATCACCAGCTGAAGCATTTCACGGTATGGAAAAAACGCGATGCCCTGATCTTTGCAACCTACTGTTAACAGCAGAAAGAGTTGGCAACCCGTGGTTGCTCACTGTGCCTCCTATTAAGGACACATACCCTATTGTCTGCAGAAATAGCTGGCAACCCTCCCAAGCATTCATCATGGGGCACAGAGGAGAGTAAATAGGCTTTGACCACAGGTAATTGGCCCAATCTGAATCTGTCCCCGATTGTGCACAGAAAGGGTTGCCAGCTTCTTAACTTGCTCCTGTTTTGGCCCATTTAACAACTGTTTGATTCAATAGCAATTACTCAGGGATTGTGTTCAGTTCCAGGACATAGGAAGCTTTCCCTCCTGGTGTCTGCATCTCAAGCTCTGAAGGAACAGTTATAGGAAGGGTTTGTGTTCTAGCCATGCTATGGCCAACAAACAATATGTGTAAAAAGAGTAAGAAAGACAGTTAACTCTGCCCCCCAACAAGAAGTAGGGGTTGTCCCTGTGACCATGGGCGTAACCAGGATATATGTTTTGGGGGGACAGGACACCCTCCTGTCATCAACTTCTGTCTAACTCTGCCTAGCAGTGTTTCCCCAAATTGGGTCTCCAGCAGTTTTTGGACCACAACTCCCATCATCCCTAGCTAGCAGGACCAGTGGTCAGGGATGGTGGGAATTGTAGTTCAAAAACAGCAGGAGACCCAAGTTTGGGAAACACTAGTCTAGCAGCTTTGGAACGAAACGTCTCAACAACAGTTGTTGCAAATCACTTTCTTTTGACCCCACGTGCTCTAAGAAAAAGCTGTCAAAATCCTTCTACAATTTCTACTTTTAGTTAAGAATTTTTATTTATTTCCTGGATGCCTGTGACCCTAACGCACACACATACAGAAATTTAGCAGGTGAGTATTTCTCCTGCAACTGCATCTCCTTAATACTAATAATACTAAGAATAATTTTGTTATTTATACTCTGACCATCTGGCTGGGTTTCCCCAGTCACAATGGGCGGCTAACAGCATATATAGTAAAACATAGTAAAACATCAAACATTAAAAACTTCCCAATACAGGGCTGCCTTCAGATGTCTTCTAAAAGTTATGTACCATAGTTCCCAATGGAAAAAAGCTTCTCTTGATGCTTTTCTGGCTGAGCAGCTGCTCTTAAGGGCACCGGAAGACCCGGACCAGTTAAGAAACAGAACAGAAATACTGACAACTGAAAACAGGGAGAGGGAGGAGAAGATGCTGCTTTTCTGAACTCTCAAAAGCACTTTATGGTGCAATCCTGTGCATGCCTAGTACAGTGGTACCTCTGGATGCGAACGGGATCCGTTACAGACCCCCGTTCACATCCTGAAGTGAACACAACCCGCATCTGCGTGGGTCACGATTCACCGCTTCTGTGCATGCGCGTGACGTCATTTTGAGCGTCTGCGCATGCGGCAAAACCCAGAAGGAATGCGCTCCGTTACTTCCGGGTTGCCGTGGAGTGCAACTCAAACGTGCCCAACCCGAAGTGCATTCAACTCAAGGTATGACTGTACTGAGAAGGTCAACCCCACCAAATTCAGTGGATTATTTATATTATTGTTGTTGTTGGGACGACCCCACCAAATTCAGTGCATTGTTGCTGTTGTTATTTTTATTACTACTACTACTACTACTACTACTACCACCACCTTTAAACGCCCTCCCTTCAGATGTCAAGGAAACAACTATCTGACTTCTTAGAAGACAACTGAAAGCAGTTTTCAAGGATGGATGTTTCTATTACATTTTTAGATATGTTGCAAGCTGCCCAGAGTGGCTGGGGAAATGCAATATAAATAACAAAATTATTGATAATTATTATAATAATTTTTATTATCAGTATACCGAGGGCCGGATTTAGGTTTGATGAGGCCCTAAGCTACTGACGGTAATGGGGCCCTTTATATATCCAGCTGTCAACAATAAATTGTCACTGTTTTTTGTGTTGAATACATGTGATGTGGTAATTTATGAACCTAATAGATATCTTTAAAGCCCTTTGCGGCCTAGGACCCACATACCTACGGGACGGCCTCTCCTGGTATGCCCCACAGAGGACCTTAAGGTCCACACTGACAACACTTTGGAGGTCCCAAGTTGCAAGGTGGTTAGCTTGGTCTCAACAAGGGCCAGGGCCTTTTCAGTACTGGCCCCGACTTGGTGGAACTCTCTGCCACAAGAGACTAGGGCCCTGCGGGACTTGACATCTTTCCGTAGGGCCTGCAAGACATAAGTCTGACCCTTATGTTTCCCTCCCCTTATGGTTTTGATCTATGGGCTACTATTAAAATGAGGCTGCATTTTAAATTGTATTTTAACCCGTATTTTAAATTGGGTTGGTCCCCCCCCCTTAATTATGTTTTTATTGTAATTTTATTGGTGTTAGCCGCCCTGAGCCCGCTCTGGCCAGGGAGACCGGGGTATAAATATTATTATTACAGTCATACCTCAGGTTGAATATGCTTTATGTTGAGCGCATTCGAGTTGCGCTCCACGACAACTCGGAAGTAACGGAGCGTGTTACGTCCGGGTTTCGCTGCTTGTGCATGCGCTCAAAATGACGTCACGCGGAAGCGGCAAAAAGCAACGCGCGCGTGCACAGACGTGCCGTCGCTAGTTACGTTTGCTTCTGGATGCGAACGGGGCTCTGGAACGGATCCCATTCGTATCCCAAGGTACCACTGTATCATCATCATAAAGCCATTTGCACGTGTTGCCATGCAACCAGTCCATGCAAAATGTGGGGACCCTATATACAGAAATGAGCAAACCAGTGATGTTTTAGGGAGCAGGCGGGGCTCATTACTTACATCACAGGAGAATACACAACACAAAACACAGTTGCTGTATGTAGGTTTTATCTTATATTTTTGCAATGTACATGCAGGGTGTTTTTTTCCTTTAAATTTTTTGGGGGCCCGCAAGAGAGGGGGGCCCAAGCTAATTTAGCTTATACGTAAATCCGGCACTGAGTATACCGGCCTATACCCTCGACCCTCAGCCCCCTCCACAATTGGGTTGTTTTTCCCCCGCCCCTTAATTAACAGTGTAATCTCACTGTACAGAAGTTGTACAAGTGACAATAAAGTATTTCAAATTATGTTTTTATTGTAATTTTATTGGTGTTAGCAGCCCTGAGCCTGGCTGTGGCCGGGGAGGGCAGAGTATAAATAAAAATTATTATTATTATTATTATTATTATTAAGCCATTTGCACATGTTACCATGCAACCAGTCCATGCAAAATGTGGGGACCCTATATATAGAAATGAGCAAACCAGTGATGTTTTAGGGAGCAGGCAGGGCTCACTACTTACATCATAGGAGAATACACAACACAAAACACAGTTGCTGTATGTAGGTTTTATCTTATATTTTGGAAATGTACATCCAGGGTGTTTTTTCCCTTTAAATTATTCGGGGGCCCGCAAGAGAGTGGGGCCCCAAGCTATAGCTTATTTAACTTATACGTAAATCCGGCACTGAGTATACCGGCCTATACCCTCGACCCTCAGCCTCCCCCACTAGGACGAAGCCCCCCTGGCCCGTCCTGAGAGAAGGAAGGGCTGCCATTCCCCCTCAGGCTCCCGCTCGCTTCCCCCGGAGTGGGCCCCGCTGGCGCTTGCTCGCGAGTAGGCCTCCTTTTCCCCTCAGGAGCCGCTTCCCTCGGGCCCGGGGGCTGTGGGCGAACCGACCGTCCGTCCCCCCGGCGCCCCCTTACTCACAGCGGATGGTGTGGAAGGAGGCCTTGGGGTGCCTCTCGAAGCTCTCGCCCAGCTGCAGCGGGTGCTCGTCCTTGTCCAGCAGCGGGTTCGCCGAGCCGTTCATGGCCGCCGAGCGAAAAAGCAAGCGCGGCGGCTCCTTCGTCGGCAACAACGACGACCAAGGCCCGCCCGGGCCCTTGCGCTTCTTCTCCTCCTGCTCTCCCTCTTCCGGGCTGCCAGGAGGCGGCGGCAGCGGCGGCGTGTGACCGGGAAAGCGCTCCGCGCCTGAGGGGAGAGAGAGAGAAGGTAGGCCTCAGCCGCCGCTAGGCCCAGCACAGGCCGCGCTCCCTCGTGGCCGCCGAAGCCCCCGAGAGACGCTTTGCAGGGAGGGGAAAGGGAGGGACGCGGCCTCTGAGCATGTCCAGAGCGCCGCAGACTTAGGAAATTATTCTTAATTTGCGCCTTTACGGCTTGGGGAGGGACGCGGCCTCTGAGCACGTGCAGAGAACCGCAGACTTAGGAAATTATTCTTATTATTTTGTACCCTTACGGCTTGGGGAGGGACGCGGCCTCTGAGCATGTGCAGAGCACCTCTGACTTAGGAAATTATTCTTATTATTTTGTGCCCTTACAGCTCGGGGAGGAACGCGGCCTCTGAGCACGTCCAGAGCACAGCAAACTTAGGAAATTATTCTTGTTTTGCGCCCTTACGGCTTGGGAGGAACGCGGCCTCTGAGCATGTGCAGAGCACCTCTGACTTAGGAAATTATTCTTATTATTTTGTGCCCTTACAGCTCGGGGAGGAACGCGGCCTCTGAGCACGTCCAGAGCACCGCTGACTTAGGAAATTATTCTTATTATTTTGTGCCCTTACGACTTGGGGAGGGACGCGGCCTCTGAGCATGTGCAGAGCACCGCTGACTTAGGAAATTATTCTTATTATTTTGTGCCCTTACGACTTGGGAGGAACGCGGCCTCTGAGCACGTCCAGAGCACCGCTGACTTAGGAAATTATTCTTATTATTTTGTGCCCTTACGACTTGGGGAGGGACGCGGCCTCTGAGCACGTCCAGAGCGCCACGGGATTCATAAATTAACCTTATTTTGCACCCTTACAGCTCGGGGAGGAACGGGGCCTCTGAGCACGTCCAGAGCACAGCAAACTTAGGAAATTATTCTTATTTTGCGCCCTTACGGCTTGGGAGGAACGCGGCCTCTGAGCATGTCCAGAGCGCCACGGGCTTCAGAAATTTTTCTTATTTTATGCCCTTACGGCCTGGGGAGGAACACTGCCTCTTGAGCACGTCCAGAGCACCACAGACTTAGGAAATTATTCTTATTATTTTGCGCCCTTACAGCTCGGGGAGTAAGGCGGCCTCTGAGCATGTCCAGAGCACCACGGGCTTCAGAAATTATTCTTATTTTGCGCCCTTACAGCTCGGGTAGGAACGCAGCTTCTGAGCATGTCCAGAGTGCCCCGGACTTAGGAAATTATTCTTATTACAGTATTTTGCGCCCTTACGGCTCGGGGAATTATGCGGCCTCTGAGCATGTCCAGAGTGCCACAGGTTTCAGAAATTATTCTTATATTGCGCCCTTACAGCTCTGCGTCCTTTGGGGGGGGACCGCCCACAGCGCTATTTGGACCCCTGACGGTAAGTTGGTGGGTGGCACTCAAGACCCAAGGAGATGGGGGGTAAAAAGGCAATACTGTAATGAAGCTGCCTACTTGGGCCCCCTGTCATGGATGCTTTAGTTGAAATGCCTGCCTTGCTGCGGGTCAGACTAGATGATCCTTGCGGGTCCCTTCCAACTCTGTGATTCGGTGACTATAGCCGTGCCGAGCGTAGCAGCTTGGGATTGAAATAGGGATGTGTTTTCCTGTGAAGTGGGCTGCAATTGGGGAATGGGTCTAGGAGACCACTGTAAGCAGATGAAAACATTAGCAGGATTTTAACAATACTTCTAACGTAGCGAATATCATGGACAATTTGGAAAGATACAAAATAGGCGTTATGAAATAATATGCAGTTGAGAGGGTGTACAATAGGACCCATGGAGTGGAAGGTGGGAAGTCAAGATATTTGGTGGAATCTCGAAATATGGATGTAATTTGGATTGCTATAAACTTAATACTTGCAAAGCCAAATAAAAATTACTGTAAAAAAAGAGAAGAAATTGGGGGATGGGGAAGGCTCCGAAAGTGAGCTTCATGTGCCCACCACCAACAGGGATGTGTTTTCCTGTGAAGTGGAACAGTAGGCAGTTGATCGGGGCCAAGTCGGGACCATGGATCCACCTAGCTTTGTGTTTCCAGCTGTTTTTCAGACTACAACTCCCATCATCCCTTGCTAGCAAGACCAGTGGTCAGAGATGATGGGAGTTGTAGTCCGACAGCAGCTGGAGAGCCAAGTTTGAGAAACGAAGGGAATGGAGAACCTGCAAGGCTCCAGATGTTGGACTCTGGCTCCCTCCCAGCATCCCTGTCAGTGGGGAGTTGGAGTCTGGCAACATCTGGAGGGCCACAGCTTTCTGACCCCTATCCTAGATCAGGGGTTCCCAAGCTATGGTCTGTTTCATTCAGGTGGTCCATGACTTTGCAGTTGAAGACAGGCAACAGCACATCCATGGCATTAAAAACACATATTGGTTTTTAATTGTTTTATTTTTATTGCTCGTTTTGTTTTGTTTTTTGCATTGTATTTTATTGTGCTGCAGTTTGTGGAATGCAAATTGCAATGCTATAAAATGCAAGATAACTCTAAGGAGTAAAAGTAGCAATCAAAATACAATAAAAAAACCCCTCACCCTGTGCAGTGCAGCTGCTGCAGCAAACAGATGGAGAAATTGTTAAGTGGTTTGCGAAGACCCTCGTTGAAGGAAAGATGCTTTGAAGGAAATAAATCTTTAAACATACTGTGGCTAGCCAGCTCCCTCTGGTGTTACTGTAAAATACGCATGCCCACCCACCAAATCGTAAAAACTTGTTATCTCATTTGCTGCCATAACTGCTTTGTGGCTCTGATGGACTCCTTCCATGTACTCTTCCTTTACATTCCTAGATCAAGGGAAAAAAATATTTTATCATCTGGCCTGCTAGGTGTAGTAGTAGTAGTAGGAGGAGGAGGAGAGAGCGCATATTCCAGGTGTGTCGAGCACCTTGATCTTCAGTTTCATATGAAAGTTGGGAAACTACATTCAGATGATAGGAAAACAGTGAGATTATATGGGAAATGAATTCTGGGACCTTGATGTCCTTTCCCATTTAGAATTGGCATTAGGTTTGGTGGTGAGATCCAGACATATGCTTACAATATATATGTCTGTGGCATGGATTAACCTTCAAACAATAATAATAATAATTTTATTACTTATACCCTGCCAGTCTGGCCTGGTCTCCCCAGCCACTGTGGGCGGCTCCCAACAGAATATTAAAAACATGATAAAACATCAGACATTAAAAACTTCCCTAAACAGGGCTGCCTTCAGATGTCTTCTAAAAGTTGTACACCAATCTATCCTGGTAGGGATAGATTTCTTGTACCTTGGGTAAGGTTCTCGGAGCTTGTTCATTCTGTTTAAAAAAAAATTCAACTACATTTTCCAAAGGTGATGGTACGACGCATTTCAAGGGCCCCTTTATCATTTTGTAACATGTCCAGCGAAAGATGAAAAATGCTAACTTTGTCCTTATTGTCCTTCTCAGTCTAGTTCTTTTCTGAACGGATAATTGTGGTAGTTGAAGAATAAAGCAACTCTGAATCTCCAGGGTCCTCCTTAATTAAGATGACCGACTCCAGGCCTCTGCAGGGTGAATCGCCTGTTGCTCAGCTTGATGTGACCATCTCAGCTTGTGAAGATGGGGCATTCCAAAAGAGAGGGCACAAAGCAAGAATTCTTAGCCCCGCAGAAGCCGAAAAACTGGCCAAAGAACAGGTCTTAGTCTCTGACTTCAAACAACAGAAACTAGAGAAGGAAGCACAGAAGAACTGGGATCTGTTTTACAAAAGGAACAGCACCAACTTTTTCAAGGACAGGCACTGGACAACAAGAGAGTTTGAAGAATTAAAAGCATGCCGTGAAGTGAGTGTCATGCATGCTAGAGCATCAGAGGGAAAGCAAGAGCTACAGTAGAAATGTGGGGTTTTTTTGTGAGCTGGAAAGCCCTAGCCAATCTTTGTTCCATCTTAATTTATGTAAAAATTTGCATGAATGCAATAGGTACATAGATGCACCTTGCTGTTTCCATGATGCTGCCCAGGCAGTTACTATGGTAAAACCTGATTTGGCAACTCCTCAGATATTTTTGCTGATGCCAGTCGGTTACTTAGCATGCAAAGGTCCTGCTCACATAAACAGAACTTCCCATTTCTGCGGAAATTGTACATTGCAGTCCTTTGCACAAATGCTTCATTCCGCTCCAATGACCTCCTTGCTCTAGATGGTTATGGTGTATTTTATTTAATCAGAATTACATAATATGTCATCTAACAAATCCTAGACATTGTACAGTGGAGTCCCTGCAATGATTGCAGGATAAGTCAGTATTAGAATTACTCCCCCCCCCCCCCCAAAAAAAAAAAATCAGGACAATAGTATTCCAGATGCCTCCAGAATAGATTAGTGAATGACCTGGGAGGATCTGATGTTGACACTAAGTAGGGATAAATCTGGTTAGTGTTTCGATGGGGGACTGCTGGGAATCACAGTATTACTGTAGGAGACATAGCTGCCCATTTTACCCCCACAGGGTGGTTTGGAACCTAATTTGCTTGGAAGATTGTATCTGTTGGGCAATGAAGACAGCAGGATGATGATGATGATGATGATGATTTTATACCCTGCCCATCTGGCTGGGTTTCCCCAGCCACGCTGGGCTGCTTACAGCAGATAAAATATATAATGCATCACAACAAATGGCAATCTGGGGGAAACCCAGATTCCTGTTAGCTCCAACTGAGCACTAAAGAGCAGTTTTTCCCCCAGGAGGGTGACGGTAGCAGCAGAACAAGGGGAGGTGTGGATAAGCCAGTCTGTATATACATATGTTTTGATTGTGAAATCGCTATGCATCATACAGCTTAAAACATAGTGAGAGATGATGTTCTTGTTGTGATTAGTAGTATTTATAATCTGCTCTTAATTGAATATTTCAGTTACAGAGCAGGGGACAATACTGCTCTGTAAACAATAAAAAATATACAAAGTAAATATAACAATGTGTAAAAATTACAGAATCTGTAAAAATAGGTCCAGCGTATAACATAAACAAATGACAAAAATAAGCACTCTTATTAAACAAACGACTTAAACAAATGACAAAAATAAGCACTCATCACAAAATAAGCACTCTCCCTTGGTCTGACACATAAAGAGGGCCCACTCTGCACCAACAGACTCTTACTCCGTTGGCGTATGAACAACTTAATGCCTTTCACCCCTGCTCTCCAACCCAAACAGGCTGTCATCCTGAATAGCTGCCCGTAAGCATCTGCAACAGGGACGCGGGTGGCGCTGTGGGTTAAACCACAGAGCCTAGGACTTGCCAATCAGAAGGTCAGTGGTTCGAATCCCCACAACGGGGTGAGCTCCCGTTGCTCGGTCCCTGCTCCTGCCAACCTAGCAGATCGAAAGCATGTCAAAGTGCAACTAGATAAATAGGTACCGCTCTGGCGGGAAGGTAAACGGCGTTTCCGTGCACTGCTCTGGTTCATCAGGAGCGGCTTAGTCATGCTGGCCAAATGATCCGGAAGCTGTACGCCAGCTCCCTTGGCCAATAAAGCGAGATGAGCGCCGCAACCCCAGAGTCGGCCATGACTGGACCTAATGGTCAGAGGTCCCTTTAAGCATCAGCAACAGCAACCTTGTACCCTGTTTTTCTGCAGTAGCAACACAGCAAAAACCCACACACAAAAATGAAGCACACAAAAGAGGATTGTGCCCTCATGGAGACCCCAAAGCGAAGACTACAATGAAGAGAGGCGTCCCTTTCTTGGCTCTGTCTTTATTGTAAACAAATGATTTCCAGGGTGATAAAACTTAGCACTGCAACGTGAATAATATGTGTGGACCTCCTTTCTGAAAACATTGCAGCTTTTTAATGATGAATTTTGCTCTGGAAAGATATATCAAATGCAATTGTTTCTCTTCCAAACAGTTTGAGGATCAGAAACTCACCATCCTTGAAGCAGGCTGTGGTGTCGGGAATTGTTTGTTTCCACTTTTAGAAGAGGATTTGAATATCTTTGCTTATGCCTGTGATTTCTCTCCCCGAGCTGTGGAATATGTAAAGGTTGGTGAGATGTTTGTCTTACTCTCCCCCCTCCCCCCCCCCCGCACAATAATGTTCTTTGAAAAGGGAAAATAGTATATCCCTATTTTTTAAAAGTGAATGATAAAAGAAATGAAGAAAAAGAGGAGGAGGACAGATTGTGCCAAAAATTAGGGGTTCCTACATATGTTGTGTAGGGTTTACTACATGGCTGTTCCCAATTATTATTCATTTACACATTTGGTTAGCCCGAAATAACAATTTCTGGAGAGTGATTGCTACATCAGGCTAACCGAATAAAGTTTTTAATTCTTCCTACCCTTGTATTTGATTACATGATCAGTGATGAATACTTAACTCTTGAATGCTACAGTGTGTGGCATTGAGTCCCAGTCATGGTTTCCTTTCTTCCCTATTTCACGTTGAGATCAGCAGGCACAAACACTGAATTGTTGTGAAAAAGTAGGCATCATATGACTGAAAATATTGAATTGGAGGCTTGAAAAGAAATCAGTCACCTTCTGTGCAGAGAGACAGGGTAGCCTGGGTAGCACAAGAGGACAGGGCTCCTGAACCTGTAGTAGCTGTGTAAAGAGAAATTTCAGCAGGTGCAGCAAAAATGGAAGTCTGAAAATCTTCACAACTACAACATCAGGTTTTCCATGGTCAGCTTTGGTTAAGGCTGTCGTGGCAATAGTCTCCCTTGTTTTAGCCGCATAAGTTTCTGCAACCATAATCAGTACATAGCAGAATGTGCTCAGATAAACAGAAGAAAAATATATACAGTGGTACCTCAGGTTAAGTACTTAATTCATTCCAGAGGTCCGTACTTAACCTGAAACTGTTCTTAACCTGAAGCACCACTTTAGCTAATGGGGCCTACTGCTGCTGCCGCGCCCCCGGAGCACGATTTCTGTTCTCATCCTGAAGCAAAGTTCTTAACCTGAAGCACTATTTCTGGGTTAGCGGAGTCTGTAACCTGAAGCCTATGTAACCTGAAGCATATGTAACCTGAGGTACCAGTGTATTCCTGTGCTCTTTTATCGTACTGCATATGTTGACTAACCTTAACTCATGTATATCTGTGACATTATAAGGATTACATAAATTCCTTTCTAATATGAAAATGTCAGGAAAGAGATTGTTGCCAGGTTTTGGGGTGCAGACATATCTTCTAATAATTTCAAAAACCGGGGGCAAAGATTCTATCTATCCTTTTTTTTATTATGGTTTTTAAAGAAAAAGTATTTTTGAATTTTGAAGATTTATAACAAGTCAGTCTAGCATATTTGAAGACAGGTTTTCAAAAGATTAATTTATTAAAAGTGACTTGTCCAAGATATTGACCATGACCTCAAAAGGCTGATGGTATGATAACTCCATGAACAGTACGGGATTTTCTTGACTATTCTTGCCACAGTGATTCTGACCCCTGGTAAGGCTAGTTGTTAATGAGTTCAAAAGCAGTTACCGGTAGTTCTCAAACGTTTTGGCTCCCGAATGCCGCAAACCCGGAAGTGACTGTTCCTGTTTGCAAACTATTTTTGAAAGCCGAACATCTGACAGGCCTTCTGTGGCTTCTGATTGGCGGCAGGAGCTTCCTGCCGCCAATCAGAAGCCGCGCTTTGGTTTCTGAACGTTTTGGAAGTCAAACGGACTTCCGGAACGCCAAGGTACGACTTTACTATACTATAATATACTATCTAAAATCTTGATTTAGTGACATGTTTGTGGTATATCTGTGCCACAAAGGGATAGAAATGATTGTTCTCTTGCTGTTTCATGCTTTCCTGGGGCACTTTTCAAAAAGTCTTCATTTCAGCAAGTGAAATCGGAGCATTTGATTGCAAATGTTTCTCAGAAAAAAACCTTTTCACTTCATAGCAAAACCCTTTATATGATGCCCAGAGATGCAAAGCATTCCAGTGTGACCTTACCAAAGATGACATTTTGGAAAATGTGCCGTCAGATTCCGTGGATGTTGTGACCTTAATATTTGTGCTGTCTGCCGTTCATCCTGAGAAGATGCATCTGGTTTTGCACAATCTTTATAAAGTAAGCAAGCTTGCATTTTAATCAATCTACCATAAAATCATCAAACATGTCTGCTCCAAAAAGTCGCCACATGTTTGCACGCTGTGGCCCCCTTCCTCCAAAATACATTGGTGCCCAAGTGAGCTAATGAGAAATACGGACATGGGGTAGCTTTGTCAGGGCTGTGTGTACCTTCACTAAAAGGTAAAAAAATGGAAATCTAGGCAGTTCAAAAGCCCTATTTTGTTTAATTTCAGCTATGCTAGTCGCTGAGGAAAGGCAACAAGATATGCAGGGCACCAAATGTCTTGTGTATCACTGGGGTCCAATCCCACTTCTATAATCCTTTACAGTGGTACCTTGATACTCGAATGGCTTGGCTTCTGAACGCCGCAAACCTGGATGTAATTGTTCCTGTTTGTGAATGTTTTGCAGAAGCCGAACGTCCAACGTGGTTTTCGCTTGAGTGCAGGAAGATCCTGCAGCCAATCGGAAGCCGCACCTTCGTTTTCGAGCGGTTTTGGGAGTTGAAGAGACTCCCGGAAAGGATTAAGTTTGAGAACCAAGGTACCACTGTACTTGGATAAACCCAGTTTCTTTTTTCTAAAAAAAAGTTTAGGGGTACTCTCATTTTGACACAAGAAAACCACCATTTTGTAATTCAAATCAAGGAAAATAAATACAGTAAATGAACAAAAGTACAAAGACTCACAAAATGTTTAGGGGCATGCATACCCTTGCGTCCTCCCAGAAAAAAAGCACTGGATAAAACTATGATTGGAGCATTCAGAGAAAAGTTTTTCCCAAGTACCTTGTAATAGTAGGAATAAAATGACCAGTGCGTTTGATGTGCTGTAAAAAGATATCTGAAACAGCTGAGCCTCATGACACACAATATTCCATTTTTAGATGTAGCGCCATGTTTCTGTTTTATAATGTCAATTTAATTTTTTGTTACTTATTTGTCAGGTCTTAAAACCAGGCAAATGTGTGCTGTTCAGAGATTATGGCCTCTATGATCATGCTATGCTACGGTTTAAGTCTTCTAACAAGCTTGGAGAAAACTTCTATGTCAGACAGGATGGAACCAGGTCATACTTTTTCACAGATGGTGAGTCTTTCGGCTTTGTTTACACTTTGCTTCCCAGAACTGTTGCATTTTTATCCCAGTTACTTTATGAATCGCTTCCGGTGAAACATCTCAAAGCGATTAACAATAAAAATGTAATCAAAACAAATACAAAAATCATTAAAAAATTGAATACAAACTGGGTTTAAAATCTCCACTTGTATGGTCTTGTGGCATTCCCTTAAGTATAAATTATGGGATTCAGTAGTCATTTCACATTGGTACTGTGCATGGGGCTTTATTGTGCTTCTCTAATTACTTTTCACTATTCCTAAATTCTCTTGAGTCTTTTCCCCCCCATTTTACATCAAACAATAAAATAATTTTTCATCAAATTTCAGTACCCCATTTCGACCTCCCTCCCTTTCTGCAGTTACTTATCTTTATATGTAATACATTTGTAGCATCTCCAAGTTAAACCTAGTTATTATTTGTCCAGAACAATCAAAATTAGTTTTATATCACTGCACGTCTTTACATTAATCCTGCTAATGATTTGATCTGTTTACAATCATTTTTAAAATATCCAATATACGATTTCCATTCCAAATTAAAAACTCTTTCATCTTGATTTCTTATTCTTCCGGTAAGTTTACCATTTCTGCAAATTCCAACAGTTTTTACTGCCATTCTTCTTTAGTCTCAGGACACTATCTTCTTTCCATCTTTGGGATAAAATCATTTGGGCTGCCATTGTCGCATACATAAAAAAGTTTTTATATTGTTTGGGTATCTCTAGTCCTACTATTCCTAAAAGAAAAGCCTCTGGTTTCTTAAAAAAGGTTATCTTAAACATTTTTTTCAACTCATTGTATATCATTTCCCAGTAGGCTTTTAGCTTCTTACAGGTCCACTGCATATGAAAAAGGTACCTTCTTTTTCTTTACACTTCCAGCATACATTCAATTCAGATTTATACATTTTTGCTAATCTGTTAGGTGTCGGGTACCATCAAGTTCTCTGAGTCTTGGTGATGTGAGTTAGAGGAGAGCGTTGCAGCAAAACCCCACCAGAGCAAAATAGTAACCTTCAAACTATACACAGATACTGGGGTTCCAGCGATGCAGATATAATGAGGTACACGACCAAATAAATATTGTAGAACTGCTGCTTATGCATAAAAGGCCTTAAATCTAGATCTGATTGATGATAAGGTATCCTTACAATTTTGGGGAGGCCACTTACCAAATATGGATTACAGTTTTGTCCGCTTTAAAGTTCAACCAGTCAAGTAGGAAAGAACAACAAACTTAATCACGACAATTGTGATTTCTTCAGCAAATGAAGTCTAGGGGCTGATGCTTGAGAACTACCCTAATGCTCTTTCTTTTGACTTTTGAAGTCTTAGTTGCCTGCTGCAAAACCTTCTCGTTACCTGGGGCTTCTAATTCTATTAAAATGCAAAGGCTCTGGGCAGGGCTGGGCTGAAAAGAGGAGCCTGCGTAGTTACACACTGCCATCTCACGTTCGCGCTTCCACCTACGCTGGATGACTGCTCTATCTTTCTTCTCTTCAGATTTCTTGGCTGAACTTTTCCTATCCGTGGGGTATGAGCAGGTGGTCAATGAATACGTGCTGCGAGAGACGGTGAACAAGAAGGAAGGCCTGTCCGTGCCGAGGGTTTTTCTCCAAAGCAAATTTCGGAAGCCTCAAAGGGAGACGTGATTTTTGCTCACGGGCACCTGGACTATTTTAAGTTGGCATTTGGATGTTTCACAGAAGTGGCCTCCCTTTGGTGTTATACCAGGGTGATTGACTCTGTTCTTGCCAAAGCTGCTGTCCTGTTTTCTTCGCTGCAGGTGAATGGCCCGCGGAATAAAGGAACCGATGTGAGCAGCCAGTACGTCTTGCCATGACTCAGGTTCTCCATCGTAAAGCAAATACATTTATTTTTTAAATCTTGGCATTAGATGGCGCTATACAGCAAGTTTCTGTATCATCAGTCCACGCATCCTCTTGAACAATTAGAATTGCCTTTCCCCCTGTAAACTGTGCCACTTAAAAAGAATAAGAAATAAGAGGTGGAGGGGAAAGGGTAACGTTCCTGAGCACCACCTGCAGGAGAGCAAGTCAAAACTCCCCTAAATTGTGTCTCTGCTTGTGATTGTTCCCTTGCTCAGGCTGATTAAATGTGTCTGTTGCTTCCAGCTTACAACACCCTGAAGCAGTTTAGTGAGGAAGTCCTGTTTTTAGATGGGAAATCTGACGTTTCATTTTGTAATGTTAAAGGAACCCTGACCATTAGGTCCAGTCGTGACCGACTCTGGGGTTGCACGCTCATCTCGCTCTATAGGCCGAGGGAGCCGGCGTTTGTCCGCAGACAGCTTCCAGGTCATGTGGCCGGCATGACTAAGCCGCTTCTGGTGAACCAGAGCAGCACACGGAAACGCCGTTTACCTTCCCGCCGGAGCGGTCCCTATTTATCTTCTTGCACATGACGTGCTTTCGAACTGCTAGGTTGGCAGGAGCAGGGACCGAGCAACGGGAGCTCACCCTGTCACGGGGATTCGAACCGCCGACCTTCTGATCGGCAAGTCCTAGGCTCTGTGGTTTAACCCACAGCGCCACCCGCGTCCCTTTTTTTGTAATGTTAGCTTCTGGGAAATTATTACCATAGAGTTTGTGTAAAGTGACGCAAGCAGCATGATTGAATGGACAGTGAGCGTGCACACGAGAAGTCTAGCCTCTCTCTGATGTACTAGCTTTGTAACAGGTAACGGGAAGCATTAAATTGTGCTTCCGCCAAAGTGGTGCTGTCCCGGAAGAACTGCGTCAGAACTGTGGTTTCAGGGGAGCTGTAGGTCAGTTCTTATTTGACAGATTGGACAGGCTGTTGCCCCCATGTACTCACTCGACCTTTGGGGCCAATTGAGGTTCTGCCCTGAATAAAGCCTATACAGCTTGTTTACTTTCAGCACAAGAAGGTCCCAGAGGAAAGGATTCCTGCCTTTTTAGAAAAGGAACGTATCTCTTGTTCCCAGTTGTGTGCTGCAGCACTGAAATGGGACCACAGAAAAGCACTTTGGAAACATCCTTGGCTGTGTGTACTTCATGGTAAAAACCATTAAAACTCAGCACAGATGTGCCTATTTCCATTATCCATTTAAATCTTGCAAATATGGGTCCAGAGCAACAGGTAGTTTGCCAGGTGGGCTGGCAGCACTTTCTAGTTCTCCATAACAACAGCACTAGCACATGATGCTCTTGTCTTTTATATGCAGGATAGGATGACGCAGGGCCTAGGCCCTAGGAGATGCTGGCATGAAGGCCTATGAGAAACCCACCTAGCCTTACGCATGGACCAGCGTACAAATGACAAACTACTGCCGTTTCCTGTAATCCTGCCTTTCTTGCGACCTTTAAGGGTTCTGTTTGTTTTTAATAGTGCCAGCAGACTATTAAAGCCCAAACCAGAAAGATCAAATTGCACTGATTCTGGGCAAAGACTTTTATAAACACATTAAACCTTTTAAAAATAATAACAGCATGGAATATGCTTCGCAGAAAGTCTGTAGGCAAAAAGAGAGAGGCAAGCACTGCTCCTTCTTCAGTAATTCTATGATGAGACTTATATTTGACCTTTAATGGGATGGAGAAAGGTCTGCAGTTCTGTCCTCAGCAGGTCTCAAGGTCTGTATTGGGGTAAATTACTGTATTTTTCGCTCTATAGGATGCACTGGACCATAGGACGCACCGGACCATAGGAGGGGGAGAACAGGAAAAAAAGAATTTCTTGTTCTCCCCCTCTAAAACAAGGTGCGTTCTGTGCGTTCAAGGTGCGTTCACCCGAAGCCTCCGGAGCCCAGCGAGAGTTCCCGCTGGGCTCCGGAGGCTTTGGGTTCCTTTCGACCTGCTCTTTGGGGCTGGCGGGGGGAAGCGCTGCTTTCCCCCACCGCCAGCCCCAAAGACCAGGTCGGGGAGCAGTGGGAAGGCAGCGCACGGGAAGGCTTGTGGGGCTGGCGGTGGGGGGAAGCGCTACTTTTCCCCACCGCCAGCCCCAAAGACCAAGTCAGGGAGCAGCACAAAGGCAGCGCGCCGCCTTCCTGCTGCCCCCCGAGCTTGTGGGGCTGGCAGTGGGGAGAAGCGCTGCTTTCCCCCACCGCCAGCCTCAAAGACCAGGTCGGGGAGCAGCGCAAAGGCTGAGCAGCGCTCCGTCTTTCTGTTCTGGCTTTGGGCTTAGCCGCGCAGCCTGCATTCGCTCTATAGGACGCATACACATTTCCCCTTAATTTTTGGAGGGGAAAAGGTGCGTCCTATAGAGCGAAAAATACAGTATATCATTTGCAAGTCATATTTGAGTGCTTTGCTTGAGAATGCTTCACCTCCAATAACTCTGGCGTTACTTTAAAGCCAGAAAAAGACGGCTTCCAGATTCAGTGTGTGAGTGCAAAGGATAATTTTGTGCTACATCTGGTTGGAGTGTAGGTCAGGCTAAAGGTGAGAAGTACATAACGGGGTAAGCACTTACTCCAGGTAAGGAAGGACCTGTCAAATTCTGGCACTTCGGCAAAGACTGGATACATGACTGGCCTCACCATTAGGCCAAGTGGGGCAGTCTCATACAGCGTTACAATCAGAGCACCACTAAAGGGAAGCAAAGAGTTAGTTACTGCAGAATTTTATGGTGAGCGTTGCAATTTGACTACTTTTAATCTAGGGTGCCAAAGTGGGAAAGCACACTGGGGAGGTTGGAGCTTTGGTGAATGAAGGTGTCCATTGTTTTTCGTTTTTAAATATTTGTTACTGACAGTTTTTGAGATAAAATACAATAAGAATCAAACTAGACTACAGAATGAGAATATTTAAAAAAAAAAAAACGTAACGAGAGAGAGAGAGAGAGAGAGAGAGAGAGACCATATAACACCGGTCCTGAAAGACCTATATGGCTCCCAGTACGTTTCCAAGCATAATTCAAAGTATTGGTGCTGACCTTTAAAGCCCTAAACGGCCTCGGCCCAGTATACCTGAAGGGGTGTCTCCATCCCCATTGTTCAGCCCGGACACTGAGATCCAGAGCCGAGGGCCTTCTGGTGGTTCCCTCCCTGCGAGAAGCGAAGTTACAGGGAACTAGGCAGAGGGCCTTCTCGGTAGTGGCGCCCGCCCTGTGGAACGCCCTCCCATCAGATGTCATGGAAATAAACAACTATCTGACTTTTAGAAGACATCTGAAGGCAACCCTGTTTAGGGAAGTTTTAAATGTTTGATGTTTTATCGTTTTTAATATTCTGTTGGGAGTTGCCCAGAGTAGCTGGGGAAACCCAGCCAGATGGGTGGGTTATTATTATTATTACTATTACATGTAGGGCCCTTTACCATATTTATATCATACATTTATCCACATACAGAAATAGATCTTCCCATCTCCCACCTGGGAGTCTACGTCTCCCAGTCTCTCACCCTGGAAGATACTTTCTACCCTGCCTTTCATGCAGGAAGTCCTCCCCTCCAACTGTCCTTTTTGTTGTGTGTCCTCCTCAGTCCAAGTTAAAGGACTTCTTATATGTCCCTCATCATTTGGAAAAGCCGCCAATTAAGTATCCATTGAGCCTTCAACAGAAGCCACCTTTATCTTCTCCACTTCTATCTTTCTTTAACCCTATTCATTTAAAAAAAATCACCCAGGGTTCAGAAAACTACCACCAGATCATTGGTGTTAAAGGGAAGGTAGGTTCCCCCCCATTTAAAAATAGTTTCTTTGCCGCAGCATATAATTCGAACATTCTCATAATCTTAAAAACCAGAAAATAACACGTCATCTGCTCCAATCTCATTAAATGGAAGGAATACATTATATCTGCAGCAATTGGAAAGGTTAAAATGTATATTTCAAGTATTCCAAACTATGTTACCCACCCCAAGCACTAATCCCCCATGTGCCTCACTACCTGTGTGTTCAATAAAATTGCCCCATACTGCATAGAAGTTATCGTTTTTCTTTTGGCCTCTATGCAATTTCCATGCTAGCTTTTCCAACAAAGTTTTGTCTGCCAGACCACTTCATACTACTTATCCATGTTCAACAGTTGCAGTGTTTTCCATGTGCTGGCTATGGTTGTTCTTGCTGTGGTCAATAAATGGGTTATAATATCTTTATTTCTAATTCTTGGTGAGTCCTGACTGAACAAATTAATGCCAGTCCTAGGGACATAGGAACTATCTGCCTTGTAATCAAAGATATCTCTGCAAAGACATTTCCCCAGAATTTTTCTATTTTCTATTTTTGAACACTCCCACCACTTAGGTCTGTATGTCCCAAAAGTGGGATACCCTCTCCAACACATAGGAGAGCTGTTAGATTTTATACAAGCTAGACATCTATGTGTAAAAAATCAACCACTTTCTCTTGTCATTGCCAAAATTTATACGGGGCTTTGATCCACAGTCCATTGCATGCCTCTTCTGAAGGGGAGGTTTTGTTGTTGTTAATTATTATTATTATCACAACTGAATTATGTAGAATTCTAAGGTTATTAGTCTACAGCAGGTATTCAGGTCATCAAGGCCAGTTCATTTCTTTAAAATACCACATTTATGGTGTTCTTCCTAAAGCAGTATAAGACAACGTTCATTCCCATTCTCAGCAGTTGGATCAAAGCCTTTCCCTAGATATTGGGAGGGATAGACACAAAGCACTGGGCTCCTGTTTCTAGTGGCAACCTTGCCTTTTTTGTCATCCTGCCTGGTTGCAGAGTAAACTACATCACAAGAGTATTGTGATGTCATCACTGCCATCCCAGCCAGGCTTTGGAGCAGATGGCCAGGACCCCACCCCTTGAGGTGGTGAGAAAACTACAAACAAGTTGGTATGGCAGCTCGTGAGATATTGGGCAAGACCAGCAATCGCGTATTCACTTGTAATGGTATAAAATATCACAAAATAGGCATATAGGAACAGCAGGTTGTTGCAGCCAATCTTGTCTTGTGTTTAGGAAACATTGCACCAAGGTGACACACTTTAAACCTAGATTGCTGTTCATTTAAAAACGCTGGTACCATTAATAAAATTTCAACAGTGTAAATATGTTTTGATGGATGTAACAATGAGTTACTGAATGTTTTAGTTTATGTAAAATATGCAGGGATATAGGGTAGGCAAAATGAACCACCGAAAAAGGTAAGCCATTGATTTAAGGTTGCTTAAATGAATATTTTGAAATGTAATTTAGAAAATTTTAAAAATATATACAAATAAGCCTAGATTGCATTCCAGGGCAGGTGACTCGATCAAGTTGGAATGGATATTTTTTTTAATTGTCATGTTTTTTTAATTCTCCCCCACTGAATTCGGCAGTACCTAATCTCACCAGGATAGAAAACTGTACCGAGCGCTTGATGAACAACTGAACTAGCTGTGCACACCTGGGTACCAATTAAGCGTGAGTCGGTGTGAAAGCAGGAAAGAAAAGGACGGCAAATGAGTAAGGAGGTGAGACCACCCATTAAAACGGAATCTAAAATAGAAGCCTTTCACGCAACTATAGCCTTACAAAGAAACCAATTGGTGAACGGAAGGCCTCTGCCTGTTATGAAAGTTATTGGCTTGTTAGGATAAAGGCAAAATAACTAAAGAAATAAGGAATTTGTTCGGTAAAGACACCTGTTTAGGAGTACACTCCTACCTTGGAAGTCTAATGGAATCCATTCCAGAAGTCTGTTCGACTTCCAAAATTTTCAGAAACCAAAGCGTGGCTTTTGATTGGCTGCAGGAAGCCAATAAAGGTATTTGATTTGATCTGACTGTGCATTTAGCAGAGCCTGCTTTTAGCAGAACCTGCTCAGCTTTTGCTAATGCTTGCAGAACATTTTCTACACTACCTAGTGGCCAGTGTTCTCCCCTGCCTGCCACATCATGCCAATGTTATTGGTTAAACGTCTCTTGGTTTGGGACTCAGTGGAGGGAATGAGCCCTGGTGCTACCAAGCTGGTCACATGCCCCAGATAGTTGCGTGCCAAATTCAGAAACAGGCAGGAATTGTGGGGGTGTTTCAGTATCAAGTGGGCCACAGCAAGGAGGGAGAATAATGCTAAAAGCCAAGTCTCTAAAGGCAGTAGAAGTGAAACCAAAGATTGACAGAAACTGAGAGACTGTTAACACTCGCTTGGGGGAAGCAATCTGTTGTTTTTTAGACATGGGTTTCCCCTGCAGCATTTGTGTGTTTCTTCCTCAAACGCAGACCTCCAAGTGCCCCTATTTTCCAGGCACAGTCCCTGGATTTACAGAAGCTGTATTATTAGGCGTGTGACTGCATGTAGAGCTACCCTACTGAACAAAGGTGCAAGTTACATTAGTTTCCCTTCCTACTTTTGCCATTCATATGCCCTGTCCCTGCCCCAGAATGTGTCCCTTGGGGTGATCAAGATTAGCCAACTCTCGGTGTTATGTTGGAGGGGATGCCGGGAAACAGGGAATGATGTTCACATGTGGTGGAGGTGTAAATTATGTACATTTTTTTTGGCAAAGGGTGTTTTAAGGAGATAACAGAAATCACTGGGTTAAAGCTGACCGAAAGTTCAGAGGTAGCATTATTATCAATTTACGATGAGGTGGAAGGTTCACAGGCTATGAAGGACTTGCTCACAAATTTATTGACAGCTGCACAAATTATGATAGCTAGGAAGTGGAAGGGGCAAGCAGAATATAAAACGGGAGAATGGTATAAAGAGGTGTGGGATACAGCTATTAATGATAAATTAATGGATGCCATTAAGGTAAGATGGAGAACATGCAGGAGGAATGATTTTAAGGAAATATCGAGGGTGTTTGTAGAATTTGTACTGTTAAAATGGAAAGGGGTCAAACCATCGCAAGAGGTGTTGAAATTTTGGGAGGTTGGATAGTTACAATGGAATGGTCTCAGTGGTGGGGTGCACATTTTTATTCTTATTTATGATTATTACTTTGTAAAGAAAAGAATGAATGGGGGTGGGGGAGATTTGCCAACTTCTGAAGTATAAGGAGGTGTAAAAGTGTTGGGTGTTATGATGCAGGTGATCCGAGCCAACAGATGGAAAATAAAGCTTTTGCAGAGTTGGGCTTGTGGAAGAGAAAGTGGTAATGCAAATTGGCGGGTGTACCGGAACCAGGTGCTGCCTAAGTATCAAGGCTAGGTTGGTAGTCAATGAGGATGCATCTGGCAAGTTGGTAAGAGGAGGAAGAGGGATGGGCAGTCCCACCGGGACCTACTCTGAGCAGGCAAGAGAACGAAGACCTCCACAAAGTCTTGTCCAACTTCTCTAGTTCTATCTCCTCATTTGTCTGACCCTGTTATTATAAGAGAAACTGCTCCCTTTCCCTTATGGGGTATTCTAGAGCCCGTGTAGAGTCCTTAAGTGGGTTCCCTATTGGTAGGAGAAAATAACAGAGGCCAGCCAGAGTATATTGAGAAGCAAAGCGACTAGTAAGCCTGATCTTTATTCAAGAAACTATTGCAACAGGGTCCCCACTCACCACACACAGGAGGGAGGAGAACCCTGAACAATGGTGCGCAAGCCATTCAAAAGTCTTTTGAAATTGCTCAACCTGTAGCCCAAGACCACCCCACAAATCATCATACATACATCACAGAAGGAAATGGTCTACAGCAGAAATCCTGTTTGCCAGGATACCTGATAATGGTCACCGATTGCATTACCTGGCCATTCTTTTGTGATGGTTCCTGAATCTAGGTCACAGGCTCACACTATTAATGCACAAACACGCCCGTAAGACAGGATTGTAAGCAAAAAGACAACGGGAAGTCTTTCCCCATTTGCCTCCCTTGCTGCAGAGGAATATTTGAGGTCATTGGGAGATCCAAAATGGCTTCAGGATTGCTCTCCCACACTATTTCAGACCCATGGTTCATATCAGGGCCGTCTTAACCATATCCAGCGCCATGGTGCAAAGAACCTCCGGTGCCCCATCCCCCGATTTGCAGAGTTGTCGACCTTTTCCCAACCCTCTGCGGGGATCACTCTCCTCCCACAGGGGCTTGGGAAGGAAACTGCATGTCCGCCAGCCATATAGTTCGCGGGGCACAGCTTCCATCCTAAACCTCTGTGGGGATCACTCTCCTCCTGCGGAGGCTTGGGAGGCAAGTTGCATACCCGCCAGCCATATGGTTGACAGGGCGCAGCTGGTGGGCATGCAGAAGGGAAAGGGGAGGCCGCCGACAAAGCCCGCATCTCCCCCTCTCGCTGGGGCGCCCCTGGGAGGCCAGCGCCCTGTCGCAATGCGCCAGTAAACCCAATAGGAAAGATGGCTCTGGTTCATATATTTAGATATGTGAGCATTTATGAATATTCTATATCTGAGACCTTCAAATTCTTATAACATTGGGCTGAGAAGCTTCTGATAATAACCATTTCTTTCCCCTGAAGGGAGGACCAAAAAACTATCTGCACTATGGTCCCCCCCCCCCCGTTTCTCTGTGATTCATTTAGAATTCAGGCAATGAAAAATGTGAAGGGGATAGCAGCGAAAGACTCCAGCTCAGAAATTCCTCAGACAGCTGATCCCGTCTTATTCAGGGAAGGGGAACATATTGCCCTGTAGACGTTGTTGAATTATTAAGTGGTACACTCTAGGGTGTTGCACTTGCGCCGAGGGAACTGCACTGAACGTGCCTTTGGGTAGCGGTGGCTTACTCAAATGCGCTTTCCCCACATCAGCGCATAGCAGTACAGTTATTTACTCAAATGTATTTGTTTTAAAAGCGTGCATTCTGCTTTTCTCCATAATGTGAGCTCAGAGCGACTCGCAATGTAAGCTTCTTAGGAAGCCCATCAGTTGGAGTTGGGCAGCGAGAGGGATGATTAAAATAACAGTGTGAAAACAGCGTATCAAACAACCATTGTAAGAAAATCATGTTAAGGCAGAGCTAGGGAACCTTTGCCCAACAACTCCTATCAGCCCCAGCTGTTGTGTGACAACATCTGGACTGCCTTGATGTATCATTATAACACTTCCCTAAAAATAATAATAATTCAGCAGAATCTTTAAAAACCAAGTTTGAATCAAATGTCCGAATGAATACAATGTTGGGGGGTCTGAGGGATCTCACCTGGAATGGATTCCACAGATGGGTGCCACTGCCTAAAAAGCTCTGCTCCTTGTAGTCACCAGCTTGACTGCCACTCAATGAGGGAGCTCAAATACTTACCGGAGCATGCAGGGGGAATGCAGGAGAGCATGCAGAAAAGAAAGCAATTCTATATTCTGACTAACTGGTGCATAAGTTTAATTTTAGATGTATTTAAGCACATGTAGATGTATTTTAGATCTACATGTAATTTTAGATGTATTTAAACCTCATTTGTCAAACTTCCATTGTGGCACAATTATAGTTGATCTCTTGAAATAGCATTGGCAGAGTGTTTTGTGAAATAATTGAATTTGATCCTTCCCACCTCTCTCTTTCCCTTAGCTTTATGGGGATATAACTGTCTGCTTAGCTTTATGGGGATATAACTGTTAAAAAGCAGAGACATCACCTTGCCAACAAAGGTCCGTATAGTTAAAGCTATGGTTTTCCCAGTAGTGATGTACAGAAGTGAGAGCTGGACCATAAAGAAGGCTGATCACCGAAGAATTGATGCTTTTGCGTTATGGTGTTGGAGGAGACTCTTGAGAGTCCCATGGACTGCAAAGAAGATCAAACCTCTCCATTCTTAAGGAAATCAGCCCTGAGTGCTCACTGGAAGGACAGATCGTGAAGCTGAGGCTCCAATACTTTGGCCACCTCATGAGAACAGAAGACTCCCTGGAAAAGACCCTGATGTTGGGAAAGATGGAGGCCACAAGGAGAAGGGGACAACAGAGGACGAGACGATTGGATACTGTTCTCGAAGATACCAGCATGAGTTTGGCCAAACTGCGGGAGGCAGTGGAAGCCTGGCGTGCTCTGGTCCATGGGGTCACGAAGAGTCAGACACGACTAAACGACTAAACAACAACAACAACAACTGTCTGGAACTCCTGCTATGTCATAAAGGGTCCAGTGATAATTGATTCAAAGATATTGAACCATCTTAAACCAAAACTCCAGACACACTCCTTCAGAATAAGCACCACTGACCTTGCCTGAGTGCAACTAGCTGTATAGGACATAGAAAATATAAGTGGAACCTACAACAAAATGCTGCAGTATGGCATATTCCTGGGGCTCCCAGCCACAACCTTTTACAAGCTGCCTTCTTCTATTCCTCTCCCTTTCCCCTAGGGTTATTTAACATTCAATAGGCCTGCTCATTCCTCATCAGGCTGTGTTTTGGGGGGAGCTTGTCCCCTTATATCACCCCAAAGTTTTTTACTTCTCTAAATTTTTTGTTCCTTAGTGCTGTCCTTTTGACAGCATAGCAAACGGAGGTGCTAGCCACTGCAAGCACTTCAGTTTTCTATTAGAGAAATCTAAGAACTATTTTTTAAAAATTGACTGAAGTGTTGGAGAAAGGGAATGTGTAACTCTCAGCTACACAGCATTTTTAAACAGGCCATTAACGTTTAAACAAAATTAAACAAGGAAGGTTCCCCATTCGCTTATCTTTAACAAACACCGGAATAGTTACTGGCAGCTGAATGTCAGAGGGAAACAAACCTTGGAATCAGAATTGCTTTATATGTTTTGTTTTTCTGCTATGGAAAGTGCTGTCTCATGGAAAAAAAAGCAGAGAGGTTGACACCTTTTCCCCCTCCCCACAGTAGTATTTATTTCTTTATTTTAAAAAAATAATAATTCTTAATTGATTTTGCAGATATAGAATTATAACAATACCAATTACATATCCATATTTAGAGATTTCTCTGAATCTCTGGACTTCCCTCCATGGGTCCTATTGTTATCCTTTTCAACTACATATTATTTCATAGCCCATATTTTATATCTCTCCATTTTGTCCATAATATTTGCTACCTTGCAAGTGCTATTGCAATCCTGCCAATGTTTTCATCTGCTTACAGTAGTCTCCTAAATAAATTATATTTCTCCCCCATTCTTTATTGAAGTTTTGGTCTTCTTGGTTCCTGAACTTTCCAGTCAGTTTTGGCATTTCAGCGTACTCCAACAGCTTAGTTTGCTTTTTCTCTCTGGTCGGGACTTTGTCTTCTTTCCATCTCTGGGCTAGTAGCATCCGTGCGGCTACTGTCGCATACGTAAAAAGTCTTCTCTGATCCTTTGGAATATCGGTACCTACAATTCCTAATAAAAAAGCTTCTGTTTTTTTAACAAAAATTATTTTAAACATTTTTTTCAATTCGTTATATATCATTTCCTAGAAGGCTTTTATTACTTTACACATCCACCACATATGGTAGAAGGTACCTTCTTCTTCTTTACATTTCCAGCATCTCCAGTGGTTTTTCTGATCTTATTGGGGCTCAGATGTCTGGCCCTGAAGTCATTCCCATCCTACTCGTTGGAAACGTGAAATGAACACGCGTGTCAATTTCAACGATGTGCACATTAGCTGCTTAAAACACTGTGAGATCATTCCCTCCCACTGTGTTTTGAGTCGCCATTTGCAGGATACTGTTCACACCAGAAGGGTGGAATAGGGATGCCTTTGACCAGGCATAGGCAAACTCGGCCCTCCAGATGTTTCGAGACTACACTTCATATCATCCCTGACCACTGGTCCTGTTAGTTAGGGATGATAGGAGTTGTAGTCCCAAAACATCTGGAGGGCTGAGTTTGCCTATGCCTGCCTTTGACCGATGTACGTTACCAGTTTGGTTTCTGCATGCCAACAACCACCCTCCCCTTTTTCCTGCCCATGAAGCTGTCACCTGTATCTCCCAGCAAGGGTAAGGGACGCTTTTCCCTACAAAAGGTTTGTTTAGCGCAGCTGAGAGCAGGCAGAATTTGCAGTCTGCGCCATCCCACCCATTCTCTCACGTGCGTGCACACGCACGGTGGACGAGGAAGCAATTCCCAGAGGGTCAGTCCAGAACTCAAGTGTGGTCAAGTATATGCTGAGAGCCAGATGACATTGAGGGCCACATAAAATTGGGACAAGGGCCACACACAACCGCAGGTCCTCACCCCAACTCTGCAGGCAAATCTGTCCCTAGTACAACATTTCCTTATTTCTGATTACAGTGGTATCTTGGAAGTCAAATGGAATCTGTTCCAGAAGTTGGTTCAACTTCCAAAAGGTTTGGAAACCAAGGCGAGGCTATTCATTGGCTTCCAAGGCGAAGCTTCCGATTGGCTGCAGGAAGCTCCTGCAGCCAATTGGAAGCCGCAGAAGCCCCGTCGGATGTTCGGGTTCCAAAGAACGTTTGCAAACTTCCGGGTTGGTAGCGTCCAGGAGCCAAACGTTTGACTCGCAAGGTGTTTGACTTACGAGGTACGACTGTACTGCCCAAACCAAGTCAAATGGAACAGCTATTTTCTACAGTTTGTTTACATTGGACTATGGAGAAAAGACCTCCCAGTCCCTAAGTTGAGAGTAGCTGGTGTAATGGCTACAAATGTTATTGGGAGTACAGTTTCCATCTGCCAGTGGTTGGGATGATGGATGTTGGAGTCCAACAATATATAGCAGTGTGTTGGCAACCTCTGCTTTTTAGGTTTGTATTTGGAACTAAACACCACCACCTAGTTCAGCGGTATTTTGTCCCAAAGGCTGCAGGCTTGTTTACTTTTCCACCGGTCTCCATTGTTTGCAATCTTTAGCTGCTTTATCGGGGAAGCCTGTTATCGGGGAGGGGGGGGAGGATAGTGTATATGATCCCTTGTTTTCGGTTCTGCCTGTCAATGGTTTACTGGGCAAAGATAAGCTACAGCGACATTGTTTTGGAATGTGCTGAAGAAGTTAAACACTGGATGCAGCAGTTTTCAGTGTGCTTCTGGTGCCATGCGGTGTTAAGCAAAGCCAGAAGCCTGCTTACACACTGCTTGCGGACATTTCCACACCCTCCAAGCTTTCTCTGATGAAAATAGGGATGTCCTAAGGAAAAGCAGGACATTCCGGGATCAAATCAGAAACCAGGGCGGTTTATGTAAATCTGGGAGTGTCCCTGGAAAATAGGGACACTTGGAGGGTCTGCATTTCACAATTCTGAAGCCTTCTTGCTTTCTGTGCATGTGACAGAGGAGTTTTCCATCCAGATATTCCTATATACAAATAGCAAACTAATCCTCCAAATGTAGATCCTTAGGCAGAGGTGTTACAATGCTTGCATGGTCCCCTGGGCAAAATGCTTGCACTCCCATGCCCAAAAAACATGTCCAGTCACAACAACAACAACAACTTATACCCCACCCATCTGGCTGGGTTTCCCCAGCCACTCTGTGCAGCTCTCAACAGAATATTAAAAACACGATAAAACATCAAACATTTAAAGCTTCCCTAAACAGGGCTGCCTTCAGATGTCCTCTAAATGTCAGTTGTTTAGTCTGTCCTGAGAAGGCCCTCTTGCCTGGTTCCCTGTAACCTCACTTCTCCCAGTGAGGGAACAATAGCAATTTCTGTAAGAAGTTTTGAAAAAAGATTAGAGGAAGGGATCTAATCCTTGTCTTCTCTGCCACGGTCTCCCCGCCATTGCTTGTCTGGCCAGCTTCGCCCATCTCTCTGGCTCCCCCCACTAGGGCTGGACGATATATCGCTATAACATCCCAAACTGGTTTGAAGTCCACATTGTGATACTGGTGTCATCATCTTTGACCTGGCAATATATCACAAATCATGGTCTTTCTGTGCGTGTGCTCTATGCAAAAATCACAATGGGGGCGGGGAACCATGAAACCAGCAGGTGTCTCTATATAGCTCCATCCTTGTAGACCTCATGATACAGTGGTACCTCGGGTTAAGAACTTAATTCGTTCTGGAGGTCCGTTCTTAACCTGAAACCGTTCTTAACCTGAGGTACCGCTTTAGCTAATGGGGCCTCCTGCTGCCACCACACCGCCGCAGCACGATTTCTTTTCTCATCCTGAAGCAAAGTTCTTAACCCAAGGTACTATTTTTGGGTTAGCGGAGTCTGTAACCCGAAGCGTATGTAACCTGAAACTCTGTAACCTGAAGCGTATGTAACCCGAGGTACCACTGTATATCACAATGTTGAAAACCAGTTATTGCCCAGCTGTACCTGTGGGTTAAACCACAGAGCCTAGGACTTGCCGATCAGAAGGTCGGCGGTTCGAATCCCCGCGATGGGGTGAGCTCCCGTTGCTTGGTCCCTGCTCCTGCCAACCTAGCAGTTCGAAAACACGTCAAAGTGCAAGTAGATAAATAGGTACCGCTCCGATGGGAAGGTAAACGGCGTTTTCGTGTGCTGCTCTGGTTCGCCAGAAGCGGCTTAGTCATGCTGGCCACATGACCCGGAAAAACTGTCTGCAGACAAACGTCAACTCCCTCGGCCAATAAAATGAGATGAGCGCCGCAACCCCAGAGTCGGTCACGACTGGACCTAATGGTCAGGGGTCCCTTTACCTTTAACTTTACCCCCCACCCCTCTGCCTGTACCAGGTGGCCCTAGCAGTCCCTGAAACAACAACTTCTTCTTCTTCTTCTTCTTCTTTAGCTTCAGACAGTCCTTTTACTTTCTCAGAATGCTTCTGGAGGTGAGTGAGACCCAGAGACATTTTGGAGAATTAACAGTGGCTACTGTTTGGATCTTCACCCTGCTCCTATGGCAGCACTGCTCTTGCAGGAATTGTCAGCCATCTTGGCTCTGTCCTTTAGCGGGGCTCAGGGCCTGTGAACCCACCGACCTGTGCCCTGTGATCCGGCCCTAACAGTGTCCCTGTGTAGTCAAAACAGCACCACATATACATGCGTACGCACGAGGAAGGTATTAGTAGGCTGGGGGGAAACCCAAGATTTGCAGAAGTACAGAAATAGATGGAGGAGCTCTAAAGGGGGGGGAACCCAGAAATAGTCCCATGAGGGCTGTGTTCAGTAGGCACAGAATGCTGAATTTCTGTATGACAGGACGGAACGGCTCACAGTTTTGAAGAATATTCTTCCACTTTGAATGGTCCATGTCAGCATTAAGAAAAAGAATTTTCGCCTGCTGTTATAATTGTTCTCTCTGTGAAATGGATGTTTTGTATTTATGAAAAAATAACATGGTTGTGACCAAGTTGCAACAATTAAGGCTGCACAGAAAAAAGCATTTTGGTTCCCGAAATTCATTCTGATTGCGCAGATAAAATATAACTGATCAAATTCTACAGGACGTGGTAATAGTGCGTGAAAACACTCCAGCTCCCAGGCAGGCACCTCGAGATGGTGGAGATGTCTGGCCCCATCCTGGCTCCCAGGCATCTTCACTTGGTTGCCAGTGGCCAATAGCCAGGTGCAAAATGTGCCTGGCGCCTGGCTAATTTCTAACACTGCTATAGGCACATACAGTGGTACCTCAGGTTAAGTATTTAATTCATTCCGGAGGTCTGTTCTTAACCTGAAACTGTTCTTAACCTGAAGCACCACTTTAGCTAATGGGGCCTCCTGCTGCTGCTGCGCCGCCGGAGCCTGCTTTCTGTTCTTATCCTGAAGCAAAGTTCTTAACCTGCAGCACTATTTCTGGGTTAGCAGAGTGTGTTACCTGAAGTGTATGTAACCTGAAGTGTATGTAACCTGAGTACCACTGTATTAGATTTTGATTATTGCTGCCAGTGCTTTTTTCCTTTAAAAACATTAAAGGGTACTCTCATTTTGACTCCAGAAAAGCACCATTTTATAGTTCAAATTGGGGAAAATAAATACAGTAAATGGACAAAAGTACAAAGATTCACCAAATGTTTAGGCGTATGCGTCCCCCCAGAAAAAAAGCACTGATTGCTGCTCTCATCCCCGTCTGCAACAACCCTAGTTACTCAGTTCACAGCTAACGCTGATCAGACGTTAACTGTTGGCTTTCCTCTCTCTGTGGGATTTAAATGCCGATTTAAGGAGGGAGCCGGTGGCGACATATCAAGGTTAGCTCACTGCGTTGCTGCCTATTAATGGCACACCGGCTAACGGGGTTTATTCTTACACATGCTGAGTGTGTTGAGGGGCCTTTGAAAACCACCAGCACCCAGGCAGAGCCTTTTGCTCTTGGACTGAGCTGCGGCGACTGAAACGCACAAAGCAGCTCCAGCAGCTGCTCCTCCAGCGTCCAGGCTTGCCCTTGACTGAGTTGCCAAGGTCGGCGGAGGCGCTTCTTGCACACACGCTGCTTCTGCCACCCTGAAGCCATCTAGCTGTTTCCTAGCACCCGAAGCCACCATCATTCTGGGGCAGCTTGTGACTTCACAATCGGCTGTGTGCACATCTGCTGCTTGTCTGCAAAGGGAGAGAGGTCTGCTGTGGGCCTTTCTGGAAGCTCAGGGTTAGGATGAGCAAAGAAAGAGGAAGATAATAAACCACAAGATTATTACCAAGTGGAGAGAGAGAGAGAGAGAGAGAGAGAGGAAGGAAGCAGCAGCAGCAGCAGCAGCAGCAGCAGCAGCAGCAGCAGCAACAACAACAAAAGCCTGGCTTTGCTTGCTCCCATTTTCTGATCAGAGGTTTGATATGTAGAAATTGCTTGGGTCCTTTTAGACTCTGGACTTGGTGGTCTTTCAGCCTGTGGTGTTTGGCTGTCAGCCGTTCTGCTGAGTAGGTCCCTAGATCTCTTCCTCCAAGTCCTGCCCTGATGGTGAGGCTGCCACTTCTCAGTGCAAGGAGCTAAGCAGAGACTGTTCTGCTTATTGCAGGGTGCGGGGAGAGGATGATTAAAGGGACAGAGACCGAGGTCAGCCCAGTTCAACAGCTGGCAATCAATCCTATTCAGTAACCACATAACACCGGTCCTGAAAGACCTACATTGGCTCCCAGTACGTTTTCATGCAGAATTCAAAGTGTTGGTGCTGAAGTGTAAAGCCCTAAACGGTCTCAGTCCAGTATACCTAAAGGAACATCTCCACTCGCATCGCTCTGCCCGGACACTGAAGTCCAGCACTAAGTTCCCTCACTGCAAAAAGGTGAGGTTACAGGGAGCCAGGCAGAGGGCCTTCTCGGTAGTGGCGCCTGTCCTGTGGAACGCCCTCCCATCAGATATCAAAGACATAAACAACTATTTGACTTTTAGAAGACATCTGAAGGCAGCCCTTCTTTGGGGAAGTTTTTAATGTTTGATATTTTATCACTTTTATTATTATTATTAATAATAATATTATATGGGAGCCCCACAGAGTGGCTGAGGAAACCCAGCCAGATGGGCAGGATATTAATAATAATAATAATAATAATAATAATAATAATAATAATTATAATTTCCTACAGTCATACCTTGGTTTTCAAACAGCTTAGTTCTTGAACGTTTTGTTTCCCGAACGCCGCAAACCTGGAAATGAGTGTTCTGGCTTGCAAACTATTTTTGGAAGCTGAATGTCTAACAGGCCTTCTGTGGCTTCCAATCAGAAGCCACGATTTGGTTTTCAAACGTTTTGAAAGTCAAAGAGATTCCGTTCGACTTCCAAGGTACGACTGTATATGCAGCAAAAGCACACCACTTTCCTCAAAAGAATCCCGGGAGCTGTAGTTTGCCCTGTTCGGCACTACAATTCCCAGCCCCCTTAACGAAGGACAGTTCCCGGGATTCTTTGGCAAGAAGCTGTGTGCTTTAAATGTAAGATGATGAGGTGTTTAGAAGTCATCCTGTCAGCTGCAGTGCCCAGCGGATGGAAACACAGTGAAATTTCCTGCAATGTATCCTGCCCAGCCAGCCTGAACTGAATATAGGTTTGTCTAAGGCAGGGAAGACACCTGTGTCCCTGAGTAAGCCAAATAGGCGGTTTGGCAGTACGTTGGCCTGACCTTGAGATCACTGATTCAACACGCTCTGAACTGGTCACGATGTTCCCACTCTTCATTCAAAACTTCCCAGCAGTCATGCACTGAAATGTGAATCCAAACTTATGGCATTTAGTAGCTTGCATTGAAACGCTGCTTGCGTTTAAGAAGCAGCACCATTGATTTAACCCGCAGCTTATTTCTCCCCCGTGGTACAGGCAGGGGGAACCTGTGGCCTTTCCAAACATTGCTGGACCACAACCCCAACATCCTTGACAATTGCCCGTCTGGGCGGTGCTGTGTCACAGAAGTGTGCTGGTCGGTAATCGCACAGTTCAGAGTTAACGCTTTATTAGCAAAAGCACAAGCTTCACAAACTTGGTTGAGTGCCTCAGCTTCAGGATCTGTCCTTCCAGTGAGCACTCAGGGCTGATTTCCTTCAGAATGGATAGGTCTGATCTTCTTGCAGTCCATGGGACTCTCAAGAGTCTCCTCCAGCACCATAATTCAAAAGCATCAATTTTTCGGCGATCAGTCTTCTTTATGGTCCAGCTCTCACTTCTATACATCACTACTGGGAAAATCATAGCTTTAAGTATACGGACCTTTGTTGGCAAGGTGATGTCTCTGCTTTTTAAGATGCTGTCTAGGTTTGTCATTGCTTTTCTCCCAAGAAGCAGGCGTCTTTTAATTTCATGACTGTTGTCACCATCTGCAGTGATCATGGAGCCCAAGAAAGTAAAATCTCTCACTGCCTCCATTTCTTCCCCTTCTATTTGCCAGGAGGTGATGGACCCAGTGGCCATGATCTTCGTTTTTTTGATGTTGAGCTTCAGACCATATTTTGCACTCTCCTCTTTCACCCTCATTAAAAGGTTTTTTAATTCCTCCTCACTTTCTGCCACCAAGGTTGTGTCATCTGCATATCTGAGGTCACTAAAGCTTATACGCCATTAAAAAAATAGTCTTCAAGGTGCCACAAGGCTCTAAGGCTCTTCGTTGTTTTTTATTGAGGGGGGAAAACGTGAAAATAGTTCCTTAGTGACTGGGATCCACGAATGTGTATAGTTTTAAAAAATGGATTAGAGAAATTCAAGAAGGGTGAGGCTATCAACGGCTCTTAAACGTAATGGCTCTGTGGTATTTCCACCATAGGGAGTGTTACTGTCTTGGAGTTGCTGGGAATCTCAGGACGGTGAGAGTTGTGGCCCTGCGGTCCTGCTTTCGGGCAGCCCAGAAGCATCTCGTCGGCCTCCGTGAGAACAGGATGGATCCAGCCCTTCTGGCAGGGTGTTAACAGAATGCGGGCGTCCCTTGGCAACACGACATTGTGCAAATTCCTGGTGACACTTTTCAGCGCGCGACGCAAGAGCATTGGGAAACGAAGGTGACATTCACGGGGAAATTCGCAACAGCTAGGTGTTGGGGCGCAAGCAACACTTGCAAGAAGTCTCCCACTTGCGTTGCATCCCCATTGTCGTGGATGTGCCTCTCCCTGGAAATAAATCCACCATAACCGGGTGTTTAAGGTGCGTGCCTTTATCTTCTTAGTAGATTGCTGCAAATTACATCACACACACACACAATATCCCAGGAACATTAAAAGCAGCAAAGACTCTTCTGTGAAGCTTGACCTATTTTCAAACCCCACCACCACCACACCTGTTCCTATTTCCTTTTAATATAACAGAAGGGGAGGAAATGCTGAGCTGGGAGGGAGACTGCAAAGTGGATGATGGATTTCTTTTTTTAAAAAGCAGGGCCTCTGATTTAGCAGCGTCGGAAGGAGGCGGACCATGCCTGGGTGTCAGCGAGCGCCGCTTGGCGACGCTGATGCTGCAAGCCAGGGGGAGAGGCGCGTTTCCTTTCCTCTCCGCCTAACGGAGCGGCGGCTGGCGACGAGCGAGGCGCGCAAAGCGCAGGCGGCGAGGGGGGCTGCTGCTGCAAACTCCCCTTTCCCTTCCTCCGGAGGATACCGAAGACCCTCGGCAGGGAAGGAAAAAGAAAGCCACAACAGCTGCAGCTCAGAAGGATCAGCCAGATCCTCCCTCCTAGGGCACAGAAGGCTCCCCCACCCACCCACGTCGCCACCAACAACATGGATCCTGCAACCCGGAGGACCAAGGCGGAGGACGCCGAGCAGCTCCCGCAGCAGCCTGAAGAAGAGGAAGAAGTGGATCCCAGGATCCAGGTAATGGCCAGGAGGGAGGAGGTTCGGGATCGTTTTCTTGGGGATCCGATTTAGCCCCCCTCCCCTCCCACCGCTCACTCACGCCCCTTCGCGGGGAGCGCACATGGTGGGCGCATCGACGGGGGGAAATCGGCGTGCGCATTTTGGGGAGGTTGCAGGGCCGGGCGCCTTTTATTGGGAAAGTGTGCGTGCGTGGCGCTCGTTTGCGCCTCTCCGGCCGATTCTCCTCTCCCCCCCAAAAAGCCGCGTGTAAATTCGTGAAAAAGGGGGAGGGGGCGTTGCCTGCCGCCATGCGCTCCCTCCACCCTTTGGTGCTTCATTAGATTTCTGCCAAGGTCCTTCTGCAGGCGGCAAAGCCAAGGGGGTCCGCCGATCTCTCCTTCGCAATTTCGCAAAGGGTGCTTTTGGTGAAAGAGGAGCAGCCTCTCCTCGCCGCCTTCCCTCTTCTCCCTTTCTAAAAAGCAGCGGCGGCGACGTGCAAGCGGCGAGAAAAACCCACACCCTGTTCTGGTGGCGGTCTCTCTCTCTCTCTCTGGCTCGGTCGTTGTCAGAGGGTCAGGCTCCTTGGGTTTTGGGTTTGTTTTTTTAGGATGCCGTGCCAAAGGCAAGGGATCTGGCTCCGGGCGAGCGCTGGAGAGGAAGGGATGAGGGTGGAGAGGGGCTCTCGCCCAGGGATGCCACAGGCCGGAGCAGGTTGCGCTAGAGCGCTTTTGAAGGTCGTGGTGGCGTCTTGCAAGAGAGAAAGGCGGGGGAGAAGAGAGCGCTACCTTATAGTGGCTCAGTATTCCGACACTGTCTGGCAGCCACTGTCCGGGGTTTAGCCCCACGGGGAGATACCAGATTTCGAACCAGGAGCCTTCTGAATGCCAAATGGATGCTGTGCCACTGAACTAAGCCTCGCTTTGTTGTTGTTGTTGTTATAATAATAATAATAATTTATTATTTATACTCTGCCCATCTGGCTGGGTTTCCCCAGCCACTCTGGGCGGCTTCCAACAGAACACTAAAATACAATAACTTATTAAACATTAAAAGCTTCCCTAAACAGGGCTGCCTTCAGATGGTAGTTATTTTTCTCTTTTACATCGGATGGGAGGGCATTCCACAGGGCGGGTGCCACCACCGAGAAGGCCCTCTGCCTGGTTCCCTGTAACTTGGCTTCTCGTAGCGAGGGAACCACCAGAAGGCCCTCGCCGCTGGACCTCAGTGTCTGGGCAGAACGATGGAGGTGGTTTATTGTTGTTTGTTTATTTATGTACCACCTGTATCTTCCAAGGATCTCAAGGTGATGTACATGGTTCTCCTCCTCCCCATTTCATCCACACAGCAACCCTGTGAGGTAGACCAGGCAAAGAGCTTCATGGCCGTGTACGGATTTGAATCCCGCTCTCTCAGGACCTAGTCCAACACTCTATAACAGTGTTCCCCAACCTTGGGCCTCCAGCTGTTTTTGGACTACAATTCCCATCATCCTTGACCACTGGTCTTGCTAGCGAGGGATGATGGGAGTTGTAGTCCAAAAACAGCTGGAGGCCCAAGGTTGGGGAACACTGCTCTATAACATCACACCACACTGGCTCCCTATAGTTTTAAAACCATTGACCACATTCCTGGCCGATATTGGCAACAGAATTGACCAACTGCAACCTTGTTCGCATACCACGAGCTCCAATTGTCTCTCTTTTACCAGGGTCAATCAAATGTGCAATCTTGCTTGGACACTAGCTTCAGCTAAGCGTTAGACACTGAGATAATTGGTTACAACCAGAAGTGCATTAGTGCTTTGACGAAGATCCTGCTCTTAGTTTCAGTTACTGCCCCTCTCCGCTCTGCCGGTTCACAAATAGCGTCCCCTGCTATAAATGTCCCCCACACCTGCAGTACAGGAAAAGACAGTTCCTTGTCCCATCTCATCCAACAAGCAAGCTGCTTTGAAAAGCTTCAGGTGTGAAAGTGGCCTATGACTAAAATTATAAATGTATAACATCCCTGTCAATTTCACTGTTTAGGTTTTCTTCTTCTCCAAATTAAGATACAGTGGTACCTCAGGTTACATACACTTCAGGTTACATACGCTTCAGGTTACAGACTCCGCTAACCCAGAAATAGTACCTCGGGTTAAGAATTTTGTTTCAGGATGAGAACAGAAATTGTGCTCTGGTGGCGTGGTGGCAGCAGGAGGCCCCATTAGCTAAAATGGTGCTTCAGGTTAAGAACAGTTTCAGGTTAAGAACGGACCTCCGGAATGAATTAAGTACGTAACCAGAGGTACCACTGTACTACTATGTGTACTGTTTTGATGTTTTGTCTGTAGAGACAAGAAAAAACCCTATGCCCACGAAAACGACAATTCCTTCCTCTTGTCGGTTGTTTTTGCAGGGGTGAATGGGGTCATGGCATCATAAAATTATAGAGTTGGAAAGGGACCACACAGGTCGTCTGTTCTTATTCCCTGCAATGCAGGAGTTTTTCATCCGAGGTGAGACTTGAACCCACAACCCTGAGCTTAAAAGTCTTGTGCGCTACCAACTGAGCTATCCCAGCAGGGAAACTGTTTTCTTTCCCTCCCTCTCCTGTGACAGGTTCTGCAGATGTCCCGTCAGGAGAGGAGTAGCTGAGCAGCAGCTTCTCTGCCAGCAGGGACCAAAGAGATATTTCCGTCCATTTTTAACACATGAAAAAGTTCTAAAAATTCCTCTGTCTCAACAAATCAGTTGGGGGGCAGAATGATGGGTAAAGAGTCAGAAAGGGTTTTTAGCTAAACAGGTAACATGAGCAGCTGTCTGTCTTCATTCCTACATAGCCACCAGTTGAGCTCAAAACCCGATCGAAGCGTGTTTAAAATGGCCTTTGTGCCTTTCCCATGCTTGCATACCGACAATCAGAGAGATGCTGCCAGATGTTTGAAATGTCATGTTGTTAAGCTGATACGTGAGGCAGAAAGTCCCTGGCTCAGATGTCTCCTGGCTCAAATGTCAGGAGGTGAGCTGTCTGCAAAATGAGGACCAAAAATACTCTGGGCTCTCCTGCCGCCAACAGAAATAAACACATAAAGAACATATCATACAAAAACTCTGCACATACGGTATGCAAAAGAATGAAAGACCATTATCCCCAGTGTTTGAAATTAGCCGGGCGCATTTTGCGACTGGGGATTGAGAGAATGCGAGCGCTTTGAGAAGTCTTGTCGCCAGGGTGGATTTGATTTAAATCAAATCGATTGAAATCACGATTTAAATCACTAGTCAGTAAGACTTGATTTAAATCATATTTTTTTTTGCAGAAAGACTTATTCTTTCTGGCATAATCTTAATTTTTACAACCAGATGAAGGTTTCATTTTTGGAATAATAAATTTCCAGAGTAGTTTTTACAGTTATATGAAAAACTGCTGATTGGGTAGTACTATTAGAAATACATATAGACTGATAATTATGAAATTATTGTGCTGTTTAATAATTTAACTGTTTATATTTGGACAACTTTTCTGCTGTACTTTATTGGAAGGAGGAAAACAATCATTTCCTTAATAGCAATTTAAACAATTTATTTAACTGAAACAATAACATAGCATGTGTATCCATGTTTGTTAACTGATGTGGTTGAACAAGGTTTTTTTTGAAACAAACAAACAACCCAACAACCTTAGACTGAGTTTTAGCACACATGAAAAACTTAAAACAAATCCTTATTTCCTGATAATAGCCTTTGGACTATAATGTAACTTAAATAGAAAACTATCTTTAGAAAGATTTTTCCTCCAAAAGCATTTTATTTTAAAAATCCAATTTAAATTAAGAAAAATCCAATTTAAACTTTTTTAAAAAATCAATTTATATAAAAAAAAAAATCTGATTTTTTTATTTTTTTAAAAAAGAATAATTGATTTTTATCCACCCTGCTTGTCGCCATGTATGGCGTCTGAGACTCAATAATAAAATGGCTGGCACTGGGAGCACAGGAGGGGAAATGTCTCCCTGCCTGACTCCAAAGTAAGACTGCACATAACTTTTTCTATCCTAGTTTCTACCACTGATTATCCCTTCTTCCTTCCCCCCCATCTCTCCCCACAAGGCCTTTGACAGCAGTGTCTCCCACCTGTACGAATTGAAAGCGCAGACATTATATGTATTATGTACCATTGTTACCCTTGAAAATAACAAAAAGACTGCTGTCTTATCTGGCAGCTCATTTGTCAGGATGACTGTCTCAAATGTAGGCGAAGCAGGGGACTGTTGTTAAGAGCCCATATAAATACTAAGTATTCCTGGGTCGAAATATTGGACCTACTGGAGAAATCTCCACACAGCCGTGAACCTTGGGCCAGGCATGCACTCTGAAGTCTTAGCAACCTCACAGGGTTGTTGTAGGCATAGCTGTCAACTTTTCCCTTTTCTTGCGAGGAATCCTATTCGGAATAAGGGAATTTTTGACAGCTATGGTTGTAAGGATAATAAAATGATATTTTTTTGGGGGGGAGGGAGAATTCTGTATGCCACCCCGAGCTCTGTGGAGAAGGAATGGGATAAACGTGAACAGTGGACGCTTGGGTTGCAAATGTGATCCGTGCGGGAGGCACGTTCGCAACCCGCTGCGCATGCGCGGGCCGCGATTTGGCGTTTCTGCGCATGCGCAAAGCGCGATTTAGTGCTTCTGCACATGCACACGCACTGAAACCCGGAAGTAACCCGTTCCGGTACTTCCGGGTTTGGCGCGGTGCGCAACCCGAAAACACACAACCTGAAGCGTCTGTAACTCGAGGTATGACTATAATACTTCAGTTCTTAATTTTAGCAGGGTTAGAAGAAAGGAAAAGGCGGCGAGGAATGGATACCTGGAATCTTAAACATGGGGGAAGAAAATCCATTTCATTCTCTCGAATTTGGATCTTGCCTGTCGCTAAGCGATGGTTTAGGCCTCTTTTCCTAAGCACTGTTTGTTCTTCCTCAGATGCACTTTCTCGCCCTTCTGGGAGAAGTTCAGTTCCCGATTTGCACTGATGACTTGCAAGTCATAAAGAGGAACAGCTTTGGAATTGAACTAGAATAACTCTTGAAAACGTAACCCTCCGTTGCGGTCTTCAAAAGGTGTCCGAAGCCTCTCCCTCTTCCCTGTCCCCAAATCCGCCTCACCGCAGAGGCCCCGGCGCCGTAAATTTCGGCCTCGCAGTTAAAATACCTTCCACCCTTCCGTTTCCATTTCACATTCCAGCTGAGGCCCCTCTCCCCGGAATGCCAGATGACACTTAATAACCCGAGTCCATCCCAGCTCTGTCGGTGTCGTATTTCTCAACATGTGCTGTTTTTTTGGCTTTCTTCCAGGGGGAACTAGAAAAGCTGAATCAATCCACAGATGCTATCAATCGGAGAGAAACAGAACTCGAGGTACCATTTTTTAAAATGCTTTGCTGCTTTGTATGAACACACATTCTTCTTGTATATACCGTATTTTTCGGTATAGGGCGCACTGGCCCATAGGGCGCACCTCGTTTTTTGGGGGGGAAATAAATTTTAAAAAAATTATTTCCCCCGCCCCAGCCCCCAGAACAGGCTGCTATCCGCAAGCCTTGAGAGCACAGCGGGAACTCCCGCCGGGTGTGCAAGGCTTGCGGACATCTGCCCGAAGCACGGGGCGCGCTCCAGAGCGTGCTTCAGGCTTCAGGCTGCTGCCTGCAAGCCTTGCGCGCCTGGCGGGAACTCCCTCTGGGTGTGCAAGGCTTGCGGACAGCTTCCTGAAACCTGGAGACCGAGAGGGGTTGGTGTGCACCGACGCCTCTCGCTCTCCAGGCTTCAGCAAAAGCCTGCATTCGCCCCATAGGGTGCACACACATTTCCCCTTCATTTTTGGAGGGGAAAAAGTGCGTTCTATAGGGCGAAAAATACGGTACATTTTTAAGGTTGTTATTATTGTTGTTGTTTTTAAGAGAATGGAATTTGTTTGGATTTTTTGTCTTGGCCGCTTAACGAAAACAAAACACACACACACACCAGAGAAACGGCAAAATAAAAATAAAATGTCTGCATGGACTAAGCCAGCAGACGAAGAGAAAGTAGGTCACACTTCTCCTGCTCAGACACTGAGATTGAATGACATTACTTTGTACAATGCTTTGAATTTCATTAGTCCTGTGATATCCTGCACCAAGGGATAAGGAGTGTAGCAATCAAAGTGGTAATTAATCCTACATGTAGGTATGCAAACAGTGCTTTTGAATTTGGCAGGGCTCCCTCCTCCTCTCTCTCTCCCTCCTGTAGCGCTTCCGCCAACGTTTGCGGGATCCTGAGATGCTGCTTCGAAATGAAAGAAAGACTTCTTATTATTTCTGCCAGATTTATATACAGCTTAATCAAAAACAACCTGGAAAAGTCCTAAGAAAATGCCAAAGAAGTCAACGGGCTTTAAAAACAGGAAGGCAAAATGAAAATATCAAAACGATCGTTAAAATGGATAGTTTTAAAATACGGATAGGCCGGATACAATTTCGCATCTGGATAGGCTCGCTTGGTTTTCTTTTTTTAAAAGAAGGTATCGAAAAAAGGATGGCAGCGCCTGCCTAATATTTATGGGTGCAGCCACACCCAAAGGTGGATTTCTCACAAAAGCGGAACGCATACTTGTAAAAATCCCAGTTCCACAAGCACATAGTCTCAAAATGGATATGCTTGCGCCTCGCAACTTTGCTCATTGACAGTCAAAATGAGGAAAGGTTGCCGCAACAGATAGAAAGCCAAAAAATGTAGTAGTATATGTTAAGTAGGGACACGGGTGGCGCTGTGGATTAAACCATAGAGCCTAGGACTTGCCGATCAGAAGGTCGGCGGTTCGAATCTCCGCAACGGGGTGAGCTCCCGTTGCTCGGTCCCTGCTCCTGCCAACCTAGTAGTTCGAAAGCATGTCAAAAGTGCAAGTAGATAAACAGGTACCGCTCCGGCGGGAAGGTAAACGGTGTTTCCGTGCGCTGCTCTGGTTTGCCAGAAGCAGCTTAGTCATGCTGGCCACATGACCCAGAAGCTGTACGCCGGCTCCCTCGGCCAATAAAGCGAGATGAGCGCCGCAACCCCAGATTCATCCGCGACTAGACCTGGTCAGGGGTCCCTTCACTTTATACGTTAAGTACTCTCAGAAAGGTTTGAAAAGGGGCATTTCTCTCTCTCCTTGTGGCAGCCGAGCATAGAACAAACAAGCCACAGAGTGGACCAGAATGTTGGGCTGTGGAAATATTTCTCCTCTGCCCCTCTGCCACCATTTTACAGATCGGGAGAGGATGAGCCACGTGTTTGACAGAACCAAAGGAGTATTGGGCATTCGCCTTAATGCTCTTTAGCAATCCTTGTACCGCTCTGCATGCAAAATGGATGGGGCCAGCCCTACCATTAGACAGAGTGAGTGCCATCAGAGGGCAGCAAGTTGTTAATTACGGGACTTGACCGTTATTGCCAGGGAAAGGGGAAGCTTGTAGGATTTTTCTGCCTCGGGTGCCAAAATATGTTGGTCGGCCTTGAGTACTCTGTGCCTCGACTTGAGGGAAAGGGCTGTGTGACATTTGCTGCTCTGCCTCGGGTAGCAAAATGTCTGAGAATTGAAGCTCTAACCTACTTCAGTCTGGCTGATCTCATTCCTGCAAGCTACGCTTTCCGTTTTTTGGAGCACAGAACTGAATCCAGATGTGGCTCTCCAGATGTTGGCAAACTACAGCTCCCATCAACCCCCGTCGGCAGAGTGCAGCTCCCCCTACCCGGGTTAAATTCATGCATCTTTCTGCTAGGATTGGTGGTATGAAGTGAATCTTAAGGCAGGGATGGGGAGCTTCAAGCCCTCCAGATGTTTGCAACGCCCACCATCCCCGGTTATTAGCTTTGCTGACTTTGGCTGATGGGTAGCGCGTGGGGCTCTTAATCTCAGGGTCGTGGGTTTGAGCCCCACGTTGGGCAAAAAGATTCCTGCATTGTAGGATCTTTGGACTTGATGACCCACGTGGTCTTTCCAACTCTGCAATTCTATGACTCTATGAGTTGTTGTCCAACAACAACTGGAGGACCAATGTCTTAAATGATTTTTCTTGCTTCAGCTGCTGTTTAGAAATAACTGTTCACGAGATGTTCAGTATTGTGCTGCATATGAAACAACAATAACAACAATATCAATTTACATACCTGTCAGGGAACTGCCATCGGAGCCAGGGGGAGAGGCAGGGCTCCAGAGGGATTCCGGAGAGCGTCCCGGGAGGGAGAGAAGCAGCACATCTTCTGGGGAAGGAAATCAGCGTAGCACCAGTGGAGAAGGGAGGCAGATGGGGGAATCGGCGAGGTGGCTCCATGACTCCTCGCTGGGGACCAGCGGGGAGAGCACGGGTCCTCCGCTGCCCACACCCTCCCTGCGCAGAAGGCTTCCGCGCAGGGAGAGTAGGCGGAGACTAGGCGTCAAAGAACTTCTTTGCTGGAAGAAGTTCAAGAAACGCCCACTGACGGATTCTGCCAGCGATTGAGACAGCCACAGGTGAGTGGCTGTCCGGACAGAGAAGGTTCACTCAGGCAACTCAGCCAGGTGTGGCGCCGATTTACGCACGAGCAACCCCTAGAACCATTACAATACCATTATCAGAAGATCCCAGGGCAGTGTACAACATTAAAAACACATTACAGAACACCAGTGATAAAAACATAGTAAGAACATAATAAAATGCATGCTGACTGAAAGCAGGTAATAGCATTTTGTTTTGTTGGGGGGTAGAGAGAGGCAGCAATCATGTAGTTTTCTTTGCTTTTCCCCTTTTGTTCTGTGCTCCCGTTTGTCCGATATCTTGCATCTGTTGTTCCCTAGGCCGTTTTGAAGGAAGCAACATAGCGCTTACTTAAATGCTCCTTTCCTGTCGCCTGGCCTTTTAAACTTTAGCTCCCTACCTCCAGCCGATGGTAACCGATGTTGTCAGTCAGGGACCTGGCAAAGGAGAAGAGGCTATTCTGGGCAGATGTCGCCAGTTCGGAGAAGAGGTCTCTTAATAAGTCCTCTGGGCACTGATCTCTGCAAACAAAGGGCAATTGAGGACACGGCTGTCTGTAATTTATGAATGTTGGGGGATGTTTTTGAGGCAGTGGGTCCCAGATGAGAATTGCACGAAAGCACTAATTTGCCTCTCTCTAATGTATGCCAGTGTGGGACACGGATGGTGCTGTGGGTTAAACCACAGAGCCTAGGAGTTGCTGATCAGAAGGTCAGCGGTTTGAATCCCCGCGATGGGGTGAGCTCCTGTTGCTCGGTCCCTGCTCCTGCCAACCTAGATCAATATGTACCGTTCCGGTGGGAAGGTAAACGGTGTTTCCATGCGGTGCTCTGGTTTGCCAGAAGTGGCTTAGTCATGCTGGCCACATGACCGGCTCCCTTGGCCAATAAAGTGAGATGAGCGCTGCAACCCCAGAGTTGGTCATGACTGGACCTAATGGTCAGGGGTCCCTTTACCTTTAATGTATGCCAGAATTTTGGTCAGTAGCGCCCTTGTGGGAAGGCAGAATAGCTAGAGGATGCATCCTTTGTACAGTGGAACCTCGGAAGCTCAATGCCTGTAAACTCGAACGTTTCGGCTCTCGAACGATTGAAAACCAGAAGGGATTGTTCTGGTTTTCGAATGATTTTCGGAAGCCGAACATCCAGTGCGGCTTCTGATTGGCTGCAGGACGCTCCTGCAGCCAATGGGAAGCCGTGCCTTGGAAGTTGAACAGACTTCCGGAACCGATTCTGTTTGACTTCCTAGGTATGTCTGTACTGCTTTGCTGCTGTTTATATCCAGGTTACCAACCTTTCGAAGCCCCAGGACGTAGTTGGGTTTTTTTAGCGGTGCAATGGGAAACCTCTCTCCTCCCTCCCTCCAACCAGCCCTATTCCCAGAGGCTGAAAGAGGCAGAGTGCTCACCCTTTTTCCAAGGTAAAAGTTGGATTCCGTCGAATTACTCTGAGCTTTAAAAAGCACATTCAGCTGAAAGAGGATGTGGGAACCAGTGGCACTTTTCCAGCTTCCTCTTTCAGCTCCACGTACTTTCCAAGGGAGAAAGTGGTAACCACTGTCTTCACCTTGTCATTGGGGTCTATGTGATGATGGTTCTGAGGCCTTGTGTGTGCCAGGGGAAGATCTCAAGGGAGCCATGCCACCAACAGAAACCACCTTGTTTAGCTAGGCATTCCTTTGCACCCTTTTCTGTGGCACGAGAGACCCGGAAGAGGTGGACCGATCTCTCTACGTCCTGCTCTTTGCAGAGCCATCGTTATTCTAGGTCTGCATGAATTGTGATCCATCGGGCTGCATGCTTGATAAACCTGGCTTTGACGTCTGCAACTATTGGTTAAGAGTTGTGGGCTAGGGCGACTCTGGTTCAAATCCCCACTCAGCCATGAAATTCAGGGAACAATGGAACAATGTTTCACATGTGGTGGGAATGCCGACCTATGAAACAATTCTGGAATGAAATTTATGAAGAAATCAAAAAGATGTTCAAAATATCTTTCAGTAAAAAAACCGGAGGCATTCCTTTTAGGTATAATCACAAACGATATTCCCCACAATCAAAGGAAAGTATTCCTTTATGCAACGACAGCTGCCAGGGTGCTTATAGCAAAAAACTGGAAAGGGAGAAAAATTTCATCAATGAAGGAATGGCAAATTAAATTTTGTGAATATACAAATCTGGCAAGACTCACAGCATTCATAAGGGGACAATTGGACCAGGAATTATTAAAAGAATGGGGATGTGCTAAAGAGTATATGAAAAAACATTGTTCTGGAGTAAGCATATCGGTATGTAATGAATGGTGCTTTACAGGGTTAAAGAAAAAGAAAAATGGTGTAAAAAGTACAAAGATGGAAGTAATCTACATTAGACACAACAATACAGTAAGAGTAAAAATTTTGAGGTCTTAGAACAAAGGAAGGAAGTCAATATGTGTATATGTATGTATTGACTAGATTAGAGTGATGATATGGTTTTATTTGTAGATGTATACTTTTTTGTCTTGTTTTTTGTTTTGTTTTCCTTTTTTTGTATGTTCTGTTTTTCTTTTTTGTTTGTATAGTATTATTTTGGATTCAATGTTTGTAATTCTTGTTATGATTTTGCATTGAAAATAAAATAATAATGAAAAGAAATTCAGAGTTGAACAGTTGCACTCTCTCTCAGCCTAACCTACCTCCAAGGGTTGTCGCGAGGGGTGTTAGAAACTCAGATAGATAAGCCAGTTGCCACATCGCTCCTGAAGCCAGGGTTGCAGTCGCCAAATCAGAACAACTCGTTGCCGTTTTTGGGACAGGTGGCTCGAAAGTCACATTTTTTCCATTACGACTTTTTGGTTCCTGAAATGGATTCTGATTGTGCAGATAAAATATAATGGATAGAATTCCACAGGGTGTGTTGCTGGTTAGTGTGAAAACAGTTGAACGTTTTTGAGGATCCCCAGGAATGCGTCTCCGGATGGTGGGAGACATCTGGTGCCATCCTGGCATCTTCACTTGGTTGTAAGTGGGTGATAGGTAAAGGTAAAGGGACCCCTGACCACTAGGTCCAGTCGTGGCTGACTCTGGGGTTGCGGCGCTCATCTCGCTTTACTGGCCGAGGGAGCCGGCATACAGCTTCTGGGTCATGTGGCCAGCATCACTAAGCCGCTTTTGGCGAAACAGAGCAGCGCACGGAAACGCCGTTTACCTTCCTGCCGGAGCGGTACCTATTTATCTACTTGCACTTTGACATGCTTTCGAACTGCTAGGTGGGCAGGAGCAGGGACCGAGCAACGGGAGCTCACCCCATCGCGGGGATTCGAATCACCGACCTTCTGATCGGCAAGTCCTAGGCTCTGTGGTTTAACCCACAGCGCCACCTGCGTCCCTTAAGTGGGTGATAGCCAGCTGCAAAATGTGCCTGGAGAATTTTAAGTGCTGGTCGTGAGGATAAAATGCTGCTAGGGTAGGAGAACCACGAGTGCCGTTATGACGTCCTTCAAAGAAAGGTGGAATATATAAATCCCTGCATTTGGTAGACCACAGTACAAGACTGACAAGTCCTGTTAGGTCTGGGGAATTGTGAGTTGTGCAGGCCTTCCTCATTGCTACATCTCTTACTGCCTGCGATAGGCTACTCTGTGGCAACTTCCAGCACTTCCCAGCACATGTGAAGTTGTTGTCAGCTTCTGCCGCTATGTGCTGGACGCCACTTTCAGTGCGCCACGGCTCGCTTGCACATTGAGGGTGATTTGAGATCCTGTATCAAAATCATTGGCTGTGCAGAACCGACAGTCGCGGCAGTATAGTTACTGATTTGCTTGTTTTTCTTACCTATTTTGTGTTTTCGTTTTGGTATTTCAGTGCTGTGAACCGCCCTGAGATCTACGAATTAAGAGCGATATACAAATTTCATGAATAATGGTAGTAATTTACATGGTGGAAATGATTTCCATGACATGTAAATCCAAGAATCGGTGGCTGATGCATGTATGTTCTCCTGTTAAAAAAAAACAAAGGCTTGGCTAGCAGCCTGCAAAGTCAATATCTTTGGCTTCCTCAGTTCTGCAAGACGATAAATAGCATCCTGTATCCTCTCTGCCCAATTGTTTATGGCCCCCTGGAGCGCTCGCTGCTCCTCCGATGACTTGAAGCGTGCTGCGGTGGTCTCAGCAAGGTAGAGAGCAAATGGATTGAAAGGCACTGGGCTATTGATGGTTTTGTATAAATTAATCTATTGCTTCTTAATGAGCCTTTGATTGGGCTTGGTTAAAATCCATAACTCCGTTGGCACAAAGTGCAGAGCCCAGCGCTAATGCTGCAGCCAAGGATTATGGAGGTCCTCCGAGGGATTTTTAATGCGCGGCTTTGTCTGGTGTTCCTGCTCATGATTGAAGCCTTTGTGAAGTGAACTCTCCGCTAATACTGTTTTAAGACTGGTGAGCGCTGCTTTGCCACATCAGCAGTGCTCTGGCTTTGTGTGTGTGGACGCGATGGCTTTTTGATATGAAAGATCTTCCCTCTGATAGTCAGCCCTGTTGCAAACGGGGTGTGGGGGTCTCACCACCCCTTTTTAGCCAGGCCCCGGCAGGCTGGTAAAAAAAATAAAAAATAAAACAGCAGGGTAGTAACTTGAGTGCTTATTTGCGAAGCTCGAAACGGAGGGCAAAGCTTGTTGTTGTTTAGTCGTTTAGTCGTGTCCGACTCTTCGTGACCCCATGGACCAGAGCACGCCAGGCACTCCTGTCTTCCACTGCCTCCTGCAGTTTGGTCAAACTCATGCTGGTAGCTTCGAGAACACTGTCCAACCATCTCATCCTCTGTCTCCCCTTCTCCTTGTGCCCTCAATCTTTCCCAACATCAGGGTTTTTTCCAGGGAGTCTTCTCATGAGGTGGCCAAAGTATTGGAGCCTCAGCTTCAGGATCTGTCCTTCCAGTGAGCACTCAGGGCTGATTTCCTTCAGAATGGAGAGGTTTGATCTTCTTGCAGTCCACGGGACTCTCAAGGGTCTCCTCCAACACCATAATTCAAAAGCATCAATTCTTCGGTGATCAGCCTTCTTTATGGTCCAGCTCTCACTTCCATAGCATGACATGAATTGTGCATAAGCAGTTGATACTGGTGGTTAAACATTTGCATAGCTTGGAAGGGAAAGCAGGGCTGGGAACTCAACCCAACCCCTTAGCCCTGGGAGGTCAAACTTCCATTGGCACCAGTGCAAGTTTTCCCTTCCAAGAATTTATTTTGGGGAGGGTCATTGGGACCACGAAGAGGGGAAAGGGTTAACTTGCCTGCGCTCCATCCTGATGCTGGTTCAGACCAAACGCAGTGTTCTCATTTGTGGCAAGAGTTTAGTGATGCTTTGAATGTGAGCTGTGGCCCATATTTATGTATCCCTTTGCTGTACTTGAGAGCATAAAGTTCACGGGCACTGCTTGTAAATGCTGATCTCCGAGAACTAAGACTTAGTAATGAAGCTGTGTGTGTTTGGTGGGGGGGAGTTGAGCAGGAAATGATTCTTGCTCATGCATGCATACTGAATTGGGAATAGGAAGGGTCACAGTGTGCACTTACACATAAATATCTTAGTAATCTGCAATTCAGTTGACGCTATGTATCATGCGTTTGACCTCCCAAGTTTTATATTATCCTCTTCAGGGTTAGAATCATTGAGTGGGAAGGAACCACGAGGGCCTTCTGGTCCAAACCTTTGCAATGCAGGACTCTCCCCCCCCCAAATAATTTTTTAACATTTGATTTTAAAAAGTATAAACATACAACATAAAATAGTTCCGAATCCAAATATTGAGATTACTCTGAATCTCCTGACTTCCCCCCATCCCTTCCCTGGGTCCTAACGGGATTACTATTTACAACTGCGTATCAATACTTCTCCGAATTTTTCATCCTAAATTATCCCTACTTTCCATTACTTTACAAGTGTGGTTAAAATCCTGCTAACAGTGGACCTGTAAATACCGTATTTTTCGCTCTGTAAGACGCACCAGACCACAAGACTGTTTTTGGAGGAGGAAAACAAGAAAAAAAATATTCTGAATCTCAGAAGCCAGAACAGCAAGAGGGATTGCTACGCAGTGAAAGCAGCAATCCCTCTTGCTGTTCTGGCTTCTGGGATAGCTGTGCAGCCTGCATTCGCTCCATAAGACGCACACACATTTCCCCTTACTTTTAGGAGGGAAAAAGTGAGTCTTATAGAGCAAAAAATACGGTAAATTATAAACTTTCCCCATTCCTTATTAAAGTTCTTCTCTTCTTGATTTCTGAGCTTTCCAGTTAATTTTGCCATTTCAGCATATTCCATCAACTTTGTTTGCCATTCACAATGCAACAACACCCATTCACTGTTCTTAACATATCAACACACTAGTTAAAATGGAATCCTTTAAAAGCTGACTGCAGTAAACGAAACTGACTGAGGACCACATATCCCCACTTAACTGGTTTTTCAATTGGGCTGATCCACTCACTTGTCCCGCCGTCCGTGACCTTGTAGTTTGAACCGGAATTTGCTGCAAGGTGGGCCAGCCTGGAAACAAAAGGAAAGGGGGACGGAATTAGATGATTTGTTCTGCGTTTAAGAAAACAGAATGCTGCACACAATGGCGATGAAGGAAGGAAGGAAATATTTAATGGCCCATTGAGGTGGGACAGCTGGTCAAGCGCTGGGAGGTCTGCAGCAGAGCAGCTGGGAGCGACGGCAGAATGACTCTGGAGCTTTGAGCCAATGAATAAGGCGCTTTGGCCAGAGTATGTCAAAGCTCTTCCAATTGTAGGGCAGATGTAGCCTAACAACCACTTGCCGCGGTTCATGTTCTTGGCAGCGTAGCGCAAGGCAGAATTTGAGACCTTCCCTTGCGCGGTTTAGAACAGCTGCCACTGTGATTGGGGAAGTTGTTGAAAAATCACTGGAGAAGTTGAGAATCGTGTGAATGCGTCACAAACGTTAGCAACATAGGGAGCTGCCTTAGGCAGAATCCATCTAGTTCAATATTGTTCACACTGGCTGGCAGCATGGTTTGAGGCAGTGTCCTTCCCAGGAGATGCTCACAGCCCACCCGTTCTCTCTGGTCTTGCCAGTGGCGTACCATGGGTTGCCAGTGCCCGGGGCCATGCAGAGGAAAAGACAGAGTGTGAATGCACATTCAGCTGCCTAACGGTGTCCGTGCCACCCAGGAGATGGCAGCCGCAGAGATAAGAAAAGAAGAGTCATTCCATTGCCTGGAGAGGTCACTTCCTGGTTCGCATGCAGCAGCCGTTTTCAATGGAGCCCAGTGACCGAGGCACACTGAGCTGTATTGAGGCAGCACTGGGTGTTGAAATATTGCACCCCTAACAATTTTGTGCCTGGGGCAATCGCCCCTGTGCCCCCTGACTAGGCCACTGGAGAATCTATATCAGACAGTGGCTGTGATGGGATTATGAGCTGCTTGTGCGTAAAATCGTATTCCCTCAGAGTTTGTTCAAGTCCACAAACCTCTGTCTGTGACTGAGCCCCTCTGACATGGCTCCTCTAGTCACTAGAAGATTCCGACAGTGGTTGCTTTCGTAATCGCTTCCAACATAAAAGCTCCTTAACGGAAACACGTCTTCTGGACTCTCTGCGTGACAGTTTCCGGCGAGGAGTGGGTGTCGCTACAGGAGGTCCGGAAACCTCACCACTGTTTTCGCTGGAAGTATCTCTGAGCCATCCCCCAGCTCCCTTTCCCTCAGTTCAGCTTCTCTCCCCTGCTGGTTTCCTCTTCCGCTGCTGAGTCTCTTCCAACCTGTCTGAGCCCTTTCACCTCCCTCAGTTCAGCTTCTCTCCCTTGCTGGTTCCCTCTTCAGCTGCTGAATCTCTTCCAACCTGTCTGAGTCCTTTCACCTCCCTTCCTTCCGATGGCAGTTCCCTGACATCCACCTCCCCTCCAGGGCCCCCTTCACCCCCTCTCGCCCCCTCCTCTACGGGCGGTGAGGAGGCAAAACCCGGAATGAACTTCCTTCATCTTCCGATGTCTCGAACACTTCTCTCCACCTGTTGCGGTTCCTGGTCTCGAAGCACTCCTCCTCCTCCGAGTCCATCTCCCTTCCCCTTCCGATTCTGGGAATCCTTCCAACTCCTCCTCCTCCTCAGTGGTCCCAAAGTATTCCCTCCGGAACCTCTCCACAGGCTGAGGTTTCCGCGGGAACCTTTGATGGAACATTTCTATCAATACCTCGTCATTGATATCTTTGGCCATTACCCACGTGTTTTCTGACTCCGGTTCTCCTTCCCACGCTACCAAATACTCCACCTGATTCCCCTTCCACCTGGCATCAAGGATTTCTGCCACATGACTGCTGCATTCTCTTTCTTCTATGACCGGTCCCCGAGTGGCCATCCCTTCTCGTCCCCCCTCGTACGGTGACAGTAACGACCTGTGAAATACTGGGTGCAGTTTCATGTGGTTGGGTAACCGGAGCCTGAAAGCCACTGGGTTGACCTGTTGAATGACCTCAAAGGGACCCAACCTCCTGGGTCGTAATTTCTTACAACCTCCTTTGAACGGCAACCCTCGGGTTGACAGCCACACCCTATCTCCAACCCTTATGGTTTCACCTTCCCTTCGGTTCTTGTCTGCCTGCCTCTTGTATTCTTCCTTCGCCCTTTCTAAGTTGAGTTGGAGCTGACGGTGGATTGCTTCCATTTCTTCTACAAAATGCTCGGCTGCCGGTACGCTCCATCTCTCCCCTTCTCCCCCTGGGAAAGCCCTGGGATGACACCCATAATTAGCCAAGAAGGGGCTCATCCCTGTGGACACATTCTCGGCATTGTTGTAGGCAAATTCCGCCAGCGCCAACTTTTCTACCCAGTCATTCTCTCTGTCATTGACATAACACCTCAGGTATTGCTGGAGGACACCGTTTGCTCTTTCCGCCTGCCCGTTGGTTTCAGGGTGCCGGGCAGTCGAAAAGTTGACCTCCACCTGCAGTAAGCTCATGAGCTTCCTCCAGAACCTGGAAGTAAATTGTTTTCCTCGGTCTGAGACCACCCTCAATGGCACCCCGTGCAACCTAAAAATGTGTTCTACAAATAACTTCGCTGTCTCTTCCGCCGTGACTGCATGCGAGCAAGCTACAAAGTGGCACATCTTTGTTAGTAGGTCTACCACCACCATGATGGCTGTTTTCCCTTTGGACTTCGGCAGATCAGTCATAAAATCTATCGACACTGCCTCCCAAGGTCGTTCTGGTGTTGGTAAGGGTTCTAATAGCCCCGCCGGCGCCCGCCTTTCCCCTTTGGCTCGCTGGCACTGCTCGCACCCTCTTACATACTCACGTACATCCTCCCTCACCTTAGGCCACCAAAATTCCCTGGTGACCAACCACATGGTTTTGTGTTGCCCAAAATGCCCCGCCGTGGGGCTGTCATGCAACTGCTTGAGTACCCTCCCCCTTAAGTCTCCTTCAGGGATATACAGTGCCCCTTTGTAATACAAAGCTCCATTTCTTTCCTCGAAACCCCTTGATTCCTCTCCCTCATCCCTAAGACCTCTGAGCTTATTCTGGGCGTATTCATCATTCTCTGTTTCTTCTACCAGTTCTCTTTGTCCCACCAATGCCGCCCCACACACCCAGCGGTCCTCTGGAATGACATGTCTCTCTTCGGGTGCTCCCTCCCCTCCCAATATTCAGGTTTGCGTGAGAGAGCGTCCGCCCTAATGTTCTCTGGGCCTGGCACGTAACAAATCTCAAAGTTAAATTTGGAGAATTCCTGGGCCCATCTCACTTGCCGTTGGTTGAGCACTCGTGCCGTCCTCCAATACTCTAGGTTCTTGTGGTCAGTGCACACTTGCACCTTATGTTGTGCGCCAATTAGCAGGTGCCTCCATCTCCGGAACGCCTCATGAATGGCTAGTAGTTCTCGGTCATACACCGTGTAGTTCCTCTCGGATTTGTTCAGCTTTCGCGAAAAAAGCACACGGTCTCCACTCTGACTCCTCCTTCCCTGGCTGGAGAAGCACCGCCCCAACCGCTCTGTCTGATGCGTCAGTTTCCACTCTCATCGGTTTTTGTAAATCCACATGCAGGAGCTGTTGTTCCGAGGCGAAGGCCCTTTTAGTTCCTCAAATGCTTGCTCCGCCTCCTCCGTCCAAACGAACTTCTTCTTACTGCTGAGACAGTCCGTAATGGGCGCCGTCAGGTGGGCAAAGTTTGGGATGAACTTACGATAGAAGTTCCCAAACCCTAAAAACCTCTGCACATCCTTCCTTGTTTTGGGTGTTTTCCATTCCAGTACCGCCTGGACCTTGTCGGGATCCATGGCCAACCCCTTGTCAGACAGGCGATACCCCAGGAATTCCACCTCCTTGGTATGAAACTGACACTTCTCCAGTTTCACCCACAGCTGGTTGGCTTGCAGCCTGCTCAACACTTCTCTGACGTCTCTCACATGCTGCTCCTCATTCTCAGAATACACCAACACGTCGTCTAAGAAGGCCACACAATTCTTGTAAAGCAACGGCCCCAGGACGTGGTTCATAAACGATTGAAATGTTGCGGAGCCTGCTTGTAGACCGAAGGGCATAACTAAGTATTCAAATGCCCCTAAAGGGGTGAACATGGTGGTTTTCCATTCATCCCCCTTCCTTATTCGTATCAGGTTGTACGCCCCCCTTAGATCCAGCTTGGTAAAAATCTTTCCCTTCCGCACCCTTGTCAAAATGTCGTCAATCCTGGGCATCGGGAAGGCCACTGGTTCTGACACTGCATTTAAGGCCCTGAAGTCACACACCAGTCTCGGCTTGTTCGTGTTTTTTTGTCCACAAAAACACTGGGCTGCCCCCACCGCCCTGGACTCTCTGATGAACCCTCTCTTCAGGTTCTTGTCAATGAACTCTCTTAGCTCCTGCATCTCTCTGTCTGACATGGCGTACAGCTTGCCCACAGGGAGCTGTGCCCCAGGGAGCAAATTGATTTGACAGTCAAAGGCTCTATGCGGTGGTAGTTGGTCAGCTTCCCTTTCGCTGAAGACGTCGCGGAGATCTGCGTATTGTCGTGGTACCTTCACGTTCTCCGTCACTTCAGTCCCTGCTAGAGTGGCTTGGGCCCCTGCCAAAACCCTTCCCTCTTTGCAATGTTCTAAGCAATGTGCTGACCCAAAAGAAACCACTCTTTGATGCCAGCCCACCAGCGGATCATGTAACGCTAGCCAGCTCATCCCCAATATAATGGGAGCTCCTCCCAAGGTGGCCACATTAAATGCTATTAGTTCGGTGTGCCTTGCCACCTTCATTATCATTGGGACGGTCTGCAAGCTGACTTCTCCTCCCAACAGCTCCCTGCCATCGATCGTGGTTACCTGCAGGGGGTTGCTTAAGGGAGCGTCTGTATCTGGTGTTCAGCTGCAAACTCTTTGCTCATGAAATTGCAGGAGCTGCCTGAGTCCAACAGCGCCTTTATCTTTAGAGGGTGTCCGTTTGGCAGCTCTAGTGTCACTTCTATCACTAGGGCGGGTTTAGGAGGTTCTGGAGTGGGCACTTTCACTGCTCTTTGGCCTGGCTGCTGTGCCCCGACAATGGCAGCCAGGCGTTGGCTTTTAGTTGCTCCGGTATTTTTCCTCTCTTCCCTCCACAGCTCCCACCATCCCTTGCCATTCCTTCCTCTGGGGGCAGACTCTGGCAAAGTGCCCTGGCTGTTGGCAGAGATAGCATTTCCGGGCGCCTTTTCCATCCTTCTTTCCCCCTCACTGGGCTTTGAAACTGCGCGCGCGCGCTGTTCCGATTTCCATCGGCTCTGCCGGCGGGACAGTTGGCTCTGGAATGTCTGGAATGCGGAACTCCTTCCAACGTTCCCCTTTCCCTTCCCGCCTCTCCAATGCTCTCGCCTCCTGGCGCGCTCCTATGGCCAGCGCTGATTTGGTCAGCTGGTCCATAGACTCCGCCCTGGGCGCCCGGGAAAGTTCATCTTTCACAGCCGAAGAAAGCCCTTCTTCAAAGAGCATTTGAATGGGTTCCGCCGATAAGTCCCACCCCAATCTGTGTATCAGCATGGTGAACTCAGTCCAGTACTCACGTACAGATCGGCTCCCCTGTTTGCAAGCCATTAACTGTCTGCGCACCACTCCCTTTTCAATATCGCTGGAAAACATCAGATCCATGGCGCGAAAGAACTTCATCGTGTCCTTTAGGACGTCACTATGCGCTGCCATCAGGGGTCTCACCCAGTCTCTCGCCCCCTTTTCAAGATGCCCAATCACAAAAGCCACTCGTGATTCCTCATCAGGGAAATCATCAAACTGCAGATTGAGGGCATATTGCATTTCTGTCCGAAAGCTATGATAGTCTTTGGGCTCCCCCCCAAATTTCTGCACCAATCCTGGTACCTTTCTGGCGAGCTGGGTGGCTTTCTCCCTTTGTCTGCATCTTGAGCCCTCCTCTCCTCCAGCCTCGCCGTCTGCAGCGCCAGCTGGACCTCCAACACCCGGTACCTTTCTTCCAGGCTTGGACCCGCTCCAGCCCCTGCTTCTCCGGTTCCTGCTGGGTTGCTCATTATGCCTTCTCCTGCACAAGCTGCGTTCAAAGACTGTCGGAATGCTGTGATGGGATTATGAGCTGCTTGTGCGTAAAATCGTATTCCCTCAGAGTTTGTTCAAGTCCACAAACCTCTGTCTGTGACTGAGCCCCTCTGACATGGCTCCTCTAGTCACTAGAAGATTCCGACAGTGGTTGCTTTCGTAATCGCTTCCAACATAAAAGCTCCTTAACGGAAACACGTCTTCTGGACTCTCTGCGTGACAGTTTCCGGCGAGGAGTGGGTGTCGCTACAGGAGGTCCGGAAACCTCACCACTGTTTTCGCTGGAAGTATCTCTGAGCCATCCCCCAGCTCCCTTTCCCTCAGTTCAGCTTCTCTCCCCTGCTGGTTTCCTCTTCCGCTGCTGAGTCTCTTCCAACCTGTCTGAGCCCTTTCACCTCCCTCAGTTCAGCTTCTCTCCCCTTGCTGGTTCCCTCTTCAGCTGCTGAATCTCTTCCAACCTGTCTGAGTCCTTTCACCTCCCTTCCTTCCGATGGCAGTTCCCTGACAGTGGCATTTCATATTTCTTAGTGGTAATTCTGAGAAAGCCCCTGGGAGAGCATTTTCAGACTCTCTGAAGAGTCTCTAACATGAAGATGCTCAAAATTCCAAAGGGAGACTCCAATGAGAAGTTGGAATTTATTTGCAGACTTGATGTGATCATTTCTAAGCTCAACATAGACTAGGGCGTGGCTGCAGAAAGCCATTATCCTTCTTAAAGGGGTCCATGTACACATCAGGTGCCTTCCAGATGTTTTGGACTACAACTCCCATCAGCCCCAGTCAGCAGAGCTTTGCCAGTTCATCTTACATTGGGAATAAGTTACCCTTTGCAGTTGCACAGTTGGGAAAGGGGCTGTGTGAATGGCTCCTAATGTTTTTTTTTTGGGAGACCCAAAGCCTGACGTCTTGAAACAGGAATATTGGCCTTACTCTGACTATTTAAACATTTAAAGTAAAGGGACCCCTGACCATTAGGTCCAGTCGTGACCGACTCTGGGGTTGCGGTGCTCATCTCGCTTTATTGGCCGAGGGAGCCGGCGTACAGCTTCTGGGTCATGTGGCTAGCATGACTAAGCCGCTTCTGGCAAACCAGAGCAGTGCACGGAAACGCCGTTTACCTTCCTGCTGGAGCGGTACCTATTTATCTACTTGCAATTCGTGCTTTCAAACTGCTAGGTTGGCAGGAGCAGGGACCGAGCAACGGGAGCTCACCCCGTTGCGGGGATTCGAACCGCCGACCTTCTGATCGGCAAGTCCTAGGCTCTGTGGTTTAACCCACAGCGCCACCTGCGTCCTGATTTAAACATTTAGTGCTGGATTAATAAAGCCAATTGCAAGCTAGAGCCTACCCAGCTTCAAAGCCATCTTATATTACAGTCAACAATTTATTCCTTTCTACTGGGGTAATGGGCTGTCAACAGAATCCCAATCCCTGCCTTGTGGGTTGTCAAGAGGATAATGGAGCTTCTCCGCTATATGAACCCCGGGAAGAGAATAAATTTCACTCCCATGCTTGCCTGCCACATAGCTGAGAATTGAGCGCTGTGTATCTGAAAACCTGTCATCCTGTGAAGGGCAGGAGAATCATCTTTGTCTGACTTTCAGGCCTGGAATTCAAAATTTGGGATATCTGGAGGGATGTGTGGATGGGTGTAACATTTGCTTTGTTGCTGCTGCTTTAAATCACTGTGTGGTTTAAAAGGGCCTTGAAATCCGTCTGGTTTATCTTTCTTGAGACAGCATGTTACATCCATCATGAGAGGAAGTCATCCTGGTATACTGGGGACGGAATTATCAGCCGTTTTTTGCTACTCAAAAATCCTTTTCTCCCCCAAGAGCAGGTTTTGTTCGTCCTTGTCTATTGATGTATATTAAATACAGGCTAGTACTTGAAATTATTGGAAAAACGAAAGTGCTTATAATACACCCAAGTCTTTAATTTCACAGAAAGCCCCATCTTATTTAATAGGATTAAGCTGCTCACAGTAGGGTTATACCTAGCCACCAACGCTCCAGAAAGTACATATTATGGTCCTCCTGTCTTGTTTTCCTGTCCTATTTTTGCAGCTGCTCAATTATAAAAGCTGATGTCATCCTAGCACATAGTTCTTAAAGAGAGTCAGAAATAAGCTTTTAGAGACGTCGGTTATAATTAAAATGTTTGCTTCACCAGTAAATGAAACCTTGTGTTGCTAATTATCATCCTTTTCTGGCTTGCTGTTGGGATGTTAGACTGTTTGTGTGTGTGTTAATCCTTGCAAGGAATTGTAGAGTTGGAAAGAACCACAAGGATAATCTATTCCAACCCCCTGCAATGCAGGAATCTTATGCCCAATGTGGGGCTTGAACCCACAATCCTGAGATAAAGAGTCTACATGCTCTGTTGACTGAGCTATCCCTCAGAAGAAATGGTTACTCTACAAAGCTGGAGTTAGACAACAGCTCCATGCTGCTTAGTGGACGATGCCATTGGAGAGAGATTTCTGGGGTCCCCTACTTTGCCACCTGTGTCAGCCGGAACTTCTTTTCTGGTATTTCTAGCACAGATTATGGAAAGATGTTGCTAACAAATACATAGGTAAAGGTAAAGGACCCCTGGATGGTTAAGTCCAATCAAAGGTGACTATGGGGTTGCGGAGCTCACATCACTTTCAGGCTGGCATTTGTCCACAGACAGCTTTTTGGGTCATGTGGCCAGCATGGCTAAACTGCTTCTGGCACAACGGAACATTGTGATGGAAACCAGAGTGCACGGAAACGCTGTTTACCTTCCCGCCACAGCGGTACCTATTTATCTGCTTGCACTGGTGTGCTTTTGAACTGCTAGGTTGGCAGGAGCTGGGACGGAGCAACGGGAGCTCACCCCATTGTGGGGATTCGAACTGCCAACCTTCTGATCGGCAAGCCCAAGAGGCTCAGTGGTTTAGACCACAGCACCACCCACATCCTAATTAGATAGATAGCTAGATAGTAAGTACAAAGTATATAACTATTATAACCTCACCACTTGTGCCATGCAGTGGTGCAGCGTATTTACATCATGTCATGAACAGCCCAGTCATTCTTACCATACTGACACAACTGGGCTTCCTGCTCCCCGATGAATCATGCATCCAGCATCTTCCTGTGCCAGGCAAAACTTTGGGTGGAGTGAATGGGAAACTTGAGAATGATGTAGTCAAGCACTGATTTCCCTAGATATTGGGAGGGATAGACACAAAGCACTGGGCTCCTGTTTCTAGTGGCAACCTTGCATTTGTTGTCATCCTGCCTGGTAGCAGACTAAACTACATCACAAGAGTATTGTGACATCATTACTGCCATCCCAGCCAGACTTTGAGCAGATGGCCAGGACCCCACCCCACGGGCAGGAGCGTCCCCCTTGAGGTGGTGAGAAAGCTACAAACAACATTCTGCTTGACGGTTGAGTTGGTATGGCAGCTAGTGAGATATGGGGCAAGGCCAGCAATCGCGTATTCACTTGTAATGGTATAAAATACCACTAAACAGGCATATAGGAACAGCAGGTTGTTGCAGCCCAATCTGTCTTGTGTTTAGGAAACATTGCACTGAGGTGACACACATTAAACCTAGATTGCTGTTCGTTTAAAAACGCTGGTACCATTAATATAAATTCAGCAGTGTAAATATGTTTTGATGGATGTAACAATGGATTACAGAATGGTTTAGTTTATGTAAAATATGCAAGGATGTTGGGTAAGCAAAATGAACCACCGAAAGAGAAGGCAAGGCATTGATTTAAGGTTGTTTAAATGAATATTTTGAAATGTAATTCAGAAAATTTAATTAAAAAATTATATACAAATAAGCCTAGATTGCATTCCATTGAAGGTGACACAATCAAGTTACAATGGAGATATATATATATGTCACGGTTTTTTAAATGTCTTCTTTTTCGTTACAAAACTAATAGTCCCCAAACAAATATTACAAATATGGTCACAGCTGAAAGGACATTATCAGTTAGTGCTAAGGGGGAAAAGGGCCCCAGAATCACTCTGAAATTTCTAAAAGTTGAAAACCCTGCAAAAACCATTTGTTTCTTTTGAGGAATACAGAAATTCATGTCCGATTTTTTTTAAAACTTGAGAGGGTTTGACCTCTGTTCAAATCTAGTTGGCATCGCCGGCAAAATTTGGTAGATATTATATACACATATTGGACATTTATCTAAGGCTTTCACTGTCACAATGATCTTTATTTACTCTCCAGAAATTTGAACGGCACACGTTTTCTTATTTACTCCAACAGCCGTGATCCTCAGGGTTCCTCCATGTTGTTCAGGATGGGCAGGCTTAGTGAACTACGAGAATCGTCTCCTGACACCTTTTTGCTTCCCTTTGCTGTTGCAGGATGCGCGCCAGAAATTCCGCTCCATCCTGGTTGAGGCTACAATAAAACTCGATGAGCTAGTGAAGAAGATTGGGAAAGCTGTTGAAGACTCGAAACCCTACTGGGAAGCTCGGCGGGTTGCCAGGCAGGTAAGTCGAAAAGCCTTCGCTATTAAGCGGGGAGGGTGTGACTCTAGCCACACACTTTAGCCTGCTTTGGAGCATGGTTGGCAGCTTCATATACTGCAATTGTTCTGCGCTGGCTTTGGTCCTGGCTTGTATTAAGGGTGTGATCTTGGCTTATTCTCTCGGTTTGTGGAGCCAGAATTCCCCGGTTTGGACAGAACAAAGAACTGGTTGCATACAAGCCAGGAACTTTGAGCCAAAGTTGAAGGCTTGGCCCCAATACTCATTCCTAGCTTTATAAACTATAGTGAATTATCGTCCAGATCTGCCCACCAAGAGTACAGTGGTACCTTGGTTCTCAAATGGCTTGGCTCCTGAACGCCGCAAACCCAGAAGTGTTCTGGTTTGCGAATGTTTTTTGGAAGTCAAACATCTGACATGGCTTCTGTTTGAGTGCAGGAAGCTCCTGCAGCCAATTGGAAGCCGCGCCTTCATTTTCGAACGGTTTCAGGAGTCGAATGGACTCCTGGAACGGATTATGTTTGAGAACCAAGGTACCACTGTACTTTGATAACATCACAGTTTTATTGTTAATAAATACAGTAAACGGACTAAAGTACAAAGATTCACAAAATGTTTAGGGGTATGGTTTTCGAACGGTTTCGGGAGTCGGAACAGACTCCCAGAACAGATTAAGTTCAAGAACCAAGGTACCACTGCACAAAGATGCTGTTTATATTGTGCGATGTGTAAGCATTTGACAAATATCATTGTGAATGTTTCAACTGTGCGTAATGGTCGCGGGACTGATGACACCGTTTTTCTCCTTCTGTACCCTCTCCGGCTGCTTGTAAATATCACCCACGCGCAAGTAAACTCTGAAAGGACTTGCTGTGTTCTCTTCCCCCGTCCCCACTAATAATGATCTGTCAGATCCTTCCAAAAACCTATCTGCGTCCCTGTGATTCCCAGCAATTGCGTCAGAGCACAACTAATTATCGGTCTTGGGATTTCCATCTCTTTGTTCTGATTTTTAAAATCCCGGATGCGCAGAAGCTCGGATTGTAAATCGATTTAAAAAAGCATGTGGGTGTGTTGTAATTTGAAGACGTTTGGGCGTTGCTTACTCACGGGCTTTTGGGGTTGCTATGGAAACTGATGGCAAGCTAAAATATGGAGGAGTTTCTCTCTCGCACCTTCTCTTTCTGTGGTTTTGAACCAAAAAGGAGAACAAAAAAATCTGGTGGCATTGCTTAAAAGTGACTGTTTGTGGCTTAGGGTGTGAAAACAAATGTGACTGGACATGGCTGTGTGGCTGCTTTGTGATCATCATATTGTGACAGGCTGACTGTTTTTAAATCTCATAATAGTGACTGAGATGGCTTTCTTTTCTTACCATACCCCCCTTGATCCAGTTTTGATTTTATGACCAGCAGACAGTATGGCTAGACTCAATGGTGCATTGAATGGAACAATGATATTCAATGGTGCAATTGTAGTTAATGCCCTCGGTTCGTTCTCTTGTAATGATTAGGAAAAAAGCACTCCATCCTCAGGCCTTTCACCTTTGTGAGTCATGGGGCCAGCTCTCATGACCCCACATTCTGGAATTATTTGCAGTGTGTGCTGATTTCTCTTAGGAGCAGTGAGCGATGAAGCAGTCGGGTGGCTGCGTCACAATGGAATCTAAGCCTTGGTTATTACTAATGGGAAGGTGAGCTGGGATCTGGGCTTGTAGTCCGAGACAGGTGGCTCTTTCTATAAACCGTCAGCTGGCTTGACAAAGCTGAATTGGGTGGGAGCTCCTCAAAGTCATCTTCTTACCGGCTTATAAATTGCTTTTCATGCTTGTTTGTGGTCCTAGTTTGAAGGAAAGTGATTAGGCTCGTTGACAACCCAAACATACTTGTCAGCAATTCTTTTGCTCCGATCATGTTTGTAGCTTACACTGGAGCACTGTTTGTGCAGGGTGCAGCTTGCAAAATAAATAAATAAAAAAAGAGGGTGAGACTAGATGTCCTTTGGTGGTCCCTTCCAACTCTACAATTCTATGAAAAAGGCTTGTGTGGCTAAGGTAGAATAATGAGCTGCTGCAAAAAAAGGTAAAGGTAAAGGACCCTAGACGGTTAAGTCCAGTCAAAGGCGACTATGGGGTTGCAACGCTCATCTTGCTTTCAGGCCGAGGGAGCCGGCATTTGTTCACAGACTTCTTTCTGGGTTATGTGGCCAGCAGGACAAAACTGCTTCTGGCGCAACAGAACACCGTGACAGAAGCCAGAGCGCATGGAAACACTGTTTACCTTCATGCCACAGCGGGGCCTATTTATCTACTTGCACTGGCGTGCTTTCAAACTGCTAGGTTGGCAGGAGCTGGGACAGAGCAATGGCAGCTCACTCTGTCGCGGGGATTCGAACAGGCGACCTTCCGATTGGCAAGCCCAAGAGCCTCAGTGGTTTAGAGCACAGCACATTGTTCCTGCCACACACACACACACACACGTAGTAAACCCAGCCTGTGTTGGCTATCCCTTTGCTAATTCCGGAGCTGCTCTTTGACTCTGTTGCACTTTTCGGATGTTATGTGACTGCGTGGAGAAGGGTGTGGAGCGGAATTGCACACAATTCAAGTTACAAGAAAGGCAATTCTGACTAGACATCAGGAAGAACTTTCTGACAGTAAGAGTTGTTTGACGGTGGAATGGTCTCATAGAATCATAGAGTTGGAAGAGACCACAAGGGCCATCGAGTCCAACCCCCTGCCAAGCAGGAAACACCACCAGAGCACTCCTGACATATGGTTGTCAAGCCTCTGCTTAAAGACCTCCAAAGAAGGAGACTCCACCACACTCCTTGGCAGCAAATTCCACTGTCGAACAGCTCTTACTGTCAGGAAGTTCTTCCTAATGTTTAGGTGGAATCTTCTTTCTTGTACTTTGGATCCATTGCTCCGTGTCCGCTTCTCTGGAGCAGCAGAAAACAACCTTTCTCCCTCCTCTATGTGACATCCTTTTATATATTTGAACATGGCTATCATATCACCCCTTAACCTCCTCTTCTCCAGGCTAAACATGCCCAGCTCCCTTAGCCGTTCCTCATAAGGCATCGTTTCCAGGCCTTTGACCATTTTGGTTGCCCTCCTCTGGACACATTCCAGTTTGTCAGTGTCCTTCTTGAGCTGTGGTGCCCAGAACTGGACACAGTACTCCAGGTGAGGTCTCCCTCGGGAGGTTGTGGGTTCTCTTGCTTTAAGGTTTCTAAGCAGAGCTTGGATGGCTATCTGTCATGGATGCTTTAGCTGAGATTCCTGCATTCCAGGGGATTGGACTACAGTGGTACCTCGGATTACAGATGCTTCAGGTTACAGACGCTTCAGGTTACAGACTCCGCTAACCCAGAAATAGTACCTTGGGTTAAGAACTTTGTTTCAGGATGAGAACAGAAATCGCTCGGCAGCGGCAGTGGGAGGCCCCATTAGCTAAAGTGGTACCTCAGGTAAAGACAGTTTCAGGTTAAGAACAGACCTCCAGAACGAATTAAGTTCTTAACCCAAGGTACCACTGTATATGGTCCTTGGGCAATTCTATGATTTTAAGTGTAGAAATTGAAATTGTTCCATGATTCTACATCCAACATTCATGTGTCCATAATAAGCCCCCACGCATATATGACTGAACACAACAGAACATCTGTTGGGTGTCCTGAAAAACCAGAAATTCTGATTACATTCAAAAGTGATTCCAGCTCTGATTTTAAAAACTATTCTCAACAAAAAAATATATCCACATGTTAAAAGCAGATCCGGTCTAAAGTTACATCCATACCATGCATTTAAAGCAGGTGGGTCCCTCCAGACAATCCTGGGAACTGTAGTGTGTTAAGAGTGCTGGGAATTGTAGGTTTGCAAGAGGTAAATTATAGTTCCCAGGATTCCTTTGGAGGAAGTCATTTCCTTTAAACATACAGTCAGTCGATCGTTTGAATCACCAGTGCCATCCTCAGAGTCGTTAAAATTTCACTTTTTGCTTTTTTGGAGCTTGCGGTAAACTACGCGACTGTACAGATTTGCCCCGTCTTGCAAAAACACTTCTTGGCAAGAGCTGTGAGGAAGGATGAGTTCTGAGAACAAAAATCCTATGTCTGTGAAAATGGGGCAGAGTTGGATTCATGTTTGGCCGGCCGCCACGGAGTCGGTGACAAGCGAAAGAGCTGGCGTAGTTCAGCACAATAACTGGCTGACCTCTTCTGCTGACGCAGTCGTGCTTGGTAATCGTCGGTAGCTCAAGGAAGTTTCTTTCTTTGTCCAGAAGAGAGAACCTTAGAGACTGAAAATATTTCTGTGTTTCTATAGGAAGATCAAAATCCACTGGAAGGTGGCGTAGCAAAGCGGCTCTGCTGTGAAGTGCATATAATTGTTGAAAATGTTCTATTATTATTATTATTATTTTATTGAGTTTATATACCGCCCTATACCCGGAGATCTCAGGGCAGTTCATAGAAAAGATCACAACATATATAATCAGGATAAAAACAACAACCCAATAACAACCCCCCTGAAAAGAGCCACATTTTAAAAGGACATAGGATGTCAACCAAATCAACCAAAGGCCTGGTTAAAAAGGAACATTTTTGCCTGGCGCCTAAAGGTGTGTAATGAAGGCACCAGGCGAACTGCCCTGGGGAGAGCATTCCACAGATGGGGAGCCACTGCAGAGAAGGCCCTGTTCTTGTGTTGCCACCCTCCAGACCTCTCGAGGAGGAGGCACACGAAGGAGGGCCTCAGCAGATGATCTCAGGGTCTGGGTAGGTTCATATGGAAAGAGGCGGTCCTTGAGGTATTGCGGTCCTGAGCCGTGTAAGGCTTTATACTTCAAAACCAGCACTTTGAATTGGGCCCGGAAACTACCGGTAATTGGTAGCCAGTGCAGTCAGACCAGGATCGGTAACATGCTCAAACCGTCTTGCTCTGGTGAGCAACCTGGCTGCTGAATTCTGCACTAGCTGAAGTTTCCAAACCGTCTTCAGAGGCAGCCCTGTATATAACGCATTGCAGTAATCTAACCTTGAGTTTTCCAGAGCATAGACAACAGTGATTAGACTATCTTTGTCCAGATAGGAGCGTAGCTGGGCCACCAGCTGAAGCTGATGGAAAGCACTCCGGGCCACTGAGGCCGCCTGAGCCTTGAGTGACAGCAAAGGATCCAGGAGTACCCTCAAGCTACGAACCTGCTCCTTCAGAGGAAGTGTAGCCCCATCAAGAGCAGGCAATCTCTTACCCATCCCGTCTAGGGAACCACCCACTAACAGAGCCTCATTCTTACCTGGATTGAGCTTCAGTTTGTTGGCTCTCATCCAGTCCATTACTGAGGCAAGACACTATAAACGCAGCTTCTCACATTGTTGCATATATATATATATATACCCACCCACCCACCCCATATTTTTCCGTGTATAAGACGCCTCCACGTATAAGACGACCCCTATTTTTTTTAACCCTAAATTAAGAAATTAAGTTGTTTAGCTTTTTTGGAGAGTGGGGGAGGTCACTTCCACCAATCGCTCACCTGCCTGCCCGCCACTGCCGATCGCTTGCCACAGCTACTGCCGATCGCACACCTCGCCGCCGCCGCCACCACCAGCCCACCCGCCCACTTGCCGCAGCCGCCAATCGCCTGCCCGCCTTTCCACAGCTGCCAATCGCCTGCCCAGTCGCCAGCAGCCCTTGCTGCAGCCACCAATCACCCGCCCAGTCGCCACTGCCAATCTCCTGCTTGCTGCTGCCATTAATTGCACGTCCCACCCCCCGCATTCACTATCGGTGTATGAGACGACACCCAATTTTTGCCTAATTTTTTTTAGCAAAAAGCATCGCCTTATACATGGAAAAATATATTAAGTTAGGGAGGTGTCTCTGCAGCTCTTGCCAATGTGAGAGGCTTGTTTCTTCAATCTCCTGCTGCTGCTGATTCTAACGTCGGTTGTGATGCAGATCCCCCTGGAAGCTTGCAGTGCCTCCATCTTGACCCTTTCGCTCCCATGACCCCGTGTGATTTATTAGCCCCTTAGGGCCTGCACTTCATTGCGGCCTTTCACCTCCGAGATCACTTCATTTTCGTTGAGAAACATCATTAAATCTTGGGTGCCCTCCTGCTTTCACCATCTTGAGTAAACTGCGGGAGCGTGACATCAAGCTTGCACAAGAGAGCTTGCTTTGATACTGGGTATCTGCTCCAACGGGGCATTGTGATGATTCAGTAATATATACTTATATATAATGAAAAAGGAACAGAAAGTTAGGAGGAAGCTTGTTAATTTGATTAGTTGGAAAAATTTCAGCTCACGTTGCTTGATGTTGTACGGACATGTGTGATTGCTTATGATCCAAGTGAATATTCTGAGCGAATGCATTGAATTTGGAACTTCCCCAAAACGAGGAGGATTGGCAATGAAAAATGACGGAATATGCAGAGTTAGCGGGTCTAACGAGTAAAATAAAAGAAGATCAAGTATATAAAGAGGAATGGATTTTTGTGTGTGGAGTATTTGGAAATCAACTGTAAACATGTGAAAACGTTAGTAGGATTGAGGTAAATTCAACAGTATAACACATAACAAAGGAATAATAAAGGAATAAGGGAGTTAAATGGATATATAACAGTATGCGGGATGGGAGGGAAGGAACCAGGGAAGGGGAAGAAGGGAAGTCGTGAATGATTGATTTATTTGAAAGAAAGATATGAATGAGGAAGTGTTTATTTTAATGTGAATGTGGTTTTGAAAAATGTAACACTGAATATATATATATAGATAGATAGATAGATAGATAGATAAATATATGAATGAGAGAGAATATGAGAGAATTTGGAGCTTCATACAGGAGGCAACACCAAGCACTGTCCCCTAGTCTCGACAGTTAGAAAGTGGTTTAATTTCCCTTCCAACTCTACAATGCCATGATTCGGTGATCATCTGTATTTTATAAGTTGTTTGCTGTTCAAGTTCTAAATAAGAAGAGAGGTTACAGAGAACCATGCAGAGGGCCTTCTCGGTAGTGGCGCCAACCCTGTGGAACGCCCTCCCATCAGATGTCAAGGAGATAAATAACTATACAACCTTTAGATGATATCTGAAGGCAGCCCTGGAGTTTTTAATGTTTTATTATGTTTTTGTATATGATGGAAGCTGCCCAGAGTGGCTGGGGCAACCCAGTCAGATGGACAGGGTAGTATTATTATTATTAGTCAATTTAGCTCAGTATTGTCTAAACAAAGGCTACTGATGGTTGACATTTGTCAACCTTTATTTGACCAGAATCAAAATAGTCTAGAAAAAGCTTTGTGCTTAACTCTGAGCTTCACAAATCCAGTTAAAATTTTGCCCTTTCTGATTTTAAGTTGGTTTCTGCTAATCAGTTAACTAAAACTAGTTGATTGATCTATGGACTAAAGCGCTGATTAAAAGCAAACTTGGAGAGGCTGAGGCTTGAACCTGGGACCTTGCGCATGGAAGGCATGTGCTCTACCACTGAGCCACAGCTAATAAAGGTCTAGATGGATTTTACATGTAAGTGTATTCTGGATGTCACTCGGAGGCCAGGACTGATGCAGGCATGAGACGCCTGACAAAATCACTCCCTTTGCCTTGTTTTTGAAACCATATCCGCCTGGGGAGACCGTTTGGGTGACTGGGTTTAATTGGATTTATGCACAGTGTTGAATTCTAGGAAGAATGGAAGCATGACCTGCTTTTAAAAAGCTGCTGGAGGAAGCGAAATGATTTCCTGTTCCCCAAACTCTGGAACCAGAGAAGTGGTGTTGCTTTTCTAAGGCAGGCTGTTGTCTTGGTTTGGTAAAGGAAATATTTCACACCAGCCACTGGAGTGATTTGTAGAGTTGCCAAAGCGCGAATTCGCTCACTAGGTTTCCCCCTGCGCAGCCGGGTATGATTTTTAATTTTTTTATTTCATCCTCTGGCAGGTTTGCTATCGTGGGCTGTGAGCTGTTCCGCGTAAGCCACTCACTGCTAGGGATGAAAATGATCACACTGTTGCTCTCTGGCTGTTAAAGAAACCACATAGCCCTAAACAGGCTTTTGCCCAGCCCTAAACAGGTTTACTCTGATGTAAGGGCCATAGTTTGACTTCCTGGCAAGCAGATTGCAACATGTGGGAACTGTCCTGCACATGTTTGCTTGCACAAAATAACTTTGAAATTCTGGTTTTTCCAAATGCAAACATCCGCATAGTAAAGGTGCGTGGAGGCCGGTTGCCCTTGGCGTTGAGCGGCTCCAAGGGGTCATACACCTGGCGGAGCGGGGCCCCCAGATTGGGGCCAGGCAGGGGTGTGGGGCCTTCAGGGTTTTTTTTTAATAAAAAAAATGTCCCTTTAAGTTTAGCGACGACGCGCCATTTGGCTGCCATGTCCCATGCAGCTTTTAATGCCTTCTGTTTCTTCGGCCAATTCCCATCCTTTCTTGTGCTTATGAGACTATACCTCTTTTTTTAAGTTCTGGTCCCCAGGATAACTTTCATTTTGACCCTGTGTCCAAGATGAAAAGGTAAAGGGACCCCTGACCATTAGGTCCAGTTGTGACCGACTCTGGGGTTACGACGCTCATCTCACTTTACTGGCCGAGGGAGCCAGCGTACAGCTTCCGGGTCATGTGGCCAGCATGACCAAGCTGCTTCTGGTGAACCAGAGCAGCGCACGGAAACACTGTTTACCTTCCCGCCGGAGCGGTACCTATTTATCTACTCGCACTTTGATGTGCTTTCTGACTGCTAGGTGGGCAGGAGCAAGGACGGAGCAACGGGAGCTCACCCTGTCGCGGGGATTCGAACCGCCGACCTTCTGATCGGCAAGCCCTAGGCTGTGTGGTTTAACCCACAGCGCCACCTGCGTCCCTCACTGTGTCCAAGATAGGGCTGGGCAATTACCTGGTTTTCAACATCACGATATATCATCAGCTAAACACTGCGATATACTGATTTATCACATCTGAAATAAAGATGGAACTATGTAGAGGCAAATGGTAGGGTGGGTGATTTGAAATAAGGATGGAGTTGGTTTTCAGTTTTGTGATGCATCACCAGCTAAACATCGCTAGGTTTTTCCTGCATTGTGAATTTTGCATAGTGCGCACGCACACACATCATGATTCGCAATATATTGCCAGGTCGAAAACTATGAAACCAGTATCACAATATGGACTTGAAACCGGTTTTGAACGCTACATGCCCAGCCATAGTCCAAGAATCCAGTTATATAATGGTCTGATTTCTGCGCTCTGAATCCTGTTTCCCATATCCCTCATTCATCTTTGAAGAGCCTGCTTTTTCTTCATGCTTGTGATAGGATTCCCAAATGTGAATGTTTCGTAAGTGAAATTGGGGCCTTTTTTCCAGCCGGAACACTCTGGAATGCCATTCCGGCCCCTCTCAGGTGGGCGCCATTGCCATTATAAGAGAACAAGGGAGGCGTTCCTGGTGAGTTCCAGACCCTCTTTTTATAGAATAATAGCACTGGGTGGACCTTTAAGCCTGACGCAGTCTTTGTGCGTCTGCCAGTAATGCTAAGTACATAACATATTCCTGCTTTTTTGCAGTGTGTGTGTTGAGAGAGTAAAAGCGCGGTAAAGATAATTTAACACAAATATTTCTTTTTTGTGCACGAGGGAGAGTCCAAATGCCTATTTCTGCAGATGGGGTCATGTTGATAAGGCAGAGTTTTTGCCACAGAAATGATTGTGCACTGTTGTTGTCTGCTGGAACTTAAAATATTCCTTCCTGGCCTGTGGCTTTAAAGCGGATAGCCTTTGCCTGCTGTCAGTTGTGATAAGGCTTGCATAAGTAACCTATGAACTCTTGTTTGTGGGAAAGGCTGTCTTGGGCAATTTCAGCTTGAATGCTGCTCTGGCGTGGCTGTTCGGTTTGGATAAGTTAGGCTTCCGCTATTCTGTTGTGACAGAGTGGCAATGCTTTAAGTTTTTTTGTGAAGCGCTTTAAGTGTTTTGAGATGAATAATATTATAACTCATTTTCCAAAAGACCCATTGCTTCTGGGGCTATTAGGATACTTTTCATGTAAAGGGAGATCGCAATTTATGTGATAGTTGCATTTGCAATGGTTGCGTATAAAGGCAGTCAGAACAATCCCTGGAACCGTCCTCATCCAAGATCTTGTAAGATCAGGGCCATCTTAGAGCTTGTGGGATCTCTTGACGGCCCTGCGAGATCTTGCCAGAGCCTCTGTGGCTGTGTTTCCCAACACTGGTGGACAACCCCCTTACCCGCTTGTGACTGGCCAAGCAGATAGCCAGCCACTCAGGATTTTTTTTATTTTAAAGATTCTTTTCTTCACTTCTCACTTCCCTCTCTGGCCCCCTAGCCTTGTGCTGTGGCCCCCCATTTACACGATTTTCACCTATGGCCCCTTGAAATATCCGGGGGGGGGGGCAATTGGGAAACAGTGCTCTAGAGCACTGTAAGCAAGGGTCTCTTGTCCCCTATCTGTTTATTTTGTGGTGATCCACATAAAGCTGTGATCTCATCATCATCATTATAAAACAATCATCACCATCCCACCCATCTGACTGGGTTGCCCTGGTCACTCTGGGTGGCTTCCAACAGAATATAAAGAACACATGAGACACCTGACATTCAAATTTTATCCAGACTTGTTTTTAAGAGGTGATTTAATTATTGTTTGATTTTGTATCAATGTTTATATTTGATGTTAGCCGCCCTGAGCCTGGTCTCGGCCGGGGAGGGCGGGATACAAAGAAAAGTTGTTTATTATTATTATTAAAACTTCCAGATACAGCTCCTCTGGTTAGCTGCTTAAGGAAGCTGCAGGGGCCAGCCAGATGGAGACATCAGTTGCCAACCTGGCAGCCAGAGCTCTCCATGTGGTTGCAATTGGACCCCGCGCCAGTCGCAAAACGCGCCTGGCTAATTTCGAACACTGGTTCAGTGACACATTTGATACCATAGAGATATGGTTAAGGCTTTCTGAATTCTGATTTACTGCCTTGGGGATGGGGTTCCTTCTCTTGTCTTCCTTTGTTCACTTACTGTATTTTCGCTCTATAAGACGCACCCAACCATAAGACGCACCACGTTTTAGAGGAGGAGAACAAGAAAAAAAATATTCTCTCCCTCTCTGCGCAGCGCCCCTTCAACGAAGCGGCAGGAGAAACGGAGCCCCTTCCATTTCTCCTCCCGCTTTGCTGAAGGGGCGCTGCGCAGAAAGGGAAAGCTACGCAGCACCTCTCCAGCGAAGCGAAGCCAGGAGAGCAAGAGGGATCTGTGCACACCAATCCCTCTTGCTCTCCTGGCTTCAGTGAAAGCTGCGCAGCCTGCATTCGTTCCATAAGACGCACACACATTTCCCCTTCCTTTTTAGGAGGGGGAAAGTGCGTCTTATAGAGCGAAAAATACGGTATATGTTGAAATAGTTTCTGCGGAAGTGCCACAAAGATTTCTTGGGAAGATGCTGGTTTGACAGTCCTCGATGCCAGCTTTGAGGATGATGGAAGGAACGAGCTTGCTACTTTTTTGGGTGTGGGGCATGACTTGTGTTTTGCATCCCAATACAATGAATGAACCGTATCTTGCTTGAACCATAATAGGGAGAGGGAGAGAAAGGCTTCTTATAAATCGTCCTTTGTTGGGCTGTTGCTTGTGATCTGTGTGTGTGTGAATAATGGAAGTTCTCTTTGTGATCTCAAGTGATTCCACACACACAGCCACACAGCCACACGCCTCCTGGAACTGTTTTAGGATCACATTTCTAGCTGTTTTTCTTTGAGGAAAGAGTGGCAGGATAAAGGAAAGCAGGTTTCCGCATGTTGGCCACCCCCACTAGAATGGCATTGGCTTCAATGTCTTCCGTACAGTTCTGCTTGAAAATGACCTTGATTGTTCTGGGCCAAAGCACAAGCTGTGGGGTCATTTTCAATTTATGAAAATGATTTCAGAAATCATTTTACGTTGTTATCCAGTAACAACGCTTACCCGGGGTTCAGACCAGTGTCAGAAACGCGGGTGGAAAAGCTAGGAGCCAAATGGTTTCTGCGACTTGGGTTGTGGGTGCCAAAACAGAATGTCTAGTCTGGGGCGTTCAGCAACACTTTTTATTTATTATTTTGATAAGCATGAATTAATACGCAATTCACATAAGCGACTCATTGCTAACATCGCATTTTTAGCAGAAATTGTTAATTACATGTTTAATTTGGCGTTTACAATAAAAATATCGGTACCGTACATCAGTTTTCAAAACGCTCTACTCTTTATTGTTAAACACCTTAACATATTGTCTGTCCTGAAGGTATACTTCAAGGCTTCAAAGCACATACATTTCAGTAAAACTTGAATGTCAGCCAGGCGGGGAAAAATGGCGCCCAAACATTTTGAGGTGCTCGCAAATGGAGAATCCTTAGGCGCAAAATGAGCCTGGTGCCCTGCTAATTTCAAACCCTGGGTCAGACCCCTGTTTTATTGCTGGGCCCTATATTTGGTAAAGGTGTCAGGGAACTGACATCGGAGCGGGAGGCGAAGGGGAGGCTCCTAGATGATGCTGGAGAAGGACCCAGCAGCAGGGGGAGAAGCAGCTCAGTGGAGGGGGAAGCATTTAAGCGCAACACCAGGAACAAAAGTGGGCAGATGGGGAAATCGGAGAGAGGGCTCCCGGACTCTTCACTGGAACTCAGTGAGGAGGGGACAGGTCCTCCGCTACCCACGCCCTCCCTGCGCAGAAGGCTCCCGCGCAGTGAGAGGCGGAGGAGATTGGGTGTCAAACAAATCTTATGTTGGAAGAGATTCAAGAAACGCCCACTGACGGATTCTGCCAGCGACTGAGACAGTCATGATTAGAAAGGGCTGTGCAGTCAGAAAGGTTTAACAAGGCAAATTAGCCTAGAGAGGCACCAGTTTACGCACGAGTAACTCATACTCATCACAAAAGGTTAGGCGCTTTTTAATTGTGACATTAATACCCCAACTTTCCTCCAAGAAGCTCAAGGATTATATTCTTGATTCTCCCCCTCCCGCTCTTATAACATACCAGACCCCTCAGTGGCCTGAGTTCATTCAGTGAGCTGTGTGGGATTTAGATGCCGGTCTCCCGAGTCTTCATTCAGCGCTCTAACCACTAACCCACACTCCCTGGCTGTGCCGCTCTTGGATCCTTGAACAGTAACATTCTCGAGAGATTTCACGAAAAGAAGAAAACTCCTGTCGTAAAGTAGGCCATCAGAACTTGATGCTGGAGGAAATAAATAGTTCATGCGCGCTGAGAGTTTAACCGGAGCATCTCAAACGACAACATGAAAAAGCACTTAGAAAAGACAACTTTAAATGGTTGTGTCGTGTAATATATTTTAAAGACAGAGGTGAAAACAGGACTTTTCAGTACCTGGACAGCTTCTCCTCCTTTGGCGAGCACTCATAGACGAGTAAGATTGTCTTCCATAAACAGGGTTTTAAAAGTGAGTCCGTAAGTGACTGTGGAGGCCAATTCTGGATCCACACGTCCTTCCACAGTGGGGACATTGGTTTCCGGGTGGGAGTTGATCGCGGGGAGGGTTTGACAAGCATGTCTTCATCTTAGCATAATTCTCCTGGAGATTGGGCAGGTGATTGGCGGCTGGGGCAAGTGGGCAGGTGGGCTGTTGGTGGCAGCGAGCGGGCAGATAATTGGTGGCTGCAGCGGGGTGTGCGATTGGCAATGGCAAGCGATCGGCAGTGGCGGGCAGGCAGGCGGGTGAGCGATTGGTGGAAGTGACCTCTCCCAGCCCCCCAAAAAAGCTAAACAACTTAATTTCTTAATTTTGGGTTAAAAGAATAGGGGTCGCCTTACACATGGGGGCGTCTTGTACACGGAAAAATACGGTAAATTCAAATGGCTTGGCCTTTACTTATAAAGTAGGATAACCAACACTGCGTAGGTTGGCAAGTCCCACCACCTATGACAAACCAGCTCATAGGTGGCATAACCAATGGCTGTTTAAGGATTTTACAATGATAATCATTCCAGACCGGGCTGGTGGGCTGTTTAAATATATTATGTAGCCAAAGGCATTTGGGAGGTGTAACATACATTTATTCCTTGCAAGCAAGCAGTTGGCAGGGAAGCTTAGGAACGGCAAAGCCACGTTAAGCTGATGCAAGCTGGCCTGCTCAGCTGGAGCTCTTTAGCCGTGAATTTGCCTGATATTTTATTTGCTAAATAATGTGCAGCTTTTCTAAATGTTTTCTAATGCCTCCGACTTCTGCCAGCGCTTAACGATCTCAGGGTAAAGCGCCAAAAGCCATCCAAATGCAGCAAAGAGGTTTAGAAAAGTATTTGTGAATTTTAACAAGGGGAGGAAAAAGGAATTAAAATGAAGAAAGGAGGAGAGAGAAGAAGAAAAAATTCCTTTCCCTCATCATGTACAGTTTAGGGCAGAGTGATAAATTGATACATCGCCAAAAAACAGTTTGAAGTCCATATCATGATACTGGTTTCATAATTTTTTTAACCTGGCAATATATTGCAAATCATGATGTGTGTGTGCTATGCAAAATTCATGGTGCAGGAAAAACCGTGAAGCCAGCCAATACCTCTACATAGATCCATCCTTATTTTAGACATTGCATATAACAGTATATCACAATGTTTAGTGGGTGACATACCGCAAGGTTGAAAATCAGATATTGCCCAGCCCTAAAATACTAAGAAGGGACACAGGTGGCGCTGTGGTCTAAACCACTGAGCCTCTTAGGCTTGCCAATCAGAAGGTCGGCAGTTCGAATCCCCACGACGGGGTGAGCTCCTGTTGCTCTGTCCTTGCTCCTGCCAACCTAGCAGTTTGAAAGCACGTCAAAGTGCAAGTAGATAAATAGGTACCGCTCCAGCGGGAAGGTAAACAGCGTTTCCATGCGCTGCTCTGGTTTAGGTGCTCTGTTGTGCCAGAAGTGGCTGTCATGCTGGCCACATGACCTGGAAAAACTGTCTGCGGACAGGTAAATCAAATTAGAAGTTTCTCACTAATGGCATTTAAGGAGACCATTCATTGGAGGGCAAGCTGAAATAAAAAAACAAGATGGGGAACCATTAGGCAGAACTGAAACACGGCAATTATCCATTTCTTCCCCCGCCGCACAAACCGGCACACAACTTTGGCACTGGTTTGGAATCAATCGGGCAAGGTTAGGTTTGGGGGGCATTAAGTCATCACCCCGATTTGATTTGTCAATTACTCAGTTTGGGAGGCAGCACAAAACGCGGGGTTTGCGGCACAAAATGGCTCAAAACTTGCACAAAACTTTGGCATCAGTTTTTTTGGGGGGGGGCATCTGAAATTTCAGGGTCACAGGTTAATAGAGCTCAGAAATGAATGTTTCTCTCCATAAAGTTCCATGTGTTGGTGGAGGGTCAAAACCACATTCAGTTGCCTTGTTGTTGTTTAGTTGTTTAGTCATGTCCGACTCTTTGTGACCCCATGGACCAGAGCATGCCAGGCCCTCCTGTCTTCCACTGCCTCCCGCAGTTTGGTCAAACTCATGCTGGTAGCTTCGAGAACACTGTCCAACCATCTCGTCCTCTGTCGTCCCCTTCTCCTTGTGCCCTCCATCTTTCCCAACATCAGGGTCTTTTCCAGGGAGTCTTCTCTTCTCATGAGGTGGCCAAAGTATTGGAGCCTCAGCTTCAGGATCTGTCCTTCTAGTGAGCACTCAGGGCTGATTTCCTTCAGAATGGATAGGTTTGATCTTCTTGCAGTCCATGGGACTCTCAAGAGTCTCCTCCAGCACCATAATTCAAAAGCATCAATTCTTTGGCAATCAGCCTTCTTTATGGTCCAGCTCTCACTTCCATACATCACTACTGGGAAAACCATAGCTTTAACTATACGGACCTTTGTTGGCAAGGTGATGTCTTAACAAAGTCAATAAAAGGATACCGTTTTGTATCTGATCTTCTTTTGTACATGTTGAAATCCATTTGTGCTAAATCCCTGCCCCTCTCTCGCATCTTTTAGGCACAGTTGGAAGCTCAGAAAGCAACCCAGGATTTTCAGAGAGCTACGGAGGTCCTCCGAGCTGCGAAAGAGACGATTTCCCTTGCCGAGCAGAGGCTGCTGGAAGATGACAAGCGTCAGTTTGATTCTGCCTGGCAGGAGATGCTCAACCACGCCACTCAGAGGGTAAGATCTGTTGCGGGCATGCCTTGGAAAAGCTGTTCCTTTCCTGTGCCTCTGCTGCCTTGGAGAATGGGGAGCTAAAAATTATTGGAATCTTTGGGCAGGCAGTTGGAGTTGATCATTGTGCAGAATATTGGGTGGCATGCATTTTACAGCTGGCTCTTGCAAGCAGGGAAGAAGACACACAAATCATTTGCACTGTTGCATTTTCCAGCTTCTACTACGAAGTGGGATGAGTCTTGCTGTGAGTGTAGGTCAGAACGTTGTGTAGCTAAATAAACTGTGCCAACAAAAAAGGAATGGCAAGACAAACTGTTAGAGTATATTGAACTGGCTAGATTAACAGGCAATTAGAGATCACACTAGGGGACTCGGGTGGCGCTGTGGGTTAAACCGCAGAGCCTAGGACTTGCTGATCAGAAGGTCGGCGGTTCGAATCCCCACGACGGGGTGAGCTCCTGTTGCTCGGTCCCAGCTCCTGCCAACCTAGCAGTTCGAAAGCACGTCAAAGTGCAATTAGATAAATAGGTACCGCTTCAGCGGGAAGGTAAACGGCGTTTCTGTGCGCTGCTCTGGTTTGCCAGAAGCAGCTTAGTCATGCTGGCCACATGACCTGGAAGTTGTACACCGGCTCCCACGGCCAGTAAAGCGAGATGAGCGCCGCAACCCCAGAGTCGGCCACGACTGGACCTAACAGTCAGGGGTCCCTTTACCTTTACCTTTATAGATCACACTAGACAAGAGTTTCAATAAGCATGGGGAAAATGCAGAGAATACTTCACAAAACAGTTCCCTAAAATACATACCTGGACTTGTTTTGATTAATGTCTGCAGGAGACTTTGTGGATATTTAAGTTATAATTAGAAAAACCTTAACCATTATTCATAAAGGAAACAGTTTTTAAGAAGTAAATAAGGAGGCCAGATATAGGATAAAGGAAGTCTTTTATTTGGTTGTTCGTATTGTTGTATGTTTTGCTCATTGTATGTTATGTTCACGTATAATGAGGGTGGATTTGTGTGGGAGGGTGGGGGTTTATATTACATTGTAAATAAAATTCCAATAAAAATTTAAAAATTTTAAAAAAAGAATGTTGTGTCGAATTCTAGATTAGCTTTGCACTAACTTGGGAGTCACAATGTGAATTGTGTGTAGACAAATTTGCTGGTGAAGGTGGAATAGAGTGCCCAGCATTGAAATAAAGCCCTTCTCTGCCAGCTTTTTAGGGTTGTATATACAAGGCTGATTTAGATGTGTTTTGATCTCTGATGGTTCTTTCACACATTTAAGTCATCACGTGATGCTGCAGTTATCCAGTGAGGGATATGGCCATCCCATATGGCCATATGGGATATGGTCCAACATGGCCATCGGATGATAGCTGAGAATGAAATGCTATCAAGCCCAATCTGCGGGAATGCCAAGTACTGTATTTTTCGCTCTATAAGACGCACCAGACCACAAGACGCACCTAGTTTTGGGAGGAGGAAAACAAGAAAAAAAATATTCTGAATCTCAGAAGCCAGAACAGCAAGAGGGATCGCTGCGCAGTGAAAGCAGCAATCCCTCTTGCTGTTCTGGCTTCTGTGATAGCTGCGCAGCCTGCATTCGCTCCATAAGACGCACACATATTTCCCCTTACTTTTTAGGAGGGAAAAAGTGAGTCTTATAGAGCAAAAAATACAGTAATTTTCACGGCACCAAAACACAAACAAACTGGAATACATTAAAAGCCCAAATCCCTCTGTCAGTCTAACTCCGACGCCTGGAGAAACATGGCTTTCAGATGCTCATGCTCTGACTATGGCAGTACTCCAGAAGAACAGAGCAGTCAAAAATACTGCTTCTTTCTGAGTGCCCTTTTTGTTTTGAATGTGTCACGTAAAATGATACGAAATGAGCTCCACTGAACAATCTTAGATATGTAATGGAACGTAAGGGAGTCTTTTTGTTGGGCCTAAGTTAGTCAAGGCTGGAGGGATCAGAAAGTTATGCATGGCTTCCTTCCCTGTTTTTTTTATTTTTGAGACACATTAACATTAGAAATTGAGGCTGTGCTGAATTTCACGGATAGCTTTCCTCTTGCATGTATGTCAAATTTGATAGTATTGTGATCAAAACTGCTGTTTCTCCCCCCTCTGTCCAGGTCATGGAAGCAGAGCAGACGAAAACCCGAAGTGAGCTGGTGCACAAGGAGACGGCTGCCAAATACAACGCAGCCATGGGCAGGATGAAGCAGCTGGAGAAGAAGCTCAAAAGGACCATAAATAAATCCAAGTACGTGGAGATGTTTGCAGTGCGCATGGATTGACGTTTGTCTGCACATGTTCTAGGACAGGGTTTCCCAAACTTGGGCCTCCAGCTGTTTTGGGACTACATTTCCCATCCTTCCTGATCACTGGTCCTCCTCCTTAGGGATCATTGGAGTTGTAGTCCAGCAACAGCTGGAGACCCAAGTTTGGGAACTTGTGCTCTCTGGGGTGATGTGAAACTCCTAGGTTTTTGATTTAGGGCAGCTCTTTTCAAGAGCAGGTTGTTGTTTTTTGATAATTTTTATTGATTTTAACATATAAATTATAAAATGTACCACAAAACGTATCACTTATACAATCTTTTTAGACTTCCATCAGCACCTCTGATGATCCACCATTTTATCTACTTTTTATACATTTCTTAACTTTATATTGCCTTTAAATCTCTTAACAAATTATCCTTCCCCTTATCCATTTTTGCAATACTTCCAACAATACTCCTCACAAAACTTCTTGCAAACTTACAAACGTTGTCTGATCTTCACAAATACTTTTCAAATAGTCCGTAAATTTACTCCAGTCTTCTGTGAATTTCTGTTCCCACCAGTTTCGAATTCTTCCTGTTAGTTTGTCTAGTTCTGCATAGTCCATTAACTTCATCCTCCATTCTTCAATTGTCAGTAATTCTTCTTGCTTCCATTTTTGGGCCAATAATATTCTTGTTGCTTTTCAAGAGCAGTGTTAGGGGATGGTCCACAGAGGCCCCAAACATGCACTCGGCCCTAGATTTCCAACCTCTTCTCCCTACTCCCCCCCTTTCTTCTTATATTTTGACAAAGTAATAATCATACATAAGAATAAAAATGTGCAGCCACCACCAAGACCATTCCATTGTAACTATCCAACCTCCCAGAATTTCAACACCTCTTGCGATGGTTTGACCCCTTTCTGTTTTAACAGTACAAATTCTACAAACACCCACCATATTTCCTTAAAATCATTCCTCCTGCATGTTCCATGGCACCCATTAATTTATCATCAATAGCTGTATCCCACACCTCTTTATACCATTCTTCCATTTATATTCTGCTTGCCCCTTCCACTTCCTAGCTATCATAATTCGCGCAGCTATCAATAAATTTGTGAGCAAGTCCTTCCTAGCCTGTGATTTCTGTTAGCTCCTTAAATACCCTTTTCCCAAAAAATTGTACATATTTACACCCCCACCACATGTGAACATAATTCCTGGTTTCCTGACATCCCCTCCAACATAACACCAAATATTCCTTGTTTATTTGATTTCATCTGACTGGTGCTAAATACCATCTCCAAACTTAATTTATAATACTTTCTCCCCACTTCTGAAACTTTGTGTTTTGCTTTCCCTCAGAAACTTGGCCAAGATTTGCATGTCTACGTATAAAAAGTAGCGCCTGCAAATTTTGTGTCGTGGGTCTGCCTTGAGCCTAGCAACGCCCCAGGCTCTTTTCCTATCTGCAAACCCTCAATTGGGCATTTCAGTTATCAGGTGTCCAACACACATCTGTACCGCAAGGCAGGACCATGTGACCCAGCCAAATAAGATATGCAGGTTGGAAGCAAGTGTGTCTTAACGGCGAGTACCGTATATACTCGAGTATAAGCCGACTTTTTCAGCACATTTTTTATGCTGAAAAAGCCCCCCTCGGCTTATACTCGAGTGAGGCGGGCGGCGGTGGCGGTGGGACGAGCCATGTTCTCCCAACCGCGGCTCCTATGCCTGCTCTTGCGAGCGGCAGAGGCGGCGGTGTCCTTTCAAATGATTTCTCATGAACAGCCTCCACAGATCTTTGAAGGGAAGCTTTTCATTTTCCATGCCTCTTAAAATGGCAAAATGGATTTTGGAAGTACAGTGGTACCTCGGGTTAAGTACTTAATTCGTTCTGGAGGTCCGTTCTTAACCTGAAACTGTTCTTAACCTGAAGCACCACTTTAGCTAATGGGGCCTCCCACTGCCGCTGCGCCACTGGAGCACGATTTCTGTTCTCATCCTGAAGCAAAGTTCTTAACCCAAGGTAATATTTCTGGGTTAGCAGAGTCTGTAACCTGAAGCGTATGTAACCTGAAGCATGTATGTAACCCGAGGTACCACTGTATCAGGCAACAGGTCCCTCAGCAGTTAATTGATAACAAAATGCAGTAGCCGTCTAGGGACTGGCTCCTACGTGGGCTGCGGAACACCTCATAATTAGCTCATTTTCACTGCCTGCAGCAAGCTGTGTGCATGTCTCTTCTTAATGTTCTTTCAATCTGCGAATGAGACAGAATCCAAGGTTTTTTTCCTTAATAGTAAAAGAGGCTGGATTCACGGAAGAAACAAGGCAGCAACTTCTCTTTGTGTAGAAACTGTACCAGATGTTGTTTCAGACTGCAGACCTTGCTTTTCCGTTTTTAAACCTGTTTTCACTTGACTGTGTAGCTCCTCGCCAGCACAACTTGTTACATAATCCTTGCCTAATTTACCAGTAGCCGCTGCGTTTCCCACCCTAGGCTTATACTTGAGTGAATAAGTTTTCCCAGTTTTCTGTGGTAAAATTAGGTGCCTCGGCTTATATTCGGGTCGGCTTATACTCAAGTATATACAGTAAATGTTAGTCTAGAGGAGGGACTGCAGACTTGCTCTAAATAATCCAAGCAAGCAAGCCAGTCCTATTAGACCTCATATACTTCCTCTCGGTATATGATGGTGTGTCAAAGCAAGTGTAATCCCACCCTTTCCGGTGCTTTGTCCTGTCCTTTTCCTGTCCCTCATCCCAGTATTTCTCAAACTTGTTGCGACAACAACTCCCATCATCCCTAGCTAGCAGAACCAGTAGTCAGGGATGATGGGAGTTGTGGTCCAACAACAGCTGGGGGCCCAAATTTGCGAAACACTGCACTCATCCCCCCAAAATATGACCTTCTGGAGAAAGCAGGTTTGTTGTGCAAGTCCAATCACCTATAGTTTTGCTACCCGAATTTGCCAATATGCGATGGAACCCGATTTTTCCCCCAGCTAGAACTCACCAAAACTCAGTTCTGGCCCCTCTCAGGTGGACACCATTGCCATTATAAGAGAACAAGGGAGGCGTTCCTGGTGAATTCCAGCACCTCTTTTTCTAGAAAAAGAGCACTGGCCAAGAATGATAAAATCCATTCTCTCCTCCCTCTCTGTGTTCTCCTTACAGGCCTTACTTCGAACTCAAGGCGAAGTATTATGTACAATTAGAGGTATGTATCAAATACATCTTCCAGGAGTGACTGGCAATCTGTGGCAGATCTGTTGCAAATCACGACTGCAGTTGATGCGTTTCAGTGAAAAAAACTTGTCTGTATCCTTAATCATGTCCTATCGTAGGGATGATAATAATAATAATAATAATAATGATAACAACAATAATAATCTTGTTTGGATTTAACTACAAAGATGATGGTTGGGAAACGTCATGCAAAAACAGGGGCCCTATTCAGGCTTTCAAAACCCTTGTATAATTTAAAACTCTAAATGGGGGGAGAGGGGAGAGAAGTTGTAGCATCTGATTTATTGATTGATTTTACTTATACAGTGGTATCTCAGTTTACGAACTTAATCCGTTCCGGAAGTCTGTTCTTAAACCAAAACCGTTCTTAAACCGAGGTGCGCTTTCCCTAATGAGGCCTCCCGCTGCCGGTGCGCCTCCTACCGTTCAGATTCCGTTCTTAAACTGAGGTAAAGTTCGCAAACCGGGACACTACTTCCGGTTTTGTGGAGATCGTAAACCGAATTGTTCGTAAACAGGACTGTTCTTAAACCGAGGTACCACTGTATGCGCTCAAAGCGGCTTACCAGCAAACATTTGAAACATCTTCGCGGTGGCAGTTGCAGAAGAGGGTTCTACAATTCCATTCCTATATGCCGGGTTGATGGCGTTGGAATACAGTTCCCATCAGGATCAGCTGCCATGGTCTGGGTTGGGGGGTTAATGGGAGTTGGAGTCCACCAATCAGGGGGGCCACAAGTTCCCCATCGCTGGAGTGGATGAAGTTCTTTAGCTGGACTTTAATCTTCTTCTTCTTTGGCGATCACTCGTAGCCGAGTAAGATTGTCTTCCATAAGCACAGTTTTAACAGTGCGTTCATAAGTGACTGTGGAGGCCAATTCTGGATCCACACGTCCTTCCACAGTGGGGACATAGGTTTCCGGGCAGGAGTTGATCATGGTCAGGGTTTGCCAAGTGTCCCTTCCTTGTAGTACGTTTTCCCCTTGCGTCCTGAGTTCGAGTGTCTTCAAAGCCCATGACACCTTTGGTAATCCTGTTCTCCAATTGGAGCGCTTGCAGGCCAGCGTTTCCCAGTTGTCAGTGTTCATACTATATTTTTAAAGATTTGCCTTGAGAGAGTCTTTCAACCTCTTTTGTTGACCACCAGCATTACGCTTTCCATATTTAAGTTTGGAATAGGGTAGTTGCTTTGGAAGACGATTAACAGGCATCTGAAGAACATGACCAGTCTGACGAAGTTGATGTTGAAGAATCATCGCTTCAATATTTCTGCACTTAACATGTCTCTTCCACTTGTTTCATTAGCAATTGAAGAAGACCGTAGACGATCTGCAAGCAAAGTTGGCATTGGCCAAAGGCGAATACAAGACAGCTTTGAAAAACTTGGAGATGATCTCTGACGAGATCCATGAGAGGCGGCGAGCCTCATCCATGGGACCCAGGGGATGTGGCGTGGGGGCTGAAGGCAACAACACGTCGGCAGAAAACCTTTCCGTGTGCAAATTAGAGCCGGATAATATCTCCAGTAAGTAGAAGGAAATAGCTGTAGAGTTTGCTCCCTGTCAAAGACAACTATTCCACAATGACCTTGTGGCGCTTTGTGCAATTTGGTTCTATCCACTGGCTCGGTGTGGACATTGGGGTAAACCATGGTTTAGCACGATAAGAACAAGCTTCAGTGACCCTAAGGTTTGCTTGCTTCCTCCTTCTCCGGTGAGGCTACAAGGAGTTTGGGAGCTTCCCCTTCCAGTTTGGATTAACTGCAGCTTGTTGTGTCATCCAAACACTACAAATTGTGATTGATTGTTGGAAACAAGCCAGCTTCAGACCATGGGTTATGAAGCTGCCCTGTTTAAGCCAGCCATAGCTAACCTTAACCATAGTTTTGTGTGCTGATGACACACTAAAATGTGGTTTGTGGGAACTGGAAGAAAAAGCTTCTGAATTCTTCTTTACCACCATGACAGAGAAGAGGGGAAGCAGGAGGTATGAGTACTGCAGCAGCAACTAAATTATGGTTTAGCCTAATACACAAATGTGGCCGTAGAGAGCTAGTGTGGTGTTGGGATTAGAGTGTCGGACCAGGATAAGGGAAACCTGGGTTCAAATCCCCACTCAGCTGTTACCCTCTTTTTGCAGCTTAACTTACCTCTCAGGCTTGTTGTGAAGATAAAAGACGGGATAAACATGTAATGAAGAAAAACAAAATATAAGCGAGCTAGATGTTATCGCATTCAAACTCCAAAAGTTCTCTGCCTCAAAAACTTTTATGAAGCACGGAACAACACATTGCGGTCTGAGAAGATTGTACCCCAGGATACAACATAGGGTTTCTTCTCTGGGACAGAGATTGAAACAACATTGAATACTGTACACTCGGGAAGGTCATTAATTAATTGTGAAATTCTGAACTTCTTGCAAAAGCTTGGAAACATGGATTGCCTTGTCTCTGAAACTTTAATCAGTCAGTTTTTGTACCGTTCTGTGGACCTTGGGGCCAGTAGAGATTCTTATAGCAAGCTTGAAGCTGTCTCTCTATGTGTGATATGTGTTCATAAATGATTCAATTTTAAGCACCGATTTTTGTAAGAAAGAACAAATAATGTTGCAACACTCATTTGAAGGGTTCTGGTTTGGTGTTTTCATTTTTTAATTGTGTTAGCTTTTCTCTACTTTGGCTGTGATTCTTGCTTACGCTGAATTTCCGTTATCCCTTTAACCATGTAAAAAAAATATATCGTATTAGTCAGTTAAAAATCCTTGCCTGAAATACAGTTTGAGCCTAGGCCAGCGGTTCATCCACCCTGACCTCAGAGCACCTTCTCTCGCTATGTTTTGTATTGGAGAGTTACTAGAAGACAAAACACATACTTGTGGCAGAACAGTGTTGTTTGTAGGTCACCACAGCAACTAAACACAGCACGGAAAGCTCTGCAGCGTTGACCCTGAAGGACCCACATCTGTTAAAGCCAGCCGCTTTCCCTTTTAAAATAATGGAAATGGCAACTGGGAAGGGATTGAACCTGCTGTGTTCAGATGAATCACCGACTTGTCTCGGGATATGAAGTATCGTTCCCACCCAAACTCGTATTTATTTATCGTTAATAAATAATATTCCCCATTGTGAAGCCTGTGGCTTGCCTCCCGCAGTTTGGTCAAACTCATGCTGGTAGCTTTGAGGACACTATCCAACCATCTCGTCCTCTGTTGTCCCCTTCTCCTTGTGCCCTCCATCTTTCCCAACATCAGGGTCTTTTCCAGAGAGTCTTCTCTTCTCGTGAGGTGGCCAAAGTATTGGAGCCTCAGCTTCAGGATCTGTCCTTCCAGTGAGCACTCCGGGCTGATTTACTTAAGAATGGATAGGTTTGATCTTCTTGCAGTCCATGGGACTCTTAAGAGTCTCCTCCAACACCATATTTCAAAAGCATCAATTCTTCGGTGATTAGCCTTGACTGGGTAGACTTCAGAAAACCAGCATCCGTATACTGTTTGTAACTATTGCCCTTGAGAGGACAGGGTTCATAAACAAGAGGTGCAGGCAGATGGAGGACTTGGAAGAGAAATCCTCCGTCTAATCAGATTTTGCTCTCTGACTTTTTTTGCTCTCCGATTTTGCAGTGGCTTCCGAAGTATTTGAGGACGACACCTGCAACAGCCTTGTGTCCGAAGACGACTCTGAGACCCAGTCCGTATCCAGTTTCAGCTCTGGCCCGACAAGCCCTTTTGAGACGCCATCTCAGTTTCTCCCCGTGGCACGGCCTAGGAGCCTGGATCTCTCCAGCCCCATCTCGCTGTCTGAATTTGGCATCTTTCCTCTACTAGGACCTCGCAGTGAATGCAGCGGGGCTTCCTCTCCTGAATGTGAAATTGAAAGGGGTAAGCTGGACCAGGCTAGGGATTATTAGGAAAGGGAGCAACAGGCTTGAAGGTCTGGGGGGTGGGTTTGTTCATTTCTCCCCATCTTTCCCCCCTGCAAATGGAGCATGTGTAACCAAGTGCATCTATGAGACATTCAAAGCTGGGACGCGGGTGGCGCTGTGGGTTAAACCACAGAGCCTAGGACTTGCCGATCAGAAGGTCGGTGGTTTGAATCCCCACAATGGGGTGAGCTCCCGTTGCTCGGTCCCTGCTCCTGCCAACCTAGCAGTTCGAAAGCATGTCAAAGTGCAAGTAGATAAATAGGTACCGCTCCGGCGGGAAGGTAAACAGCGTTTCCGTGCACTGCTCTGGTTCGCCAGAAGCAGCTTAGTCATGCTGGCCACATGACCCAGAAGCTGTATGCTGGCTCCCTCAGCCAATAAAGCGAGATGAGCGCCGCAACCCCAGAGTCGGCCCTTTACCTTTACCTTTAAGCATCTTCTAACCCACATAAATAGGGTGGGACCAAAGCCCAGCCTTCCTCTGCCCTTAAAAATCTCTAATAATACTTTTATTATTTATACCCTACCCATCTGGCTGGTATTCTCAAAGCTCTCACCCTTCAGCTTTCTAGCTGTCGTGCTGCAAAGTACATCAAGCTTAGCCAGGAACAAGTTTAATCTGTAACTTGCACCCTTCCCTACACTTGAAGTGTGAAATCATTCTGCGAATGATTCCTGCTTCCTGAAGCAGGAAGTTCATGCCTGGCTGAAGGAAAATTCCAGAGTTTCCAGTTCCAAAGGTGACAGACCAGTCTTGCACAGCGAGGGGTTTCTGATGAGCGTAGAGCATTTTTCACCCAAAGACGATAGTGCTTGTATCTTAAAATACCCTATTTTTCGCCCCATAAGGCGCACCTAGTTTTTTGGGGGGGAAATAAAGAAAAAAAAATTTATTCCCCCCCCCCAGGCCCAAGCTTCCCCTGACCCCAGCCCCCAGAACAGGTTGCTCTCCGCAAGCCGTGGGAAGGCTCCCGCGGCTTGCGCAGCTACCCGAAACCAGGGGTGCGACTGCTCAGCGCGCCCCAGTCTTCGGGATGCAGGCAGCTCTCCGCAAGCCGTGGGAGCCCCGCCGGGACGCCCCCGGGCTCCCACGGCAGGTGGTTAGCTTACAGAAGCCGGGAGAGCGCGAGGGGTCGGGGCGCACTGATGCCTCTCGCTCTCCAGGCTTCAGCGAAAGCCTGCATTCGCCCCATAAGACGCACACACATTTCCTCATTTTTGGAGGGGAAAAAGTGCGTCCTATAGGGCGAAAAATACGGTAAGTCACCAAAAATCGGCAGCAAAGAGTCAAAGCTAACAGCTGTAAATAAAGCTCATGGGATGTGGTGGTTGACGGGTTTATTGTTGCTTGAAGAAATGGAAAGGAATACCAATGTGTTTTTTTAACAAAATGTGTGCTACCAGTCCTAGGGGAGAATAGTGCGAGAGATGTAGGAGACTGTGGGTATTACGACTCAATCTTACAGCTGTGTGTGTGTGTGTGTATACACACACACACACACACACACACATACACACACTATAGAGACCATGCTGTTGCTTTCAGAGAACCTTCAGCTAAAAGGTTAACAGTATTATGTTATAATAAGGTAAAGGGAACCCTGACCATTAGGTCCAGTCGTGGCCGACTCTGGGGTTGGGGCGCTCATCTCGCTTTATTGGCCGAGGGAGCCGGCGTACAGCTTCCGGGTCATGTGGCCAGCATGACTAAGCCGCTTCTGGCGAACCAGAGCAGCGCACGGAAACGCCGTTTACCTTCCTGCTGGAGCGGTACCTATTTATCTACTTGCACTTTGACGTGCTTTCGAATTGCTAGGTGGGCAGGAGCAGGGACTGAGCAACGGGAGCTCACCCCATCGCGGGGATTCGAACCGCCGACCTTCTGATTGGCAAGTCCTAGGCTCTGTGGCTTAACCAACAGCGCCACTCGCATCCCCTATCCTTTGAGCAGACCCACTCAAATTAATGGAGATGACTAAATTAAGACCATAAATTTAAGTGGATCGACTCGTGAGTAGAATGTAGGTGGGTACAACCCTTATTCGCCAGCATCTTGAGGTAGGGGTGGGAGACCCATGGCCAATCAGCATAGACGGTACTGAGCCAGCTGGACCAATGGTCTGACTCGATACAAGGCAGCTTCCTAGGTTCTGTAAAACCCACCTCGTTCCATGATTCACACTGCTGAACCTTTCCATCTCGTCTTCGCAGGGGACAGAGCAGAAGGGGCAGAGAACAAGGCGCTTGACAAAGCAAACAAGAACCGGAACAGCCACTCCTCTTCCAGTGGCCCTACGTTGGACAACCGGATGAAGCAGCTGTCTCTCCAATGCCTGAAAGTCAAAGATGGGATCTGCGCAGACAGAAAAGTAGTACAAATCGGCTGAGGTCGACGTCCCCTCGGAGCGAAGGAGGAAGCTATCGATTAATTTATACAAACTTCTCTTCTGCCTGCCAGAAGAACCTTGTGCCAATAACTATTTAATACATGCCAAATCTTTTAAGCATTTACTCTTTAGGAAACTGCACTGAGAGTTCCATCGGCGTTGAGGGCTGAGGGTATGCGTTTCGGCATTTTTATTTTAGAAATGCAAGCAAAGTCTTTCGCCGTGACGGAAACCGGTCAAAAGAAACCTCTGTGCTTGTCGGACTTCGCAGCCTTTGCAAGACACTCTGGTAGCAGTTTTGGCAGAAGCAATAACTAGTTGCGTTCCGCGTATGGAGTTCTGTGCCAGTCGGGAAACGGAAGACCGAACCAAACATTTAGGAGGAGCAGCCAGTGTCCATTTTGTAGGCAATGCCCGTTTTTTGAGCCGAGCTGCTGTTTAGACCAGCGGCCTAGCCTTCTACTTTAAACATCTATATTTATATTTTGGATTATAAAAGGATACTGTTGCATGTGACCGAGTCTAGAAACCTTCCCTGAGTCTCTAGACCTCATATATGATTAAAAAGTATACCTCAAGGGTAACATAAATATGTTGTTAATATTGATGCACAGGCCTTTTCTTAGTGTACCATGTTTCGGAGATGTCCCAATTATTACGGATCCAGTAAGAAAAATGAAATGTACATCGGAGCTGTTACAGACGACTTTCTCTGGTATGGCTGGTGTCCGTTGCTAGGTGGGAGCAGGAAAATATTATTTTTACACCTTGGGCCTACCAAGCTGGAAGGGGGAGTTTTCCTGCATGAACAGATGGTCTATTTGCCAGTTAGGGGTTTAAGGGGATGAGTGAGTACTTCTAAATATCGCTGTAGGTTGTCATGTTATAGGGTTTGTAGAGTAATTAAAGGACTTATAAATTTAGCATCCCTCGAGGGAAAAGAAGTCGAGTAAGATTGGGAAGGGTGTCAAAGCATGTTCAGCGACAGCTGTTACGCAGTAGAGATGTCGGGTAGTTATGCTAATAAGAGGTAGTTAAAATCATAGGACTTTTGTTTTGGTAGTTAGCATTTCTGAAACTGACATATGCCATTGCTAATAAAACTTACTCGTTTCCTTGGCTGCCCAGTCCTCAGATTTTCTGTTCCTTAGCTTAGTTCTGTTGTGTTTTTTGTCCCCAACTACAGTTTCGTGTAGCTATTCTGAAAACAAATGTACAGTATATATATATACCCTTCGCACTACAGTGAATGTTCCTTTCACTCTTCAGTTTTGTTTTCATGTGCAGTATGGTTCTGTTGAAAGTGCTTAAAATTCTTTTAGGGAAGCCTTTACAAATTTGTTCCCCTCAATATACAGACAACTTCCATTTGTGCGTTTGGCTTATGTTTCGACTGAGGAAATGAACTCTGTGAGTGCCAAATGGAACGGTCAATAATAAAGCGAAAACTAAACAGTTGTCGTGTGTGTTTTCTTTTTTTCTCTGATGCACGGCAAGATTCAAGCTTGGAAGTCAGAGCGAAGGGTACAATTGTTCGTCCCATTTGTGGCACAGTGATAAATAGTAAAAAGAACACCACCAAAAGCTCTGGATTTAATATTATTGTGTGCACCGTAGACTCTTCCCTTGAGCACCCAAGTTGCAGGATTAAAAAGCATTTCAGCCATTTAAAAATAAATATATATCCCAGACAGTCCCCTGGCCTCAGGCTCACTATGTTAAAGAGACATGACACAAAAGGAAAAGCGGTTAGGAGGGAGGAAATAAAAAACAAGCTCAGCCACAAATGCTTCATCACACAAATGCTGTCAATGGAAAAAGTGACAAGTGTGATGCTGTAGGATTCTGTCCTGGGCCCGTCATTGTTCAACATCTAAAAAATGACTTGGATGAAGGAATGGAGTGGACGCTCCTCAAAGTCACAGAGAACACCAAACTAGCTAATGATGTGAGAAGGCTTCCTCAACCTGGGCCTCCAGATGTTTTTGGCCTACAACTCCCATGATCCCTAGCTAGCAGGACCAGTGGACAGGAATGATGGTAACTGTAGTCTCAAAACATCTGGAGGCCCAAGGTTGAGGAAGCCTGTAAGACAAAATCTGAATTCAAAATGACAATGGGTTGGAGAACTGGGCCCAAGCTAACAAAATGAATTTCAACAGCGACAAATGTCAGGTTCTGCACTTGGGGAGGAAAAACCAGAGGCACAAATGTAAGATGGGAAATACCTGGCTTAATAGCAGTACATGTACAAAAAATCATGCATTGCCATAAACAAAGGATGAATTCTTGTTAAGTCCCTGTGCATATAAATCCCCATCATATGTGTACCTATATGTACACACAACAAACTCCATATAGAATCCATTTTTTGGTACTTACATAGAATATTCTTGCATGTAGTCGTCCTCTAAAGAGTCAATTAAATCTGTTGCCTTCTGTCTTTTTATTACTGACTTGTTTGCAGTCAGGGCTACATCTGTAACTTTCATCTTACTAATTGCCTTGCAAAGCAGTTAAGCGGAGTTCCTGATAAGTGCACAGCGTGTTTCAATTCCCCCTAGCCTAGCTGGTCGCTCACAGAACAGCAATTACAAGGCACCCGATTTTGATTTCCTTTTCAAAGGGAGCTACCAGTTGAGATAATAGCAAAAGCAACGTCATCCTGTTGAGTCGCTTGATAACAGGGAAGGAGCTGCCTTGCGTGGGCATTCATTTTCTTGAGAAAAGCAAAAGTTTTTTTTAAAAAAAAATTCAGGCAGATTTAGCTGAAAACAAACTAGGGAAATGGATTTTTAAGTCGCGAATTGGGGAGAAATAAGCAAGGCTTGCTCCAGCCCCTTCTCCCTTTGGCCTGAAGCTGCTATTTCTCCATTGGGAATGCCAAGAGTCTTTCACAAATTGAACTTACCAATAACAAAAGAGAGCCTCGTCCTCTGTGCTGTAGATGGGATGGAGAACCTGCAGCCCTGCAAATGGGTGGTGGGACCACAACACCCACCGTCCCAGACATGGGTGACTAGGGCTGATGGGCGTTGGGTGCCCAGCACTATAGAAGAGCACAGTTCCCAGCCCTGCTTTAAAGAGAAATGGGTACATCTCCAAAGCCCTACATTTAAGGGGGAAATCAGCTAAAGCTGGGTGGATTTGATTCAAATCAAATCGATTTAAATCACTAGTCAGTAAGACCTGATTTAAATCATTTTTTTACAGAAAGACTCATTCTTGCTGGTATAATCTTAATATTTACAACCAGCTGAAGGTTTCATTTTTGGAACAATAAATTTTCAGAGTAGTTTTTACAGTTATATCAAAAATTATACTGATTTGGTTAGACTATTAGAAATACACAGACAGGTAATTATGAAATGTAATTGTTTATATTTGGACAACTTTTCTGCTGTACTCTATTGGAAGTAGAAAAATAATCATTTCCTTAACAATTTATTTAACTAAGACAATAACACTATAGCATATGTATCCGTATTTGTTAACTGATGTGGTTAAACAATTAAAAAAACCAAAAACCTTAGACTGAGTTTAACACACATGAAAAACTTAAATCCTTATTTCCTGATGAATAGCCTTTGGACTATAATGTAACTTAAATAGAAAACTATCTTTAGAAAGATTTTTCCTCCAAAAGCATTTTATTTTAAAAGTCCGATTAAAAAATAAATCGATTTTTATCCACCCAGAGCTAAAGCGAGGGTTAGCTCTACCAACAGCTATTTCAGGCAGGGGTTTCTCCTAGTCCTCATGGCAGGATATTATTATTAATAATAATATTATCATAATGTTATTATCATTATTAGTTCCAAAACATCTGGAGGGCCACAGGTTCTCACCCTTGCAGCAAAGAGCCAAGGAAGTATTTCAACATGTACAGCCATCTCTGATTCAAGACAGATAAGACCTGAGCTTGTTCATCGGTGTATTTGGAAAAATCAAAGCTATAAGGAGGGGAGTTGGTGGGAAACAGACATTTTAAAGCCCAAAAGTGATGAAAATATTCTTAGAAGCAAAGCCATGCAAAAAGCAAGGACATTTTAGACAAACAAGCAATTCCCTTGGCCTGCCCTCCAGTTGGCCACTTCTAGGCTAAGAGAGGAGACCAGGTTTCCGCTCTGCTTTAAGAGATCCCTATGGACAAGGAACATCTGACCTTATAAAAGTGCATACGTGGTAGAAACTTGCAGGTGTTCAAAATCAATCCACAGCATTGGTTGCCTGTTCCAACTTTAGGGTGCAATTCCCTTTGAGAAAGTCCAGATTTGTTTTGCACAGCCCATGTAAACATTTTCCCCGCTTAGGTAGGTTCTTTCGATTGCCCTCCAGCGTTTAAAGAGTCTCAATCATAGAGATGGGTGACTTCATTGCAGCTGCGATGTCTTAAGAGGGGTAACGCTATTAAAGTCCAAAAGAAAGGTCCTTCCTGCTGAGGGAGGAAAGTGCTTGGGATAATATTGTAAATGCCAGCAGGGACACATTCGAGTTCCAGGTAGCAAAACCCGCATCTTGGAGGGAGAAAAAGAGAAAAAAGGGGCAAACTTAGGACGAGATCTAGCACGATGCAAATCCAGAAAGATGTGTCGCCAGACGAGGCGTTACCTGTAATCGCCACTGTTTTTCTTCTGAAAGCCTTGCTCTCCCACTGCAGATACGGTCACCACTTCACAGCAAACCCGGTACTGCCTGCAAAAACCAAACCGGAGGTTGTGATTGCCTTTTAGACACAGTGATCTTTGGCAAGGGCAGTGCTTTTTTTCGGGGGGGGGGGTACGCATACCCCTAAACATTTTGTGGATCGTTGTACTTTTGTCCATTTACTGTATTTATTTTCCCAATTTGAACTACAAAATGGTGATTTTCTTGAGTCAAAATTAAAGTACCACTAAACATTTTCTTAGGGGAGAAAAAGCACTGGGCAAGGGTATTTACAGTGGTACCTTGGGTTAAGTACTTAATTTGTTCCAGAGGTCTGTTCTTAACCTGAAACTGTTCTTAACCTGAAGCATCACTTTAGCTAATGGGGCCTCCTGCTGCCGCCCAATTTCTGTTCCCATCCTGAAGCAAAGTTCTTAACCCAAGGTACTATTTCTGGGTTAGCAGAGTCTGTAACCTGAAGCGTATGTAACCTGAAACGTATGTAACCCGAGGTACCACTGTATAGGATTTGGAACTAAGCACATAACTCAGCATCCTTAGAACAAGTAATTAAAAGAAGGAATTTTCTGAAACGTGTGTCCTTTCAAATGTGTGTGTGTGGGAGGGGGGGTTATTGTTTTGTTTTGATTATGTACTCTCATTTTATTCTGTATTTTTATGCTGTGAACCACCCTAAGATCTTTGGATGAAGGCTGGTATACATATGTATTATTATTATTACCGTTCTATCTATCTATCTATCTATCTATCTATCTATCTATCTATCTATTTTATTAATTGCAGCAATTGCTGGTTAGATTCCCCATAAATGAACAAAAACAAATGGAGTTTATAACACTGGACAAATGACTGAGTTTGGCCAACAAACAACGTTTGCATTGCACTGCACTAACTTTGCAGCTCCACTCCTTCAAACCTGCACAAACCTTGGTCCTCGTAGCTCAATGAGGAGGGGCCGGCCTTGTCCAACTGGAACTGGTAAATAGGATTGTTCTTGGCGGTCTCTCTGAAATTCCCACACCCGCCAGCGCTTTGGCCTTTCCACTGCCCATTTACCTAAGCGAAAGAAAATTCAAGAGGTTCTTAAGCAGCACATACTATTGAGAACAAAAACAAATGATTAATTAATCCTAGTTCCAGTTTAACTTCCCTTCTGGTTGACGTCCAACGCTTTACCTAGAACTTCAATCTCAAAGTTGCTCAAGCTTACACTGGAACAAGGCAAAGGTTTTACATCGGCTCCTTGACTTAATTGCTATGTCCTTTTATGGGAAATGAGAAAATGGTCCTGCTAAAGTCTTCCTTTGTTGCAGGATTTAGACTCAAGTGTCAAGTGCCTGTTAGGCACACATTTCTTGCCAAGCCTTCAACTGCTTGTATTCTTTTAAGATGGGGACTGCCCAGGATCAATAGATTTTGGCAGCTGGAAGCGTATTTAATATGTTTCAAAAAGAGGGGAGCCTTATGCCTTAGAGCCATTTGAGTTGGTTTGGTTATAGCTGCATTTGCCATATTTTTTGCTCCGTAAGACGCACTTTTTCCCTCCTAAAAAGTAAGGGGAAATGTGTGAGCGTCTTATGGGGCGAATGCAAGGGGGAGGCAGGCAGGAAAAGCCCCCAAGAGCCGCACACAAGCTCCGCGCGGCTCTTGCGGGCTTTTCCCCAGGAGGGAGAAGGGACTGATGTGGCCAGTCAGTCCCTTCTCCCTCCTCGTAGAAAAGCCCACAGGATCTGCGCGCTCCTTAAAGGGTGCACGGCTTTTGTGGGAGGTGGGGGAATTGCCATAGCCGTGCGCAGCCTCTCCCGGCCAGAGAGGTTGCGCACGGCTAAAGAGGAAGCCAAGACAGCCAGCGGGATGGATCCTGCTCGCTGTCTTGGCTTCTTAGCTCTTTGGGGCTGGGGGGGGGGACCTGGGCTTCCCCCGGCAGCCCTGAGCAGCTCTGGGAAAAGCGGACAGGCTGAGCACAGCCTGTCCACTGCTCTTTGGGGCTGGGGGGGGGATAATATTTTTTTTCTTGATTTCCCCCTCTAAAAACTAGGTGTGCCTTATGGTCTGGTGCGCCTTATGGAGCGAAAAATACAGTAAGTAAATACATCACTAAATAGGCTCACTACAATGAGCGTTTAGCACAATTTTGGTTTTTCTGTCACACAGCCAAGGATTAAACCCAGCAAGGATATAGCAGGAACTTGTAGATCTTATTTTGATCTACCCAACAGATGACCATAGAGATTGCAATTCTTTCTTACCCGTTTGGATATGGTATACGGTGTCGGGATCTTGCAGAAGTTAAACTTGCACACTGAATACACCTGAGTTGACAAAGAAATGGAAAAGATTCACACAGAACGAACTGTGTTCCACACGCTGTGAAACTAAAAAGAAGCAGCGGACAACGGCTAGGGAAACGCACAAGGCCAAGATGCTCTTGGGCTCCTGTTCTGGTTTCCCACAGGAATCTGGTTGGTCACTGTGAGAACAAGATGAGCCATTGGGATGATCCAGCGATGTCTCCTTACGTCCTTAGCAGAACCTAATTGGTTGGTTTGTTTTCTCTTACAGAAAAACCCACACACGTAAATGCAGATTTTTGCAAGGTGTGAAGTAGGGCTGGGTGATATATCGTCCAAAACCGGTTTGAATCCCATATTGTGATACCAGTTTTATAATTTTTGACCTGCCGAGATATCACAAATCATGGTGTGTGTGTTATGCAAAAATCACAATGTGGGAGGAACCATGAAGCCAGCCAATACTTCTCTTGATTCCTGCAGCTCCTGTTAACTTTGCTGGCTCAGCTCTCCCCGCCTCTTGCAGGGGGCAGCGAATCACCAGAGCAGGTGCCGGCAAAAATCAAGATGCAGGAACAACTGTGAAGCCAGCCAATGCCTCTACATAGCTCCATCCTTATTTCAGAAATCGTGATATATCACGATGTTTAGCTGGTGATATATCTTGATGTTGAAAACCAGATCTCGCCCAGCCCTAATGTGAGCCCTTGTAAGAGAAATGTAATTATACAACTTGTCCAATATGCGAGGAGCAGAAAGCATCTTTGTTATTGCTTCAGGGTAGACTGGCGGAGGTAAAAGAAAGACTTGCTGTTTCCCCGAGAAGCTGAACTGGCTGGCCCAGAACATTCAAGAGAGAGAATATCCAGAAAAGAATCGGCTACGTTTGATCCATCGTCATCACATCACAACTCGACTTGGCCAGGAAGGAACTGCGTCTGGGATAAGGGCCCTCAACAATGTGCCACAAGTTTCCCCAGGATCACACATAATCTAGTAAAGGTAAAGGTAAAGGTACCCCTGCCCGTACGGGCCAGTCGTGTCCGACTCTAGGGTTGTGTGCTCATCTCACTTAAGAGGCCGGGAGCCAGCGCTGTCCGGAGACACTTCCGGGTCACATGGCCAGCGTGACGAAGCTGCTCTGGCAAGCTGGCACCAGCGCAGCACACGGAAACGCCGTTTACCTTCCCGCTATAAAGCGGTCCCTATTTATCTACTTGCACTTAAGGGTGCTTTCGAACTGCTAGGTGGGCAGGAGCTGGGACCGAACGACGGGAGCTCACCCCGCCGTGGGGATTCGAACTGCCGACCATGCGATCGGCAAGTCCTAGGCGCTGAGGTTTTACCCACAGCGCCACCCGCGTCACTACACATAATCTAGGGATGCGATATATCGGAATATTCTCTTGTTTGACATTTTTGGCTTCTCTCAAAATTCTTTTGTTGTCACACCCAAGAGAGAATCTGCAAATTCACTTGGGGTTTTGCTTTAGGCAGAAGCCCAGTGCTCACGCTCATAGGAACCAACTCCTAGGGCAGCCTTTCTCAACCTGTGGGTTCCCAGATGTTGTTGAACTACAACTCCCATCACCCCTAGCTAGCAAGGCCAGAGCTCAGGGATGATGGGAGTTGTAGTCCGACAACATCTGGGGACCCACAGGTTGAGAACCGCTGTCCTAGGGGCAAAGGTCTCTTCGCCTTCTCCCCATAAAATATGTGTGTGATCTGGCCCCCCTCCCCTCAAAAAAAGTTGATGGGCGCTGCCATTCAAATGGTGTGTGTATGCTGTGTCATGTGAGTGATTATGTGGGGCAGGGCATACCTGAATCCCCCCCCCCTTTTTTTTCCTAGTTGGCACCCCTGGTCACTCTGATCTGCTCTAAGGAAAGCTGGTGACTGTACACGTAAAAGTTATCACATGGTGACTATACAGTTGTACCTTGGAAGTCGAATGGAATCCGTTCAGGAAGTCTGTTTGACTTCCAAAACGTTCGGAAGCTGTGGAGGACGTTTGGGTTCCCAAGAACGTTCGCCAACCGGAACACTCACTTCCGGGTTTGCGGCCTTTGGGAGCCAAAACATTTGATCCGCAAGGCATTCAACTTCCAAGGTATGACTGTACAGTGGTACCTCGGGTTAAGTACTTAATTCGTTCCGGAGGTCTGTACTTAACCTGAAACTGTTCTTAACCTGAAGCACCACTTTAGCTAATGGGGCCTCCTGCTGCTGCTGCGCCACCGGAGCACGATTTCTGTTCTCAACCTGAAGCAAAGTTATTAACCTGAAGCACTATTTCTGGGTTAGCGGAGTATGTAACCTGAAGCATATGTAACCTGAAGCGTATGTAACCTGAGGTACCACTGTATTTGGCAGCTGTCATCACAGCAATGAGATTTCCTCTGTGCCTCCACCAATGATCATCATTAAAAGGACCCCATTATTAAAAGGAATGAGACGCCTTTTTGTTAAAGCTGTTTAACATCGTTGTCGCGTTTCCGCAATTTTGAATGAAACAAAAACAGCTCTACCATATAATCCCGTAAGCCGGTCTAAAAATAACCACTTGCCTGCTCCCCTGTAGAAAGAATTGCCTCGGAGCCGACTCCCGCTGCCCTGCCCGACTCTGAAAAGAGCTGATGGTGGGGATGACCAGCGTCTTAAAATACTTCTTTCGCAAGGCTGCCTATAAACACATACCCTGAGCGTGTAGTGAATCGTGTTCTGCTTTTCGTACTGAGAAACCACCAGAGTAAATGTATGGGTTCCCGGAGAAGTCAGCTTGATCTTGGTGAGATAGTGGGGGCTGTTGATTCGAATCCCATCGATATACGGAGGAGGGTCGGCTGAAAAGGAAAGATTTATGCACGTGATGACAGTGGCGAGGATTCTCCATGCACAGAAATGGAAGGAGAGGAAACCCTCCAAGGAAGAATGGCTGGTCTTGGAATACGCCGAGACGGCGAAAGTGACGGCACTGATAAGAGACACAAATTTAGAATCCTTTCAAGAAGACCTTTCTAGTCTATTTCAAAAGTTATTTCCCATATGCGGAGACCACAGCAGGGTTTGAAGTGTGAGAAATAGATTAAGAAACATGTTGGAGAGGATGAAAATTGGTAAGACGGAACCTTAAAATGCAATTGTAATTTGAGTTATAAGTATTGATGTTGGGTAAGCGGGAAGTCACTAGTTTTGTTAAATTGGAATATAACTGTTGAGTAACAAATGTAACTTTCAGTATAGAAAAAGAATACATCATCATCATCATCATCATTAAAAAATTGTATAAGCCACCCATAAAAAAGAAAGAAAGAGGTTTATAGATTTAGGTTTGATATATGCATTTTTGAAAGGGAAAGGAATCTTTTGGCTCTCTAGATGTTTTTTAAAATATATATCTTTTTATACCCCGCCCATCTGGCTGAGTTTCCCCAGCCACTCTGGGTGGCTCCCAACAGAATAATAAAAACATGGTAAAACATAAAACATATAAAAATTCCCTAAACATGGCTGCCTTCAGATGTCTTCTAAAAGTTAGATAGTTGTTTATTTCCTTGACATCTGATGGGAGGGCATTCCACAGGGTGGGCGCCACCACTGAGAAGGCCCTCTGCCTGGTTCCCTGCAACCTCACTTCTTGCAAGGGAGGGAACTGCCAGAAGGCCCTCGGAGCTGGACCTCAGTGTCTGGGCTGAATGACTCCCATCATCTTCGGTCATCATGGGGGGACGTAAGATGTAGTAAAAATAAAAGATCTGGAGGGCCTCAGGTTCTCCATCCTTGGAGAAGAAGGTAAAGGTAAAGGGACCCCTGACCATTAGGTCCAGTTGTGGCCGACTCTGGGGTTGCGGCGCTCATCTCGCTTTATTGGCCGAGGGCCGGCGCAGCTTCCGGGTCATGTGGCCAGCATGACTAAGCCGCTTCTGGCAAACCAGAGCAGCGCACGGAAACGCCATTTACCTTCCCGCCGGAGTGGTACCTATTTATCTACTTGCACTTTGACGTGCTTTCGAACTGCTAGGTGGGCAGGAGCAGGGACCGAGCAGTGGGAGCTCACCCATTGTGGGGATTCGAACTGCCGACCTTCTGATCGGCAAGTCCTAAGCTCTGTGGTTTAACCCACAGCGCCACCCGCAGCCCTCCCATCCGGAGGGCCTCAGGTTCCCCATCCTTGGAGAAGATGGAGATTCTTGAGGTAGAATTTAGCATTTCTAGAGGATGCTGATGGCAAAGTAACAGATGTCAGAAACAAGAAGAGGCATAGCTGGACATCAACAAGACCTAATTTAGAGGTCAGTAGCAGAGTCGCCGGACCCTTCTGAGGCTGTCAAATGAGACACCCACAGAATTCGGTCAATAAACGTCTGAGAAAGGGTTACATACACTCTGCTTCAGCAATGAGCTTCTCAATCATATGTCCTCCTTGACAAAGGAAATCTTTTAATATTATTTTGGAAGCTTTGTATTCATAGGTTGTAGGGTGGAGCTGGAAAAGGAGGATTATTAACACACCTACCAGGATAGTAAACTTTTTTCCCATCTGTTTTGTATACCACCATTGTGATGAACTCCCGGTTGTGAGCAAAGTCATCCTGCGAAAGCAAAGACCAAAATTATTATTAATTGAATTTATATACCGCCCTATACCCGGAGGTCTCAGGGCGGTTCACAAAAAAGATCAGAATATATAAAATTAAAATAAAATAACCCAATAATAACCCCCCATCGATCATGTCATCGTTTATGTATTATTCTTATTATTCATCTGTTATTTTCGTTGGTTAGCCTTAGTCACCCACCCACCCACCTACATTCTGCTTCTGTTTATTACATTTCTATACCGCCCTTCACCTGGCAGATCTCAGGCCGGTTCACAGCATAAAAACACAAAAGACACAATGAGAATGAGAATAAAACCAACCGCCCCCCTTCCCTTAGGTAGACTGCCTCTGACCGGGAGGCTCCCTCTCTCGCTCATTCTGACACGACTCAACAGACCTTCAGTTTTGGAGCAGCACAATTCACACCTGCACATAACAGGGTTTAAGAGACTGCAAAGGTAAATATGCTCGGCTCCAAAAGGAACCGACCCCCAAATCTGGTAGAGGCTGACTGGAACGAGGGAAGCTTATGGCAGTCAGTCACACAGAAACACAGGTGGCAGCTCTTGCGTGGGTGAAGGACTCACAGGAACCCTTTAGTTGCATTTCCCGCTGCAAAAACTTTAGCACACTAACAATGCACTCTAGTACACAGTTTTGGAGGTACAGATGTGCCAGCAGTTTGGTTGCGAGATCTGCTGCTGAGCACACTGCTCTAGTTAACGCAAACGTAGCCTATCTCTTACAAAATCTATACAGTGGTACCTTGGTTCTTGAACTTCATCTGTTCCGGGAGTCCATTTGACTCCCAAATGGTTTGAAAACCAAGGCACGGCTTCCGATTGGCTGCAGGAGCTTTCTGCACTCAAGCGGAAGCCGTGTCGGATGTTCGGCTTCCGGAAAATGTTTGCAAACCAGAACACCTACTTCCGGGCTTTTGGCGTTCAGGAACCAAAATGTACACATACCAAGGCATTCAAAAACCAAGGTATGACTGTATACCACGTACCGTATTTTCTCATCTATAAGATGCCCTCATGTATAAGATGCCCCTATTTTGGGGAGTCAGATTTAAGAAAATAGAGGGATGTATCCGTGTATAAGACGCCCCCAAATTTTCTACATTATTTTTAAGGGAAAAAACCTAGTCTTATACAGGGGAAAATGTGGTAATTGTACCAAAACCTCTAAGCAGCTTGCAAGAAAGGTCTATGAAATATGCTTGACAAAAGTTAAAAAGGTAACCGTGTCGGCCGACAACAACAAATCCGAATCCACAGTAGGAAGAGGGCCAGTCACAATGTTACAAAACAGAAAGCAGGATTTCCAATTTCCCCGCCTTGTGTTTTTGACATCTGCTGTGATAAAAGAATTCTGGGAGACCCGAAAACTTGTACGCTGTTTCATAACATCCTGCTTGGTCCGGTAAGGGAATCACACTCGTGTGGGTTTGCATTTTATTTGAAATAACGGGTGGCTTTAATCCTCCTCTTGCTAGCTCAAATACCGAGAGAAGCGGCGGCATTTCAGGGCCCAGTCCCTCATTCATACCAAGGTTCAAACATTCATGCCAATGGTAAAGGTAAAGGTAAAGGGACCCCTGACCATTAGGTCCAGTCGTGACCGACTCTGGGGTTGCGGCGCTCATCTTGCTTTCTTGGCCGAGTAAAGCTTCTGGGTCATGTGGCCAGCATGACTAAGCCGCTTCTGGCAAACCAGAGCAGCGCACGGAAACACCATTTACCTTCCCACCAGAGCGGTACCTATTTATCTACTTGCACTGGTATGCTTTAGAACTGCTAGGTTGGCAGGAGCAGGGACCAAGCAACGGGAGCTCACCCCGTTGCGGGGATTCGAACTGCCGACCTTCTGATCGGCAAGCCCTAGGATCAGTGATTTAGACCACAGCGCCACCTGCTTCCCCATGCCAAGGGTACCTTGTCTGTAATGTGTCTGCTGAGCAGGATCCAAACTGCAGCCCCACCTTGTGGGCACTGAACCTCCAGTTTGTACTGTGGGTTGTTAGCTAGGCTGTATGCATCTTTCACAGGGCCCTGTTTTGCATCCCAGGTACTAAAAATAGAAAAAGAAAATATTTTATTAGAAATAATTTATGATGAATTGGAAAAAAAAAGTTTTAAAAGCACCTTTCCCCCCCAAAAAACCAGAGTCCTTTTTCTTGGGGATAATTCAGATGGAAATTCCCAGGTGTCAAAAAAGGTTATTGATGTATGCCACTACTGTGGCCCGTGTTTTGTTAGCCTAAAAATGGAAAATGAGTGAGGTCCCAACCAAAGACAAATGGCAACTTAAATTGATGGAATATGCTTAGCTTGCAGATTTAACATACAGAATGAGAAAACGTTTACTGAATGTATGAGGGAAAATTGTGCACGCTTGAAAATGTTGGCAGCATTAAGATAAATTCAACAGTGTAAATATGTTTTGATGGAAGTAATAATGCAGGGATTTATGTTATGCAAAATTAACCATGGAAAGAGAAGAAGGGAAGTCATTGATATTTTAAGGTTGTCCAAATGAATATTCTAAACTATAAAAGAGAAAATTTATATATATATATATATAATGAGAATTGTAAAACAGTGTGTGTGTGTGTGTGTGTGTATATATATATGTGTGTGTATATATATATATATATGTGTGTGTGTGTGTGTGTGTATATATATATATATATATATATATATATATATTTATATATATATATATATGTGTGTGTGTGTATATATGAGATAACTTGAGCACCAAGCAGCAAAAACAAACCCCAAACATGAGAGATAAACACAAACTCCCTCTCTCAAACACGTCACTGTTTCGTTTATAGGAACTGCAATTCATTCATACAAAACTTGACTACCCTTTAAGAGGACATATTTTGGCTATCACTCCTTTTATGCTAGCAATGATCTCAACAGGAAGTACAAAATATTATTTGGTGCAATCCTTCCAAGGAACAAAGCAAACAGCTGTTGAAATGCAAGCCTGAAACTTACGAATGCTCAAGAGGAAATGCGGCGTGGCGTGTGAGAATATTCAAATTCTGCATGCTGAATGCTCCCAAACATTTAAGCTACAGTGCCCAAGTTGTACCTACATAATAAAAAATGCTTTCTTCTGGATTCTCCGATCTTGCAGCTTCCTTGGATGGCCCTGGATTCTAGTTTCATGAAGTAGTTTTTCTCCTGTCTACTTTTTCCATAAAGGTAACGGTAAAATGGACTGACCATTAGGTCCAGTCATGGCCGACTCTGGGGTTGCGGCGCTCATCTCGCTTTATTGGCCGAGGGAGCTGGCGTACAGCTTCCGGGTCATGTGGCCAGCATGACTAAGCCACTTCTGGCGAACCAGAGCAGCGCATGGAAACGCCATTTACCTTCACGCCGGAGTGATACCTATTTATCTACTTGCACTTTGACATGCTTTCGAACTGCTACATTGGCAGGAGCAGGGACTGAGCAACGGGAGCTCATCCCGTCATGGGGATTCGAACCGCCAACCTTCTGATCGGCAAGCCCAAGAGGCTCAGTGGTGACCACAGCGCCACCCGCGTCCATACCAGGGCATAATTTTATGCATCTTCACCACGTCCCCCTTACTGTTTTTCTAAATTAGGAAGCCTCAAATATTGTACCGTTCCTCACAAGGGAAGTTGGGAGCTGGGATTGGTCCAGGACAGCTGTATAGAAGTAAACTTGCAACTTGCAACCTTTTCCGTTGGACAAACCTGTGAATGCATGTTGATTCTTTAAAAGACTCGGGTTCCAGCTCAAGTATATAACATCGTAATACTTGCACAGATCTTCCCAGGCAATCCAGAAAATCCCTAAAAGAAAGGAAAAGATCTAGGTCAACAAACATGCTATATTTTCCTCAAAAAGCCATTTAACATAATGACAGGAGTCAATGAAAATACAGTCATAACTTGGAAGTCGAACAGAATCCGTTCTGGAAGTCCGTTCGACTTCCAAAACATTCGGAAACCAAAGTGCAGCTTCTGATTGGCTGCTTGGGGCTTTAACGGTCAGCACCAACACTTCGAATTGTGCATCAGAAATGTACTGGGAGCCAGTGCAGGTCTTTCAGGACTGGTGTTATGTGGTTACTGAATAGGATTGATTGCCAGCTGTGGAACTGGGCTGACCTCGGAACCTCCTGCAGCCAACTGGAAGCCACACAAGGCCTGTCAGACGTTTGGCTTCCAAAAATAGTTCGTAAGCCAGAACACTCATTTCCAGGTTTGCGGCATTCGGGAGCCAAAACGTTCGAGAACTAAGTTGTTTGAAAACCAAGGTATGACTGTAGGAAATTATTATTATTATTATTATTATTATTAATACCCCACCCATCTGTCTGGGTTTCCTCAGCCACTCTGTGTGGCCCCCATATAATATTGTTATTAATAATAATAAAAGTCATAAAATATCAAAGATTAAAAACTTCCTCAAAGAGGGCTGCCTTCAGATGTCTTCTAAAAGTCAAATAGTTGTTTATGTCTTTGACATCTGGTGGGAGGGTGTTCCACAGGACAGGCGCCACTATTGAGAAGGCCCTCTCCCTGGTTCCCTGTAACCTCACAACTCACAGTGAGGGAACTGCCAAAAGGCCCTCACTGCTGGAGCTCAGTGTCTGGGCAGAACGATGAGAGTGGAGATGTTCCTTCAGTTATACTGGGCTGAGACTGTTTAGGGCTTTACACTTCAGCACCAACACTTTGAATTGTGCTTGGAAACGTACTGGGAGCCAATGTAGGTCTTTCAGGACCGGTGTTATGTGGTTACTGAATAGGATTGATTGCCAGCTGTTGAACTGGGCTGACCTCGGTCTCTGTCCCTTTAATCATCCTCTCCCCACACCCTGCAATAAGCAGAACAGTCTCTGCTTAGCTCCTTGCACTGAGAAGTGGCAGCCTCACCATCAGGGCAGGACTTGGAGGCAGAGATCGAGGGACCTACTCAGCAGAACCGCTGACAGCCAAACACCACAGGCTGAAAGACCACCAAGTCCAGAGTCTAAAATGACCCAAGCAATTTCTACATATCAAACCTCTGATCAGAAAATGGGAGCAAGCAAAGCCAGGCTTTTGTTGTTGCTGCTGCTGCTGCTGCTGCTTCCTTCCTCTCTCTCTCTCTCTCTCTCTCTCTCTCTCTCTCTCCACTTGGTAATGATCTTGTGGTTTATTATCTTCCTCTTTCTTTGCTCATCCTAACCCTGAGCTTCCAGAAAGGCCCACAGCAGACCTCTCTCCCTTTGCAGCCAAGCTGCAGATGTGCACACAGCCGATTGTGAAGTCACAAGCTGCCCCAGAATGATGGTGGCTCCGGGTGCTAGGGAAACAGCTAGATGGCTTCAGGGTGGCAGAAGCAGCGTGTGTGCAAGAAGCGCCTCCGCCGACCTTGGCAACTCAGTCAAGGGCAAGCCTGGACGCTGGAGGAGCAGCTGCTGGAGCTGCTTTGTGCGTTTCAGTCGCCGCAGCTCAGTCCGAGAGCGGAAGGCTCTGCCTGGGTGCTGGTGGTTTTCAAAGGCCCCTCAACACACTCAGCATGTGTAAGAATAAACCCCGTTAGCCGGTGTGCCATTAATAGGCAGCAGCGCAGTGAGCTAACCTTGATATGTCGCCACCGGCTCCCTCCTTAAATCGGCATTTAAATCCCACAGAGAGAGGAAAGCCAACAGTTAACGTCTGATCAGCGTTCGCTCTGAATTGAGTAACTAGGGTTGTTGCAGACGGGGATGAGAGCAGCAATCAGTGCTTTTTTTCTGGGGGGGACGCATACCCCTAAACATTTGGTGAATATTTGTATTTTTCTCCATTTACTGTGTTTATTTTCCCGATTTGAACTATAAAATGGTGATTTTCTGGAGTCAAAATGAGAGTACCCCTAAACGTTTTTAAAGAAAAAAAGCACAGGCAGCAATAATCAAAATCTAATATGTGCCTATAGCAGTGTTTGAAATTAGCCAGGCGCCAGGCGCATTTTGCACCTGGCTATTGGCCACTGGCAACCAAGCGAAGATGCCTGGGAGCCAGGATGGGGCCAGACATCTCCACCACCTGGAGGTGCCTGCCTGGGACCTGGACTGCTTTCACACACTGTTACCATGTTCTGTAGAATATTCGGGAACCAAAAAGCTTAGTTCTGTGCAGCCTTAATTGTTGCAACTTGGTCACAACCATGTTATTTTTTCATAAATACAAAACATCCATTTCACAGAGAGAACAATTATAACAGCAGGCGAAAATTCTTTTTCTTAATGCTGACATGGACCATTCAAAGCGGAAGAATATTCTTCAAACCTGTGAGCCGTTCCATCAGAAATTCAGCATTCTGTGCCTACTGAACACAGCCTTCATGGGGCTGTTTCTGGGTTCCTCTCCCTTTAGAGCTCCTCCATCTATTTCTGTACTTCTGCAAATCTTGGGTTTCCCCCCAGCCTACTAATACCTTCCTCGTGAGTACAGTAGTACCTCGGGTTACAGGCGCTTCAGGTTACAGACTCCGCTAACCCAGAAATAGTACCTCAGGTTAAGAACTTTGCTTCAGAATGAGAACAGAAATTGCGCTGCGGCAGCAGGAGGCCCCATTAGCTAAAGTGGTGCTTCAGGTTAAGAACAGTTTCAGGTTAAGAACGGACCTCCGGAATAAATTAAGTACGTAACCAGAGGTACCACTGTATGTGTGTGTGTATATGTGGTGCTGTTTTGACTACATAGGGACACTGCTAGGGCCGGATCACTGGGCACAGGTCGGTGGGCTCACAGGCCCTGAGCCCCGCTAAATGACAGGGCCAAGATGGCTGGCAATTCCCACAAGAGCAGTGCTGCCGCAGTAATAGGGTGAAGAGCCAAACATTAGCCACTGTTAATTCTCCAAAATGTCTCTGGGTCCCACTTACCTCCAGAAGCATTCTGAGAAAGCAAAATGACTGTCTGGAGCTAATAATAATAATAATAATAATAATAATAATGTTGTTTCAGGGACTGCTAGGGCCACCTGGTACAGTCAAAGGGGTGGGGAGTAAGGCTGGGTGATACCTGGTTTTCAACACTGTGATATATCACCAGATTAAACATCACAATGTACTTATATATCACGATGTCTGAAATAAGGATGGAGCTACCGTATTTTTCGCTCTGTAAGACGCACCCAGTTTTTAGAGGAGGAAAACAAGAAACAAGAAAGCAACGTGAAGCCTCTTGAGCGGAGGCAGGAGCACTCCGGCTGCGCTCAAGAAGCTTTGCGTGGCTATCCCTGAAGCCAGGAGAGCAAGAGGGATTGGTGTGCCCTGATCCCTCTTGCTCTTCTGGCTTCAGCAATAGCTGCGCAGCCTGTATTCGCTCCATAAGATGCAGACACATTTCCCCTTACTTTTTAGGAGGGGAAAAGTGCGTCTTATAGAGTGAAAAATACGGTATGTAGAGCAGGCATAGGCCAGCTCGGCCCTCCAGATGTTTTGGGACTACAGCTCCCATCATCACTAGCTAACAGGACCAGTGGTCAGGGATGATGGGAACTGTAGTCTCAAAACATCTGGAGGGCCAAGTTTGCCTATGCCTGATGTAGAGACAGCTGCTGGCTTCACGGTTCCCCACCACTATTGCGATTTTTGCATAGTGTGCACGTGTGCATACATACACACACACACACACACACATCGTGGTTCGTGATATATTGCCAGGTCAAAAAATGATGAAACCAGTATCACAATGTGGACTTCAAACCAGTTTGGGATGATATATCGATATATCGTCCAGCCCTAGTGAGGGAGCCAGAGATGGCGAAGCTGGCCAGACAAGCAATGGCGGGGAGGCCATGGCAGGGAAGACAAGATTAGATCCCTTCCTCTAATCTTTTTCCAAAATCAGAATGCAGAAGCCCGTCTGACGTTCGGCTTCCAAAAATAGTTCGCAAACTGAAACACTCACTTCCGTATTTGCGACCTTCGGAGTCAAAACTGGCAAGGCGTTCAACTTCCAAGGTACGAGTGTAAAAGCTAAAAGATCCTGCCAAGTTATTTGACCTTGGACCTGATCCTTCTAGGAGCTGTGAAAATCAGGCCACCCCTACTCTCCAACCCTACCCCCAAGCTCCAGTCCTGTTCCACTAGGGAGATTCTGGGGCAAATGAGCCATTTAAAATCTTGCTTGCTCAAACCTCCAAGTGTTTTGCTCCTTTACCGTTGTCTATTTTCTGGGCTGTTCTGGGATCAAAATTCAAGTATTTCTGAAGTTCCGGGGTCCAGTTCTTCATATCATTTTCACTGTATCTTCCCTTCCAGCGGAGGTGGCTCCAGGGATTTTTCAGCTGGAGGAATCGAAGCCCCTAAACGAAGAAAAGAAACTAAGGAGTATCTGGCATTTTCCATTAGGTTGTACCACCCTACACCCCCAATGAATACAGGAAATCAAATGAGCTGAAAGTCTTAAAACAATCCGGATAAAGCTGATTTGGAAAAGATGTTCCATGGTTTCCTATTCTTCAGCTTTCAAGCAGCACAAGAGGACGCAAGATTTTTAAAATATAAAAACCTGCCAATTTAAAGGAGGTATTGCCAAAAGCTCTGATGCATTTATTCCCACGGGTACCTTGTATTCTCTGATATCCAAAACAGCGTAGGCATGGGTTGGTACTAAACCCCACCTTTCTCCTTCCTCCTCAGTCATCACTCCCGTCGCCGTTGTAATGAGCACGTCCCCTTTGCGAAATCTGGTCACAAAGAAGAAGAATGTTGACTTTCTGAGTTTGCTTACAGATGGAGTAACAGAACCACTAATGCTTCTTATTAGTCTATCCTTATCCATTTGAAATAGATAGAAATAGATAGGCGAATAGAAGGGAAGAGATGGAGGCAGTGAGAGATTTTACTTTCTTGGGCTCCATGATCACTGCAGATGGTGACAGCAGCCGCGAGAATTAAAAGACGCCTGCTCCTTGGGAGAAAGGCGATGGCAAACCTAGACAACATCTTAAAAGCAGAGACATCACCTTGCCAACAAAGGTCCGTATAGTTAAAGCCATGGTTTTCCCAGTAGTGATGTATGGAAGTGAGAGCTAGACCATAAAGAAGGCTGATCACCAAAGAATTGATGCTTTTGAATTATGGTACTGGAGGAGACTCTTGAGAGTCCCATGGACTGCAAGAAGATCAAACCGATCCATTCTGAAGGAAATCAGCCCTGAGTGCTCACTTGGAAGGACAGATCCTGAAGCTGAGGCTCCAATACTTTGGCCACCTCATGAGATGAGAAGACTCCCTGGAAAAGACCCTGATGTTGGGAAAGATGGAGGGCACAAGGAGAAGGGGATGACAGAGGACCAGATGGTTGGACAGTGTTCTCGAAGTTACCAGCATGAGTTTGACCAAACTGCGGGAGGCAGTGGAAGTCAGGAGTGCCTGACGTGCTCTGGTCCATGGGGTCACAAAGAGTCGGACACGACTAAACAACAACAACAACAACAAGATCCTTTTGAAGAAGAGAAAAGAAAGGCAGATGTCATCCTGGAAACCTTAACGAAGCGGTGGCATAAATTGATGCCTCTCAGAGGTTGCGGCACAGGGGTGGAAGACAGATAAGAAATCTCGAAGAACTATTTCAGGAGTTATTAATAATAATAATAATAATAATAATAATAAATAAATAAATAAAGAAATAAAAATTTATTTATACTCCGCTCTCCCCCGGCCAGAGCCAGGCTCAGAGCGGCTAACACCAATAAAATTTGAGTAAAAACATAATAAGAAAAAAGAAAAAGAAAAAGAAAAAAACAATTTAAAATACAGGTTAAAATGCAATTTAAAAAGCAGCCTCATTTAAATTGTAGCTAGAACTAAAGTAAATCCCCTCCTCTCTTCCTGTAGCTGGTGGAAACCAACTCCCATTATCTTCCACCATGGTTGGAGCTGATGGGATTTTAAAATAAAATAAATAATATATAATAATACCAGATTTTTAAAATTAAATCAGATTTTTAAAATAAAATGCTTTTGGAGGAAAAACCATTCTAAAGATAGTTTTCTATTTAAGTTACATTATAGTCCAAAGGCTATTCATCAGGAAATAAGGATTTCCTTTAAGTTTTTCATGTGTGCTAAAACTCAGTCTGAAGTTTTTTAAAAAAAATTGTTTAACCACATCAGTTAACAAACATCGATGCTATAATGTTATTGTTTTAGTTAAATAATTGTTTAAATTGTTATTGAGGAAATGTTTATTTTCTCCTCCCAATAAAGTACAGCAGAAAAGTTGTCCAAATATAAACAGCTAACTTATTAAACCTCACAATAATTTCATAACTATCTGTCTATGTATTTCTAATAGTATAACCAAATCAGTAATTTTTGATATAACTGTACAAACTGTTCTGAAAATTTATTATTCCAAAAATGAAACCTTCATCTGCTTGTAAATATGCAAGAATGAATCTGTCTGTAAAAAAATATGATTTAAATCAAGTCTTACTGACTAGTGATTTAAATCGTGATTTAAATCGATTTGATTTAAATCAAATCCACCCTGATTGAAGTCCAACAGCACTTGACTACCCCCGAGCTTATACCACAAAACTTTAGTTCCTAGTATTTCTAATTAAACAGAGAAGCATGGGACCGAGGGATGGAGAAATTTAATTGGACTGTTTGGACTATACGATAATTGGACTAATTATCATTTTGCGAGTATGGAATCTGGAAGGTATGTGCTATTTATATTTGGCTGAATGGAGGAATGGAAGGAATCTGGAAACTTGCCAAGTGCACTGGAAAGATAACAGATCCTTCTTCTTCCAAGGCTGGGAGGAAAATGGCGAAAACAGGTCACTGACTGGGATAGAGTGACTTTTGCAGCTATTGTTAAAGCCACAAAAACAAAGAGCATGGGACTGAGTGAGGGAGAAATTTCTGGAACAACCCCGGGATATCAGCTCCGCTCAAGGCATGACAGATTGCAGCAACGACCAGGGAAAGATTGGCATACATGGACAGGAAGAAACATCCTGGACAGAACAAATGTCACACACAGGAAAAACAATGATACAGTATGAGATCTTCACTTGTAGACTTTGTTGTTGTTGTTTAGTCGTTTAGTCGTGTCCGACTCTTTGTGACCCCATGGACCAGAGCATGCCAGGCACTCCTGTCTTCCACTGCCTCCCGCAGTTTGGTCAAACTCATGCTGGTAGCTTCGAGAACACTGTCCAACCATCTCGTCCTCTGTCGTCCCCTTCTCCTTGTGCCCTCCATCTTTCCCAACATCAGGGTCTTTTCCAGGGAGTCTTTTCTTCTCTTGAGGTGGCCAAAGTATTGGCGCCTCAGCTTCAAGATCTGTCTTTCCAGTGAGCACTCAGGGCAGATTTCCTTCAGAATGGAGAGGTTTGATCTTCTTGCAGTCCATGGGACTCTCAAGAGTCTCCTCCAGCACCATAATTCAAAAGCATCAATTCTTCGGCAATCAGCCTTCTTTATGGTCCAGCTCTCACTTCCATACATCACTACTGGGGAAAACCATGGCTTTAACTATATGGACCTTTGTTGGCAAGGTGATGTCTCTGCTTTTTAAGATGCTGTCTAGGTTTGTCATTGCTTTTCTCCCAAGAAGCAGGCGTCTTTTAATTTCGTGGCTGCTGTCACCATCTGCAGTGATCATGGAGCCCAAGAAAGTAAAATCTCTCACTGCCTCCATTCCCCCCCCCCCTTCTATTTGCCAGCAGGTGATGGGACCTGTGGCCATGATCTTCTTAATGTGTCAACATGAATAGAAGTTACAAATATAGCAGCTGTTGTATAAGGGATTACTACTATGATGGGAATGTAATTGAAATCAGTAAGATTTTGGAATGTAGAAACAAAGAAAATCATCAAAATAATCTATTCTAGTCCTTGGGGGGGGCACGTAAATTATATAATTTGGAATTTGAATGATTTGTATTAGGAACTGTATTATAATTTGGCATTGTTCTAATGAGGCTATTATTGGATTATTGTAACTGAAAAAATATTAAAAATTATTATATACTAAAAGTATTCCTAATTAAACCAGATTCGAATCCTATCCTGAAGTCATCCATATTTACCTGCAGCATCTGAAACAACAAAAGCTCAAACACCAAACATACCACAGCTTTTACTTCATGCCCCTTTGAAAAATATTTCTACTTCTGCCTTAAGTCCAAAGAAAGGCAGAATTCAGCCAGAAGCTTGTCAATATTTCTGGCCAATTGGTGTATTTCTTTTTAAAGTCTAACAGAGGACTGAAACACACTACCACCAAAGTGCCATTTTCTACATCAGTCTCTCTCACTATAGATAAAGACCATACCTTCATCAATTGCTCATTAGTATTTGCTAGCCATGGCACTAGCAAGTGTAAAAATACAATGGAACTATTCCGCTTATAACACCAGAGCCTCTTAAAATATATATATATATCAGCCGTAAGTTACCTTTGGTAAAGCATCCTGAAGGAACTGTCTTTGTCAAAAGACTGGTTGCCTGAGTGCATGGCAATCCTTTCGGGTATCCAGCCAGTCAACGCATGGAGATCAATATTCTGAAATAAAAGCAGATTTCCTCGGTAACAAAAACAGCAGTATAACCCAGGACTGTGAAAAAGCCATCCATGCGGGGGGAAATTGCTATTTTTGAAAAGCAAGAAGTTTAATAAAAAGTATGGTTCCAGTTCTGAAACTTCCAGTTTTCATTTCCTTTTGGTGCTGGCCTACGTGAAACTTTTTAGGAGGTAACAGAAGGCTAATGCACAGAAAAGCAGCTTGTTGAAAATGCCATGGATTTTGCAGCAGCCATCAGAAATTTTCAGATTCAGAGGAAACAGAACTGCACTGGCTAACACAGCTTCTTTCTTCCTTACCTTTGGCCACAGTATAATGGTTTCTTCCCTCCATCATCACAGAGATGCAGCTGAAAATGTGATATCAGTAAGGGCCAAAGCCTCAGAAACTAGAGACCAAGTTGTGGTACCCAAATGCATCTTTTCCCCTAGAATTTCATCCATAAAGCCCCATTCTAGACTTCAGTCGTGCTAACTTGCATTTGCCAAGAACATTCCCCAAATAAGGCCAACTTAAATATAACTTACTCCTACAGAGATTATTTGCCGTGCTGGAAAAAAGCACACATGCTACAATGAACAAAAAGCAGAGATCGTATTTTGTTTATGATGGCATCCGTCTATTTTACATTCTCTACTTGGGATTAATGAAAGAGCTCTTCATAATGGGAAGATCTGCCTGAACAGACATTTACTCCTTGCCAAGAACAGATCAGTACTCACAGAATTTGATCCTGGAAAATCATAACCTCCCATAACCTTCATGTAAGCTTTCTCTATCAAGGAAACCCAGAGTTCGCTTTTGTTGTTGGAGTAAGAGCAGAGAAGTTCTCCGCTGTGATCCACCGGTAGGAAGTCATCGATTATCACCTGGGCAAAACAGGACAGAGAGAGATCAAACCAAGAGCTTAAATAAGACAGCTGTGGCAGCTTCGCGTGGAATTAAGTAAGTCACACAGAAGAGTCAGGCTCATAGAACGAAGAATATACATTGGCTCTAGCCAAGCGTTCTGACAATGTGTTGATTAAAACATGAGATGCGGGGGACATGGGGGCACTGTTAGCTATTTGTGATAAAAAAAGACACCTTACACAAGACTTGAAGATAATTTTTGCTTGTCAGGTTGGCAACAGTTGAACAACAAGTATTATTCATATAGTCATACCTTGGATCCTGAACACCCTGGAACTTGGATATTTTGGCCCCTAAATGATCGAAACCCGGAAGTGACTGTTCTGATTTTTGAACTTTCTTTTGGAAGCCGAATGTCTGACGGGACTTCTGATTGGCTGCAGGAGCTTCCTGCAGCCAATCAGAAGCCGCGCTTTGTTTCCAAACATTTTGAAGAAGAAGAAGGAGTTTNGATTTGATATCCCGCCTTATCACTACCCTAAGGAGTCTCAAAGCGGCTAACATTCTCCTTTCCCTTCCTCCCCCACAACAAAGACTCTGTGAGGTGAGTGGGGCTGAGAGACTTCAGAGAAGTGTGACTAGCCCAAGGTCACCCAGCAGCTGCATGTGGAGGAGCGGGGAAGCGAACCTGGTTCACCAGATTACGAGTCTACCACTCTTAACCACTACACCACACTGGCTCTTGGAAGTTGAACGGATTTCCAGAATGGATACTGTTCAACTTCCAAGATACGACTGTATACTGTATATTAATGAACACAATGTGTTTCTCTCCCTTGAGCCCAAGAGAGGGTTTAGTCCTTTTTGTTTTCAAAACTCCTTCATAGGAGTGCCTAAGGTAATAATCCACAGATTGCTTGTCCTCACAAACTCCTCCAGACAGTGTCTGCCTGAAATCAGCACTCTCTCACGTTCTTGGCCAAAGAAACAACTAACAGAATAACCAGCCAACTCCCACCTGCCACCTCCTTTCCCCAATACCATTTAAAAAAAAATACATTTACAATGCAAATGCAATACAAATCCTAACAGACACCTGCCAATATTGTTGTTCCCCTGCAAAAGCTGTGAATTGCGTGTGGTGGGGGGCAAGGTCTTATTTTTGTGGTATATTCATCCTTGTGGAGACCCCCATGTGTTCAGTCAACACCTTAATAGGATATAATTACATAAAATTCTAACCATCAACCTAACAAGCAAACAATCATGACCTTACCTTCCGAGGGACCCCATTGATATGCAGCTTAACCATGTATTTTCCACACGGCTTATATGCCGGCACTCCTTTTTGATTCTCTGGATAAATAACGCCGTCCTCACGGGGGGAAGGAAAGCGACCGGGGGAAATATTAGAATATATTCTGTGGGCATGTTGTGGACTAAGCCAAGTCTATTTCAATCCTGTATTGTCAACTTAAAGCTTAAGAAAGAGTTGGTATCGTATGCTATTTAGTGTTAAACCCACACCTGAGGGAAAGGTTCTCAGTTATACAGAGAACTGAAAGTCCCAAACAGTAAAGGACACCAGCGACCACAATGGAGTTAGGCATATAAAATTGCAGAAAACACAAATTATTAGGGTAGAGATGCCAGAGGTTTGAACCTGGAACTTTTTGCATGTAAGATGCTCTAGAGCTGAGCTATAGGTAAAAGGTAAAGGACCCCTGGACAGTTAATTCCAGTCAAAGGCGACTATGGGGTTGCGGCACTCATCTCGCTTTCAGGCCAAGGGAGCCAGCATTTGTCTGCAGGCAGCTTTCCGGGTCATGTGGTCAGCAGGACTAAACCGTTTCTGGCGCAACGGAACACTGTGACGGAAACCAGAGCGCACGGAAATGCCGTTCACCTTCCTGCTGCAGTGGTACCTATTTATCTACATGCACTGGTGGGCTTTCGAACTGCTAGGTTGACAGGAGCTGGGACAGAGCAATGGGAGCTCACTCGGTTGTGGGGATTCAAACGGCCAACCTTCTGATCGGCAAGCCCAAGAGGCTCAGTGGTTTAGACCACAGCACCCCCATGTCCAAAATAAATAAATAAAATTAAATAAATAGTACAAAGTATATAACTTTTATAACCTCACCACTTATGCCATGCAGTGGTGCAACGTATTTAGATCATGTCATGAACAGCCCAGTCATTCTTACCATACTGACACAACTGGGCTTCCTGCTCACTAGTGAATCATGCAGCCAGCACCTTCCTTGCCATGGCAAAACTTTGGGTGGAGTGAATGGAGAACTTGATGAATGATATAGTCATGCACTGATTTCCCTAGAAATTGGGAGGGATAGACACAATGCACTGGGCTCCTGTTACTAGCGGCAACCTTGCATTTGTTGTCATCCTGTCTTGGTTGCAGACCAAGTGTCTAGATCTAGAGATCTAGCCTGGGTATCATGGGCCAAAAGGTGGTGCTGAGCTTCATCGACAAATTTGATGTTACCAGTCAGGACTCTGGCTGCAGGTTTCCAGAGCACGTTAAAATAGCCAAAATGACCAGAAGAATCAGAAATCAGGACGACCAAAATTTTTAATAAGGAACAGGGAAATTTATAATTTACCTTAAAAATCATTGTAAACAGTTAAAATCATTAGTAGGATTGGAGTAACATTTGTAGTTTAGTGGTGAATTTTGGATATAATGGAGATGTAAAAGATCTGTATTATTATAAAAGATGCAAGAGGAAATGATTAATAATAGGACCCACAAGGAGGCAGGAGGGAAGTCCAGGAGATTCTTTGGAATCTTGTTTTTATGTTGTATGTTGGATATGTGATTGTAAAATTATAATTTGAAAAACTAAATAAATATATATTTATAAGATATAGCCAGAAAGCACATAGATAGTGAAGCTGCCAAGTTCCTTCCAGCACATTTTTATATTTAAAAAAATTTGAAAACAAAAACTTTGCAGATCATCTGCCAGAACAGAGCTATACCTGGTAATCAGCTTCTTGTTGTATCGTCTTTCATATGCTGCACTGATAGCAAGAGAAGCTACGAAGGAACAATCTGACACGATTGTCTGAGGACAGAAAGAGTCAAGGGTCAAGGAGTGTCAGAACTACCCAAACTATATAGAAATTTATTCATGTATGCGACTACAGTGGCAAGAATGTCTCTTGCCCAAAAATGGAAAGTCGTCGTCCCAGCAAAAGAAGAATGGATACAAAAACTTATGGAATATGCAGAAAAGGTAAAACTTACTGGAAAAATAAGAAACTAAGATAACAAACTTTTTATAATAGTATGGAAGTGGTTTATTGAATATTTACTTATAAATTGCAAACAGATAAAAATATTGGCAGGATCATTGTAATAATCTGCAGTTTTATAAGAGTATATACAGTGGTGCCCCGCAAGACGAATGCCTCGCAAGACGGAAAAACCGCTAGACGAAAGGGTTTTCCGTTTTGGAGTTGCTTCGCAGGACGAATTCCCCTATGGGCTTGCTTCGCAAGACGAAAATGTCTTGCGAGTCTTGAGATTTTTTTTTCACTTTTCCCCCCCTTTATCTAAGCTGCTAAGCCTTTAATAGCCTTTTAGCAGCTAATCCGCTAAGCCTTTAATAGCCGCTAAACCGCTAATAGCGCTAATCCATTAAGCCGCTAATAGGGTTGCTTCGCAAGACGAAAAAACCGCTAGACGAAGACACTCGCGGAACGGATTAATTTCGTCTTGCGAGGCACCACTGTATTTAAAGTAGATGAACAAATGAGCAAATTAAGTTAATTCGGATATGCAGAAAATATTAAAAATAAATTTAAGGAACTGTAGAAAGAGGGGAAGGAAGTTTTGAAATGTTAAAATGATTGTAAAATTACTGAAATGTATAAAACTGAAAATCATAAATGAAATATAAAAAATGAGGTGCCACTGACAAGCAGGCCAATGTAAAGAGGATTTGGGGGTGGGGGGAAGGACCCAACAATAAATTAGATCTCTCAACTGATCGGAAATGTGGGGAAAGAACTGAGTCAATTCAAGGCAAATAAATATGCTTGAAACTGTAAACACCAGTTTCCTCAAAGGTCAGGTAACCACACAGGGATGGGGAGCCAGAGGCCCTCCATATTGCCAGGGATGATGGGAACTGGAGCCTAGATATAGCTGCCACATAGCTCCCATCTCTGATATACCAGTTCTAACCTCAAAGCACCCAAACCTCTGGATTCTTCATCAGATCCAAAGGCATTGAAGAAAATATTCTCCATTTACTTTGACAGATGAGAAAGAACCACTGATTCTGTTTCCCTCTAAAGCATTCCTCTAAACACACCTTCTCCAACTGCAGCAGAGCAGGGCTAGGGAACCTGCAGCCCTCCAAATGTGACTGAACTCGAACTCCCACCCTGGCTGACCACTGGCTAAGCTGCTCAGGATTAATGGGAGTTGGAGGTCAATACTACCCATGTTAAGGTAAGGTAAAGGGACCCCTGACCATTAGGTCCAGTCATGGCTGACTCTGGGCTTGCGGCGATCATCTCGCTTTAGTGGCAAAGGGAGCCAGCGTACAGCTTCTGGGTCATGTGGCCAGCATGACTAAGCCGCTTCTGGCGAACCAGAGCAGCACACGGAAACACCGTTTACCTTCCCGCTGGAGTGGTACCTATTTATCTACTTGCACTTTGACGTGCTTTTGAACTGCTAGGTTGGCAGGAGCACTTATAGCCTGCAATGAAATGGCCCTTCCGATTCCTGAATTAGGGCTCTGACACGTAATTAATACTTTCTGGTAGTGTGGGGGTTCTGAACATTGCTCACAGGAAGGCAACAGTGTATGAAAGAACATCAAAGCGAAAGCTCTCTTTGCAGACTGTGAAAGTGTCAGCTTCTGCCGTCTTGCTTTGTTTCTCTTATTTGAAGATAGCCAACTGTGTCAGATCCTCCTTACCTGTTTTATGCTGAAGCTCGACACTGTGTAGATCAAGGTGGGGCTGTTTGTTATCTCATCAGGCCGCACCCAGCGGAAAACATTGCCTTCTGCTTGGGAGACAACGGCAGCTTGCCACATCTATCTCTGCAATCAAAGCAATCCCCACCCCAAACCAAAAGTCACTGCTAAGTATGAAATCCACGAGCTGGTAAAATCACTTTATCACACATCATTTTTATCAGGGCAAATCAGGAAGCAATACCCAAAAGGTTTTCTGCCCACCTATGAAGATTCAAAAGACCACCTGAGCCTCCGCTCCTAATTGTTCTTGTTCCCTTTGGGCTCTTAGCTATCCAAACCTGGAATTCCAGCCTCCAGTTCATGATCAGCCTTGCTTGGGCTCCTACACTGAATTAAGGTGAAAGGTAAAGGACTCCTGGACTGTTAAGTCCAGTCAAAGGTGACTACGGGGTTGTGGCATTCATCTCGCTTTCAGGCAAAGGGAGCCAGGCGTTTGTCCACAGACAACTTTCCAGGTCATGGGGCCAGCAGGACTAAACTGCTTCTGCCGCAACAGAACACTGTTTACCTTCCCGCCATAGTGGTACCTATTTATCTACTTGTGCTGGCGTGCTTTTGAACTCCTAGGTTGGCAGGAGCTGGGACAGAGCAACGGGAGCTCAACCCGTCGCGGGGATTCGAACGGCCAACCTTCTGATCAGCAAGCCCAAGAGGCTCAGTGGTTTAGACCACTGCGCCACCCGATGAATTATACCCTGCTTGCCCCAATATTTACCGCTGTGAAGACTACTTAGGCCTCATGACCAACAACCAAAGCAATCTCCTTGTAATATATGCAGATCCTGGCAATCAATCTGTATTTGAGTTTATTTCCTAGGCTCCTTACAAACGAGTCTACTCCGCTTCGGTTCCAGAAAGCCACAATATAAAATAGCTCTTTTTTTAGCAATAGTTGCTTTACAATCTGCTTTTAATTTTTCATTCTTTGCTGCTTTTTTTATATCTTCATACTGTTTTGTTTTGCCAGTATCACTCAACTGCTGCTGTCAGAATATTGTTATAACAGTCTTAGATTGTGGCTTTATGGATTGTAATGTGTGATCATGCAATTTTATCTTTTTAATATGGAGCAAATATTCATCGGCAATTACTTTTGAGATTGACTTCCAGACTCAAATGTGTACATGTTTCCCCTGCCACACTTTCTTTAAATCTGAAGACCTCTCAAGCCTCCTTAGCATTAGGGCTGTAGGGCTCATGAGTTACTTCCAGCAGCGTAAGAGAGTAAGAAGAGATGCGCTTCAGAGACCACAAAGACCACAGAGACCATTTTGAAAAAAAGCTTTGGAAAAGTTGCCCACTTAACTCATTCATGATTCTACAATCCTAAGTCAGTGTGAAACAGTTAAAACTCTGGAAGATACTAATAACAGGAGCATGCAGACCTCTGGAGTCTTACAAGTTAAAAATAAAGCTTTCTTCCATTTTATAAATACCATATTAGGTTATGGTCTGATTAATTACAACTTTTTGGGAAATGTATACAATTTTTGTTTTTGTTGTGTTTTGTTTTCTACATGGGTAGTATTCTTTCTTTTCTTTTTTTTGTGTGTCTTATCTTACTCTGTGCACTTGCAATTATGTACTTTTTATCTTTGGCCAGGGTGCAGTCTGACCTATTTTCCTTTGTATAAGAACAAGCATGAAGGAGGCCTCCCAGCCTGTCCACAGGTCCTTATACGATCCGTGAAAACAGTTGGTCCTGGCAAGTATTAACCGCTCTCAGTCTTAACCTGATAACTGCCATTTGTGCAGATTATAATTTGTCTGAATTAATTTTAAGACATATTTTAATTAATTGATGCCTGTTTTTATGTATACTGTGTTATTTATATGATGTTAGCCACTCTGAGCCCAGCTCCAGCCGGGGAGGGCGGAGTACAAATAAAATATTATTATTAATTATTATTATAATTATCTTTCAATAAAGAATATATGTATATATAAAATAAAGTTTTCTTCCAGCTTCCACTGCACTGATCAGTCAGGGTTCAAGAAGCCCATTCATTTATTGCATTTCGTCTATTACAGATGTCCCTTTCTAAAAGCATGTAAAACCACAAGTACAAAGAGGTGCCCACTATTTTGCAGCCTCTCTAACATTTGTCGGTGCTTCAAGGTTCCTTAATCTGAAGTTGAATGGCCTGTAAGCATTTTTCCTAACAGTAGCAGTGTTCAAAAATTTAACAGGGGTACTGCAGATGTCAAGACTATTTCTATAGCGCGTATAGTTGAATGAATTCACCTACGATGAGCAGGCGGCAACAGCTTACTTTTCACACCGCCCTTTCAAGGGAGCACCTGAACATTGTTCCCCAGAGACAATTCTTAAGAATAATAAGGAATGAGAAAGCATTTCGGTGAGTCCATAGCTAGGCAGCTTATATTCACTTACGAGAAAGGTACTGGAAAAGCAAAACGCTCTCTGAGGTCAACGCTCATGAAAGGGACGTACTCAATGCCATTGATCTTTGATGTCTTCCTATGAAAACAGGATGCAAGATGTCAGGACCACAATGCTATTCAAATGCATTTGTTTCCACCCAGACAGGCTCTAAATGAACAGCTGAGGTATACCTGCCTGCTTAATGCCTTTAGAATTTTTAGTATGGGAACGGGAGCAAGACGCAGTGGATGGTCTCGTTTAAAAGAGCCAACAAATTTTCCCCTTCAGTTTTGCATTGAAAGCTTTGTTCACATGGTCATTAGCCCTGAATGTTCTGGCCACCAAAGGTTCAAAGCAGAAATGGCTGGTTGAGTTAGATAAAGAGGTGGGGAGGTCAGTGTGGTGCAAACACAGCGTCTTAAAATAGACACTGCTTCCCCAGACCACCAGGGGGCTCCATCTCTTTGAAGCTTGCCTGCCAGGCAGGAAGTTACTACTGTAGCCTTCCCCTGACTTCCTCCAAAGCTGTACAAAGTCCTATTTGTGTTGGCTTGTTTTAAAAGGGCAGCAGGAGTGGTGGCGGCAAACCTGTATCTCCTTTAGCAGCAATGCTATTCCGCGCCAAAATATATGGATACATTTATCAGCTAAATATCCTGCTGTTAGCCTTAGTACATTTGCATCCCGAAGGGAAATGGGATTAGAATTACACGTTGCTTGATCATTGGCATAAACTCCACGATAAAGTCGGCACGCCTTCTTGATATTTAAGAGCCGTGCAACATTTGCTGTTGTTGTAACTGTTAGGATATTGATGTTCCATTCCGCCTTAAGAGGAACAGATATGTGGAGTTGTTGTAAGTCACATGTCTATTTACTTCCAGCATAGTCTGCTGGGAACTTCCGTTGTATATTGCTTTTGCTATGCTGCTGTTTTGCTTGGACACGAAGGGAAGCAGACATGTTTTCCCTTTGTTCCTGAACTATGCTGAATAAAGGTAAAGTTACCCCTGACCATTAGGTCCAGTCGTGACCGACTCTGGGGTTGCGGCGCTCATCTCGCTTTATTGGCCGAGGGAGCTGGTGTACAGCTTCCGGGTCAAGTGGCCAGCATGACTAAGCCGCTTCTAGCGAAACAGAGCAGCGCACGGAAATGCCATTTACCTTCCCGCCGGAGTGGTACCTATTTATCTACTTGCACTTTGACGTGCTTTCAAACTGCTAGGTTCGCAGGAGCAGGGACCGAGCAACGGGAGCTCACCCCGTCACCGGGATTCGAACCGCCAACCTTCTGATCGGCAAGTCCTAGGCTCTGTGGTTTAACCCACAGCGCCACCCGCATCCCTGTAAATAATGCTTACACATGTCTCTGTCCGCCACTTCCATTGCAAAGAGTTCTTACCTCTGCTGGCTTGCGTGCTTAAGCTTCTGAAGGCTTCTGAGGCTGATTGATGCTGTTCTGAGATCTGGAGTTCACCTGGCTGCTGGCCGGTGGCTGGAGCCAGCTGGGGGCCTGCCAAAGCCCCCGTCTCCCAGACGCATTCCAACAGAATCATCACATCGGTCTACAATCTGGTGCTTTCAACAATCCCATGCATGCTTGCTCAGAAGTAAGCCTCACTGTGTTCAGTGGGACGGGCTCCCTGGTTTAAGTGTGCACCCGACTGCAGTCTAAATGAGGCAACCCATTTTCAACAAGCCTGGAAAACTGTTCCCTTTCCTTACCTGAGCACCTCAATCTCCTCCGCGGTGTATCGCTGACCTTGAGGTTCACTGGCCTGCACAGCTCTGACTGCCTGTGGCTTATCGTTCAAGGAAAAATCAGGCCCCAATGGAAAGTAAGTCCTGGCTTGCTGATTTGGTTTCGCTGGGACCGGCTTGTCTTTCTGAGACGGCTTTGAATCCTTCAGCGCTTCAGCTCTAAAATAGAGAGTTTGCATTTTAGACGCATCAAGAGTTTTTATTTCATTGGTGGCAGTACATTGTGAATCCTCCTATAAATGCCTCCAATCATATACTACTCATTTTGCTATGTAAAAATGCAAAAAATATTAATTGCTTTTGTGAGAACGAATGATTAAAAAACAAACAAGGCAAGCGTGACTGCATATTTCTTACGTACCGTATTTTTTGCTCTATGACTCACTTTTTCCCTCCTAAAAAGTAAGGGGAAATGTGTGTGTGTCTTATGGAGCGAATGCAGGCTGCACAGCTATCCCAGAAGCCAGAACAGCAAGAGGGATTGCTGCTTTCACTGCACAGTGATCCCTCTTGCTGTTCTGGCTTGTGAGATTCAGAATATTCTTTTTCTTGTTTTCCTCCTCCAAAAACTAGGTGTGTCTTATGGTCTGGTGCGTCTTATAGAGCGAAACATACGGTATTTGCATTCTTAAGCTTCTCGTATACTCTACATGTTAAACGTCCATAAAACCTTTGTTTCATACAGCCCAAGGATTCCTGTACAGCAAGAACAGCATATGCAATCTAACATAGAAACCACTCAAGACAGTTCTTTCAACTAAAAGAAAACCTGAAAATTTTGTGCATACTAACAGGAATCATGTAACCATTTATTTAGCAAGTTTCTTGTTGCGTTGTCTTGCTAGAGATTTGTGTACAGCCAGAAATTTAGCTGAAAACAGCTATGTTTTCTATTCTTCTAAATACAGTACACAGATAATCAGAATATGCTTCAGGATTTCCTTCATTTAAACAGTCATCCTTGATGGTCCAAGCTCTTATACCAACACAAGTGCAATGCAAACAAATCCACACTCACAATTATCTATGCAAGGCATCACTGGCCTAAACTAAGAGGGAAGAACTGGTTTTTGTAAAAAAAAATTCACTGCATAGTTGCCTGGAAGCAGCTCCCATTCACCGTAGATGACCAAAGAGAATAACTGTATCTACACGGCTCGTTCTCTAAATACACAACTGATCATTGTTTTTTGCAAGAGAGGGCATCTCGTGGATGCCATCCTATCAGGAAGTCTATTCTGAACAATGTTGAAATTTGGCCTTTGGAACTCCCTCCCACTGCATATCAGATAGGTGCCTTCTCCATTAGCTTTCTTGCTAAGGATATTCCGCTTTCGACAAGCCTTCTAAAACCTTTAGCACACTTGGGATAAAGTTTTGCACGGCTTTTAATGCTGCAACCCATCCTGGGATGTTACAGTGAAGGATGCATAACTAATAAAACATATGAACAAACATGCTTTATGTATGCACTGTTTTTTAGAAACTGTTTTTATACTCATAACTACTTTTAAAACCTGTTTTAATATATGCAGCTATTTTAGACACATTGCTATATTGTAAATCAGTTTGGGAGGCCTTCTGGGCAGCGATTCGTAAATGAAAGAAACAAATGATTGCTGATATCAGCAGTGCTGACCAATATATGGAATTTCAAAATATATTGTGTTGTATCCAATGCTAGCCATCCTCAGAGCAGGCCCACTTAAATTAATGGACACGAGTAATGTTGGTTCATTCATTTCAACAAGTTATTCTGAGTACAACTTTGCTGGATGCAACCCTCTCAATTAGAATGCAACTAACACATTTATATAAGCCCAGTTTATTAAAACAAAATCCGATTAGAAACACACTCATAAAAATATAGCATGCATATATATATATATATCTATATATCATATGGAATTAAAGGACTTTATACAGCACTCATATTGGACACAGCTAACCCCTTTTCTATCTGATGTCAGTCACAATTTTGTTTGCATCTGTATTGTTTTAAATTGTTTTAAATATGTTTTTATTGCTTTGTTGCTTGTTGGTTGCTGCCCTGGGCTCCCTTTGGGTGGAAGGGTAGGAAATAAATCTAATAAAGAAACATTTTATTTGGAAACATTAAAAAACACACTACTTACTGTCGATATTCAAACAAAAATACAAACACCACAGCAAATCGCATTTCAGAAGGTAGCTGTGTGGATTTTGCTTTAGACTCTTATGGATTTGCACTAAGTTCTTTATTAAAATTAACAAGTAATGCAAACATGAATTTGAATATGCAGAAGATATAAAAAAATGAATTTAAGGAACCGCAGAAAGAAGGGGAAGGAAGTCAAACTTTGAATTGTTAAAATAATTGTAAAATTAATGAAATGTATAAATTTGAAAAGTATAAATAAAAAGTTTTTTTTTGAAAAGGAATGCAAAACACAGTATCTGCAGGCAGTGAACATTTCAAGGAGTGAAATGCTATTGCAGTGTCAATAAAGTTGCAAGCTTTTTCTCCAGCAAGGCTTCCCATACCTTTAAAAGCTACCTGACAGCCAGAAAAACTGTTTGTTTGTTGGTTGGTTTTTAAATGGAACAGAGACCTGCAGGTATTGGTCGGTATATAAATTCAATAAATAGCAACTACTACTACTACTTAGGAAACAGCGTTCTCACGCAATGTGCTCATACAAAGCTTCAAGAAACTCACCTGTCTAGTGCCTGCCGAGCCAGCTGCTTCAGTTTTGCCTGGAGACCTGTTTCTGAAGTTTCATTGGCCTTTAATATGAAAAAGGGGGGTTAAGAAGCCTAACCAGCAATCTACATACAGAAAAACAAAGAGGCCAGGGGGTAGGAAATGTCAATTCCTTCCTTTTATACTATCCAGAATGACGACACAAATCCTTCTAACAGACAAAAAAACCTCTCCGCAAGACTATTTTGTCTCAAACACTCAATAAAATGAAGGCAACTTGGATGCAGCCAAATAGCTGAAATTAGAGAAGCAAGAGCTTTAAAGAATAAGACCTGTTGGGTAGAAGAGCTCAGTCTACCTATTAGATAGACTCAAGCTAAGCCACTGCCTCTTAGCCTCAGTACTCTGCTAGGGCTGGGCAATATATTGATATATTGTCAAAAACCGGTTTGAAGTCCATATCGTTATATCGGCTTCATAATTTTTGGCCTGGCTATACATCGCGAATCATGGGATGGGTGTGGGTAGGTGGGTGTTATGCAAAAATCACAATGTGGGGGAAACCGTGAAGCCAGCCAATGCTTCTCTCGATTCCTGCAGCCCCTTTTAACTCTTGCCAGCTCAGCTCTCCCCTTCCTCATGCGGGGAGGGGGGGCAGCGAATCGCAAGAGCAGGCAGCGGCAAAAATCACAATTGCGTGTCGACCGGAAGAGTTCCTTGCCATGACATAATCCCATCAAGTTAAGTTGGTAGCTTAACGTACCGTTTTCAGGCAGAGTTCCACGGCTTCCGTGTACAGCTCTATCGCTTCCTCGCTGTTGCCTTTCTCGTCTTCGTCAAAAGCCTGCGTAACCAGGAAACGGGCCCGCTCCAAGTCCAGCTGCTGCTTTGACTTCAAGGGGTCGACTCTTTGCACTGGAGTAGGAAGAAGAACCATTCATTTCCCTTATTTAACCTGACTCATGATTATAGTTAAAGTGGTATCTCAGTGTCAGGGAACTGCCATCAGGTCAGAGGCGAGAGAGGGAAGTGCAGTTGTGTTATAGGGAACATCCGAAGATCTTACGAAGCAGCTCCTCCTCTGGCGAGGAGGAAAGCCCCGCCTCCAGTGGAGAGGAAGTGGTGGGAACAGGGGATGCAAGGGAGAGCCTCAACACCGAGGCTGAGCAAGCCGGAGAGGAGGGAAGGACCCCTTTGCCAGCGCCCATTCTGCGCAGTAGGTTTCGGCGCAAGGAAGGGAGGAGAAGGCTGGGGGTCACGCGACTGTTATGCTGGGGGAGGTACAAGGACTGCCCACTCCCAGATTCTGCTAGTGAGTGAGCCAGACATGAACTTGCAACACTCTTCACTGTAAATAGTTTGAACTACTAATAAAGCCTGGAAAAGACAGGTCCGAGTCTTGCCTGTTTGCTCTCGAGCAACCACACCATCACCTGACAATCAGGTTACAAACACCTCGGATTACAAACACTTCGGGTTACAGACTCCGCTAACCCGGAAGTAGTACCTCGGGTTAAGAACCTTACCTCAGGATGAGAACAGAAATCGTGTGGCAGCAGCGCAAGGCCCCATTAGCTAAAGTGGTACTTCGGGTTAAGAACGGTTTCAGGTTAGGACCGGACCTCCAGAACGAATTAAGTTCTTAACCAGAAGTACCACTGTATTTAGGTGCAGATCAGGTTGTGTGCTGTGCTGCTTCCATCAGAACATAGGAAGTTGCCTTCCTCATTGGGTCCATCTAGGATGGTACTGTCTATGGCTCTCCAGGATGTTCCTGGTCCTGCACTGAGATGCTGGAAATGAACTTGGGACTTCGTGCGAAAAAGATGTTCCACCACTGAACTGCATCCTTCTCCCCGCTCTGAAAATAATGGTGTTCATGGACAACACTAGCCTTGCAGAGGGAATGAATGGCTGTACTTTTATGTACACAATGGTTGCTGGCATCTGTCTCAAGAGACAATGGAGTGCGCCTTGGGGGGCAGTCAAACCACTGTCTTAGCAGCACTGAAGAGACCTCGCTGGGGCACAAGCCTGGTCAGTGTGTATGGAGGTCCTGGGTTGTCCAAACGACAAGATTGTTGGCATACAACCAAGGAAGTGGGGGCAACTGGCAGGCCCCCAGCTGGCTCTAGCGGTGTGCCTGATGATCTCCAGTCCTTCTTGCAGCATCTGCGACCCACAGCTTCAGAAGCTGGGGCACGCAACTCAGCAGAGATAACGCACAAACAGAAGTGGCAGGAGAGGTTGTGTAAGCATATTTACAAGCAGTTTATTCAGCGTAAAGGTAAAGGGACCCCTGACCATTAGGCCCAGTCATGACCGACTCTGGGGTTGCGGCGCTCATCTCGCTTTATTGGCCGAGGGATCCGGCGTACAGCTTCCGGGTCATGTGGCCAGCATGACTAAGCCGCTTCTGGCAAACCAGAGCAGCGCATGGAAACGCTGTTTACCTTCCCGCCGGAGCGGTACCTATTTATCTACTTGCACTTTGACGTGCTTTCGAACTGCTAGGTTGGCAGGACCAGGGACCGAGCAATGGGAGCTCACCCCGTCGCGGGGATTCGAACCGCCGACCTTCTGATCGGCAAGTCCTAGGCTCTGTGGTTTAACCCACAGCGCCACCCACGTCCCTTATTCAGCATACATCAGGACAAAAGGAAAACACGTCTGATCCCCTTCGTGTCCAAAGCAAGACAGCAAAAAGTGAAAGCTATACCCAAACGGAAGTTCCCAGCAAGCTGTGCTAGAGTGTAAATAGACACGTGACACACAACAGTCTCATGCCTCTCCCTTAAGGTGGAATGGAATATTCTAACAAAGATATCCCTCTTGGTAGGCCTGGGCGATATATCAATATTCGCCCAGGACCGGTATAAGCAGCAGACTGCGATGTCAGTTTCACTCAGCGGTATCTCCCTGGTGAAACCGCCACCGCGCCCGAGTCCCTCTGCTACTAGCGTCCGCTGGAGGAAGTCAACAGCTTGTTCCTCCCCCTGCATCTTTAAACTGCTCGACTGAGGAGTCTGCAGCTGTCCTTGCCTCGGTCGAGCAGTTAAAGGAGCCCCCAACTAGTGCTGGCTCCCACAAGCAGGCAGGGGGGTGGGGGCTCTGTGAAACTGTTCAGCTGAGGGGATCACAGCTGCCGCTCCCCACAGCGAGTGGCTAAAGGAGCCCCGATGCTCTGTCCGCTCGCCTGTGAGTGGCAAGATCGCCAGGGCTGTCTCTGCTGGGGAGGGGGAACCTATTATCCTCCAAACAACCCTATAAGGTAGGTTAAGAATTAGTGACTGGTCCATGATCACACAGAGAGCTTCACGGCCAAGTGGTAACTTCAACCCTGGTCTCCCAGGTCTGCGTCCAACACAGGGTCTGGTATGGTTTCAGATTGGGAGAACATATGATGAGATTCCTGCACTGCAGGGGGTTAGACTAGATGACCCTTGGTGTTCCTTCCAACCCTACAATTTCTCAGTTACCTCTAAGTTACTACACCACACTGGGTATAACATCTTTTCTAGAACATGCCTTGTTGATTTCCTAATGAAGAGAGAAAGTTTTCAGGTTTTGTCTTTACTAACCTGCTGAGTACAGGGCTTGAACTCTTTCCAAATATTCACTTATTTTCTCTGGAATATTTTCCAAGACGGATCCTGCCATTGCAGCATAAATCAAAGACTGCGCAGCTTCCTGAGAAGAGAAAATACAACACAAGTGTTTAAAAATCAAGGCAACCAGAAAGCTTATCTCCCTCAAATATATTATTAGATTTCTTCACCGTAAGACCCCAGGGCAACATTAAAGGACAATATTAAAGTCAATTAAAACAAATTACAATGAAGAGAACAGGTTGGATCCTTAAAATATTTCTTTCAGGTTTCAAAAGCCAGGGAAAGCATAACCTCATTTGCACAAATGCCTTCTCAGTACCTATTTATCTACTTGCACTGGCGTGCTTTCAAACTGCTAGGTTGGCAGGAGCTGGGACAGAGCAACAGGTGCTCACCCTGTTGTGGGGATTTGAATCGCCAACTTTTGATTGGCAAGCCCAAGAGGCTCAGTGGTTTAGAGCACAGCGCCACCCGCATTCCAAGTGGACCTCTCTAACTGGTAGATCTTCATGAACAGGCAAGTCTATACAGTACAGAAAGCATTCTTTCAGGTACTTTTATGAGCACAGGATCCTACCAAATTTCCCCCAGCATGCTAGGTTAACTTCACAAGAGCTACGCAATCACTCCATACTTAAAGGTTTAAGAACATGCGCACGGAATTATATATTTTCTTTCCCACAAGATCCCCTCCCAAAAGTGGAAGTCACTGTAAACAAACACCATTTCTACATACATTTAACACCAGTGCAAGCATCACAGTTCACACAAGAGGCCCTTTCGTCATCACAGGCTTGCACCTGAGTTACTCATGCTAACGTTTTGACCCGCAACATCTAGCGTTCACAAATATCTTTTAACTATGCCCCAGACAGTAGAGCATGAGACTCTTAATCTCAGGGTCGTGGGTTAAATTGAGCCTCACAATGGGCAAATGATTCCTGCAACGCAGGGGAGTTCGTTCCAGCTCTACAATTCTAATTTTGCAGGAGTGGTGGAGCCCAGATATTGCACTTGGAAGCTCCCATATTCAATTCACAGCATCTCAGGAAGGAGGACTGGGAAATCCCTCTACCTGAGACCTTGGAGAGCGGCCCAAATTATAGACCTCCACTTTGTATGACTGAAATACTTTAGCTCCAGCCAAAGCCAACCAGACCTTTCCTGCAAAGCTAGAGTATCCAGACACTACAAACAATTTTTGTCTTTTTTATTGAACGGAAGCAATTAGCTTACAATCAAAGTTAGTCACAGAAAAATCTAGGCACGTGGAAAAAGGTGGAAGATCATTGGTTATGAAACAACTGTACACTGCGGACAATGTAAAATCAAGTATGACTGGAATTTAGTTTGCAGAATTATAACCACACCCCTTGATATGGTCTTGACGGCAAGTCAAGCTGCATTTTCAAAATATTTGTGGCATTTGATACCTGCAATATAAGAACAACCAAATTTGACATGTGGAGCAAAGCTCGTCTCCTCATCAGATTATTATTATTTTTGCCCTGACCTGTATGTATTGCTGTACAGGTTGTGTGAAAGGTGATATATTTCAGCTCTGAGTAGCAAAGCACAAACAAATTTACAAATTCATTGGTAGGTGTGTGCGTGTAAAATTCCAGAGTGACCTTCTGGTTGCAATGGAGCCGAGGGGGTGCAAAGTTGAGAAGATTCCTGAAAATACCCATTCGGGGACGGCCAATTTTGGCCTTGCTCAGGATGCCATCTTACCAAAGATTATCAGAGTCCAGAGGATACAACTCTTGTCACTCCAGCTAGCACATTCCATAAACCTACATAAATGGGGTGCAAAAAGTGACAGCCTTTTGAGGGGCCACAGAGAAACCTCTGTTGCCAGTGTTGGGGTACACCCCTGGTTTCGCACTCAAATTAGCTGAGCTTCGGAGAAGCACAGAGCTGGGAGACATTTAGGGCTGCCACCTTTGCCTGGCAAAATACCGGACAGGGCAGGGCGGTCGGGAGGCAATTTTCTCTCTCTTTCTGCTGGTGCTGATGTGACTTCAAAATCAATTCATTACAATCTACTGCAGCCTAACAGGATGGCCTGTCACATGCATGAAGAGGGGTGCCAACTTGAATACAGGGGGGCTGGCAAGCCCCACCCCACATAACTGACCACATGACACGGTACATGCTCACCATTTGAATGGTAACGCACATCAACTTTTGGGGGGAACGCCCCCTCAAATATTTTACTGGGAGGGGGGCGAAGGGACCTCAGCCCCAAGAAGTTGGTTCCTATGCACATGAATTTGTAAATCTATTTGTTATTGGCTACCCAGAGCAGCGTTCAAAACTCCCATTGTTCTAGGCGTATTTTGCGACAGGGAATTTCCTTAGCGCAAGCAGTTTCTGAGCTCTGGGCACAGTACTGTGCCTAGGATTTCAGATTAAAACTGCAGCGTGGAAGAAAAGGAGGAACTTTTTCTGCCTCCCCACTTCCAGCTACTCTCTGAAGACCGGAGAAGAGACCCTTTTAAGAATATTAGGGGGGTGGGCAAGCGAAGGACTGGACCACGTGAAAAACAAACACAGCAATTTAGCTGCAGTTCATTCATTTTCAGCTTTGTATTCCTGTTATAAAAAAACCACGCCTAGACATTCTGTTGTTGCGCCCACAACTTAGGTTTATGGTGCCATTTAGCTCCTAGCTTTCATATCTCAGTTTCTAACATTGACCCGGAGTTTAACCTTTCACACACCCTTTCAAACACAGCCAGTTGGAGAGGATCCCTAACTTGGCACAGAGATAGAGAGAGAGGGAACCTGAAATACAGAAGAAAACTTTATCAATAAAGGATGAAGCATTTTACACTAAAATTTCTATATTGTACAGGACAGGTGGCAACATGGGCATAGCCAGGCCTCTTGTTTGGGGAGGGGGAGGCTTTTTGTTGGGGTTGGCAGGCCTTTTGTTGGGGGGGGTAAGGCTTTTGTTGGGGGGGCAAGGCTTTCGTTAGGTGGGCAGGTCTTTTGTTGGGGGGCAGGCCTTTTGTTAGGGGTGCAAGCCTTTTGCTGGGGGGCAGTCCTCTTGTTGGGGGGGCAGGCATTTTGCTAGGGAGGGCAGGCCTTTTGTTGGGGGGCAGGCATTTTGCTAGGGGTGCAAGCCTTTTGCTGGGGGGTGGCAGTCCTTTTGTTGGGGGGCAGGCATTTTGCTGGGGGGCAGGCCTTTTGCTAGGGGGCAGGCCTTTTGTTAGGGGGGCCAGGCCTTTTGCTGGGGGGCAGTCCTTTTGTTGGGGGGCAGGCATTTTGCTAGGGAGGGCAGACCTTTTGTTGGGGGGCAGGCATTTTGTAGGGGTGCAAGCCTTTTGTTGGGGGTGGCAGTCCTTTTGTTGGGGGGCAGGCATTTTGCTGGGGGGCAGGCCTTTTGTTAGGGGTGCAAGCCTTTTGCTGGGGGGCAGTCCTTTTGTTGGGGGGCAGGCATTTTGCTAGGGAGGGCAGGCCTTTTGTTGGGGGGCAGGCATTTTGCTAGGGGTGCAAGCCTTTTGCTGGGGGGTGGCAGTCCTTTTGTTGGGGGGCAGGCATTTTGCTGGGGGGCAGGCCTTTTGTTAGGGGTGCAAGCCTTTTGCTGGGGGGCAGTCCTTTTGTTGGGGGGCAGGCATTCTGCTAGGGGTGCAAGCCTTTTGTTGGGGGGGACAGAACCTCATGTGGTTTGTATTTTTATTGCCCCCCCTTGGCTACGCCCATGGGTGGCACCCCCATTTTCTCCCCCGCCCCCGGGACCCCGCTCCCCCGGCACCTTGTAGTAAAAGGCCGCTTCGTGGTAGTGGCCCCGCTGGTCCCGCTGCACCGCCATCTGCGCGAACTTCACCGCCTCCTGCTCCAGCTCCGCCGCTTCCATGGCCGGGTCCGGGCAGCAGACGCCTCAGCGCGCTCCTTTCCTTATTCGCTGACGTCACGGCAGCCCCCCGACGTCTCCGCCTATGGCCTCCCGCTCAGGAAGGGACTTCCCGGCAGCCCCTGTGGCGGAGGCGTCGACGTCGCGATGCGCCTGCGCAATACGGGAGAACGCTCCTCCCTCCCCTCCACCTCTCGCTGGAGAGAGATAGGAGCGCAATCTTAGGGTCCCAGGTGTGCCCGTTGGACTACAACTCCCATCATGCTTTGCTGGAATGGGCAGAAATCAGGGACGATGGGAGTTGTAGTTCAAGGGAATCTGGGGACTCGAAGGCGGAAAAAGGCTCAATAGAGTTATCTGTTGGTTGGAGCTGTCAGGTGTGACCGAGTTGAGGTGCCTTTTTCCCTAGATGATCTCCCAACCCTATGATTCTGAGATTCTGTGGGGAAATCCAGGTTGTTCTTCGGTTTTTTTAAAAAGTGTACCTGTGATTTACTTGTTATTACATATATACGTATATATGTAATACATAAACAGAAAATTTAATTTTACTGTGTGTATATATATATATATATATACACACACACACACAGTAAAATTAAATTTTCTGTTTTACAATTTAGAATACTCACTTAAACATCCTTAAAATGACTTCCCTTCTTCTCTTTCCACGGTTCTTTTCGCATATCATAAATCCCTGCATATTTTAGGTAAACTAAACCATTCAGTAGTCCATTATTACATCCATCAAAACTTATTTACACTGTTGAATTTATCTTAATGCTGCCAACGTTTTCAAGTGTACTCAATCCCCTCCCCATATATTCATTAAACATTTTACAATCTTTTCTAAAGGTATCTTCTTGTTCTCTTATTCTATATGTTAAGTCCTCGAGCTGCGCATATTCCATGAACTTATTACGTTTTCATATCCGTTGGAAGCTGTCCAGAGTGGCTGGGGCAGCCCAGCCAGTTGGGCGGGGTATAAATAATAAAACAACAACAACAATTATTATTATAATTAAGTAGCAGGGCGACCATCTGTGAGGACAATGTAGCCTCAGAGTTTGTTTCTGACTCAGGCTTTCTTTTGTGTGAAAACCTATGTCTGTCTGACTGTTGTTAACAAATATAATAAAATGTCAATTATTCCCATATTGGGGAGCATGGCTTGGAAAGAGTGGCTTACTGCAGCCATTCAATAGGATCTGCTGTCAATACTGCAGGTTAGAGAAGGAGCCGAGCAGGCAGGTTTAGATTTTCAGGGCCAACTCATGCAATGTACCTCTTCTGTTGAATATCATTCAGATAGGCTTCCCAAACTCAACTGTAGGCAAAAGTCCTGTTTCCATTGATAAACTTGCATGCATTCGCCTCATTCTGATTGCTACCCAATCAGAGTCCCGCTAAAATCCTGTCTGTCTATTATGTTCACTATCCTCTTCACTTCTGCCTTGGGGAGATGGAAATCGGCGTCCAACGGGAATCCGGAAGTCAGTTGCTATGTGTGATCGGAGCGTTATAACTCTATGGCCCAAAGGAGGAGAAACGTTGCGTCTCTCCGCTCCCGGGGAAATCCTTCCCGGACGCCTGCGCAGTCGGCAAAAGTGAAGTTCATCCGCCAGGAGTTCGCGTAGGGCAGCTCACGCTTGTTGCGGAATTCCGAAGGGAAAAGCGCTATGTCTCGTAATATCTACAACGGGCAGCGGGTGGCACTGTGGGTTAAACCACAGAGCCTAGGACTTGCCGATCAGAAGGTCGGTGGTTCGAATCCCTGTGACGGGGTGAGCTTCCGTTGCTCGGTCCCTGCTCCTGCCAACCTAGCAGTTCGAAAGCACGTCAAAGTGCAAGTAGATAAATAGGTTCCGCTCTGGCGGGAAGGTAAACGGTGTTTCTGTGCACTGCTCTGGTTCGCCAGAAGCGGCTTAGTCATGCTGGCCACATGACCCGGAAGCTGTACAGTTTCCTGAATGGGGGCTTTGCAGTGTTGGGGTTTTAGACAGAGAAGAAGAGAGCTGATTAGCAGCTATGTCTGATTTTAATTAATAATAATAATAATGAAAGACTAGGTGCAGTTATTGGGACCACAGTACATATTGCAACCCCCTGCATATGGCAACTCACTGAGCATTCCCATAGAGATTTAGCTGCTATTTTCTAAAATGTAAAGACCAGAAAATACGAGTTTGTAGCAAGCAGAGAAAGCCAGAATCTGTTCTATTTTGGCTATACAATGGCGAGTTTCAATCTAGCTACTCTTGTGGCCACTGGCCAATTGGACTCCCTCCACTACTTAGTAAAAAAAGCCCTACAGCACCATTACCCTATATAGAAGTGAAGTGGAAATTGGGATACTCCGTTTAGCAGAGTGCCTTTTTTATACATATAAAAAAGTCTTTTAGCGCATGTTCTTTTTGAGCGTGTTTTGAATACGTGCTGCATGTCCATAAACAGTTTGGATTTTATGAGATCTGGTAGTTGGCAAATCAAACGAGAAGCCTCGAACCCCAGTCGTTGCTTCCACTACTCAAAGGCTCCGAAAAGAGGAGCAGCTGTTTGAGGAACTGGTTCCAGCGCGGCGTCATTCCTTGAGAATGAGGAAGATGGAAAAGATTGCTTATCCTGAAGGAAAACGTTGCAAAGCTGCAAGCTGGTCTTTTCAAGCTTCTCTGGAAAAGCTACTGTTTATGTAGGATAGCCAAATGTCTGCTATTCCCAAGCTAGAGTCACTGGACTATTCAAACGTACTTAAATTTATAGCTAAGGAACATGGAGTAGGCCAGTTTTAACCAGACTTGGGATAGTCTTTGGAAGAAGATTGTTCGCACTTGGAGTTTTCCCTAAAGCTCAGGTTTTAGTTTTTGTCCCCTCATTGTATTCATTGCATCCTCCATAGGTAGAAGAACCAACAATCCCAGCTGGAATTTCTCTTCAACCGGTGTCTGCAAGGGTCTTTCCACAATGGGTGGAATTTCTGTGGGGACAGAAGGTCGCAGCTGTTCATTCCACCATCACAATTTGGTTTAGCCCTCCCAGCAAATCCTCCCACCAGTTTGGCTGCTAGGATCGTTGCATCGCTGCTCAGTTCCTCCATCTGCTTGGGGCCGGCTCACTCATGAGACAAGATGAGGCAACTGCCTTGGGCGGCATGATCCACAAGGGCAGCAGATTCGACCTCCAATGAATACAATGCCCATTGCTGCCGCTGCAGCGGTGGCCGAAACAGCTCTCCCTTGGACGTGCTCCTTGGAGGCTGAATTTGCCGTCTCTCTAGCATTCTCTTGGCAAATAGGAGATGCTGTTGTTATAAGAATTTTAAGGTATTACATATATAAAATAAATGTTCATAAATGTACCAAGCAAACACACACACATATATAAACCACATGTCTGAAGCTCACAGAAAAAGTCCTGAAACCATTTTGTCCCTCCCAAATTGACCTCAAATATTTCCCTGGAAGGTCGAAGGAAAATGGAAAAGCCTGCTCATTGTCTTTTCGTTCATAAATCCTGGTGTGTCTGTGTATGAATAGGGTGAGCCTGTGACCTGGATTCAGGAATAAAGTAGTTATCATCACAAAAGAGTGGCCAAATGACCCAGGTAATGCAATCAGTGATCCATTATCCTGGCAGACAGGAGAAAAACAATGCACTCAGATTTCTGTTGTAGACCGCCTTTTCTGTGATGTAGGTATGATGTATCTGGGGTAGTGGACTTGGGCTACACCTCTTCTGTGATGAATGTATGATGTTTCTGGGGGTGGTCTTGGACTCTAGGGCGGGCAATTTAAAATGACTATATGAGGCTCTGGGTCCTCCTCCTCTCTCCTGCGTATGGGGGAGCACCCTGTTGCAACAGTTAATAAAGATCAGGCTTACTAGCTGCTTTGCTTCTCAATATTCTCTGGTTGGTCTCTGTTATTTTCTCCTACCAATAGGGAACCTACAAAAGGACTCTATATGGGCTCTTGGGTACCCCAAAAGGGGAAAGGAGCAGATTTATTACTTATATCACTGTTCTCCCCTCATTCTTGTTCCTGATGTAGATCTTTATTCTCCCTCCTTGTTCCTGATATAGATCTTCATTCACCCCTTCTTCTCTGGGGTGTGTGTGCCATTTTATGTGTGAATCAAGCTCATTCTACACTTAGTACAGGACAGGAATTGTATATTATAATGAAAGATTGAAGATGAGCTATGGGAATCCAAATGGTTAATCTTCTCTCTAGTGTGGCAGTATGCTCTGCATTACCCAGTCCTCTGTTTGAGGGGTTTTTTGGTTGAAGTCTGGTTTAAAGATTTTAAAAAGTCTGAGAGAAAGCAGGAGGGGCCTGAAAGTTACCCATCAACAACGGTTGACACCTGGGCAGCAGGCCAAGCAGGTACATGGGCACTGGGATCTCAAGCTGACTCTGAAATATCATGGTCAGTATCCAAAGGACTGGGACTACTAGATATCAAATCAAATCAAATGCTGCTCATGGAGTTCTGCAAGCGGATTCAAATAGTGCAGGCACAATGAACTGTTCTGCATGCAGAATATAATGGGGCGCAAATTTCTTTTCCTTGCACAAGGGTATCTTCAGTATCAGTTCTTGGGTAAGCTGCTTGCATAAAGAGAACTGTTTATTTCTTTGTTTAATGTTTAATATTTATTAAATTTGTCAGTCGCTTTATTTTGCCCAGGGCAACCCAAAAGCAACTTAAGTAAAGGTAAAGGGACCCCTGACCATTAGGTCCAGTCATGGCTGACTCTGGGGTTGCGGTGCTCATCTCGCTTTATTGCCGAGGGAGCCGGCGTACAGCTTCCAGGTCATGTGGCCAGCATGACTAAGCTGCTTCTGGCGAACGGAAACGCCGTTTACCTTCCCGCCGGAGAGGTACCTATTTATCCACTTGCACTTTGACGTGCTTTCGAACTGCTAGGTTGGCAGGAGCAGGGACCGAGCAACGGGAGCTCACCCCGTCGTGGGGATTCGAACCGCCGACCTTCTGACCGGCAAGCCCTAGGCTCTGTGCTTTAACCCAACTTACAACCAAACAAATAGACAATAAGCCCCACATGGATACATTGAAGCATAACAAAAGTAGTCATAAACAATGAATAAAATATCAAAAAAGTACACAACCAAACTGAGCAATTTCCACATAAATCATGGATACAAAAAATAAAGATACAAAAAATAATAATACCAGTAACAAACCCCCCCCCAAACAATACCCCAACCCAAGAGTTTGTTGAGCAGCCTCAGCTTTTGTAGTTGGAGTCCATTCTCCCAGGACAGGTAGGAAAAGGCCTACAAGGCAGGGAGCAGCTTTTCCAGGGCTCACAGCCAACTACCATTGCCTAGTACTTTCAATGAGACAGTGACAACTCGCTGTAGCTGGACTGGAGCCCAGACTGTGCAGTGCAGAAGTTCTCTTGCTATACATTTTTCACACTGCTGTTTAAAGTATCTGCATCCTTTCTGAAGTGGAGCAAAAAGGCTAATGTACTGTTTAAACCACAAGGAGCACCGACAGTTTATAAATTACATTAGCTAAACTAACACAGGATGAGACATAAGTAAATACAGGAAGGGCAATTCTGCTGTGGTTACACAGTCAGAT